TCGGTTTTATTCGAAACCAAATCGATAAAAAAGTTTAATAGTTTTGGTTTTAGAATTTGAAATCGTTTTAACATTTTAATGGTTTTGGTTTCGATCAAAACCGAAAAATCAATGGAAAACTAATAACGCTTTCATTAAGTCAATACTCGTCAACAACACACATTATCTCTAACTTATGTATTTGTACTATACTATTTCCAATCTTCATACTTCTTGTTGTCTTTTCCGGCTCCATTTTCGTACTTCCCAAATTATGAGTTTGGTTTTTGGGTTTATCAAAACCAAACCTAAACCGTTAAGTAACTTATCGAGTTTCGGTTAACCAATAATCGATAAGAGATTAACTTTGAGTTTTTTTTTTTTTTTTTGACCCACAAGCTGGTCGAGAGCAGAAAGTTTCCACAACAGTACTTCTATGACCGCTACATATATTGATTCAATTCAATATTCCAAAGGTTACATCATCAATTTCAGTCTATAGCATCAAAGACAACAGAGAGATCCCCACATGACCAAAATTATTTAATCTTCTTTGTCTCATTATCTGCAAGGCTCCAAATTAAAGCTTATCCTAATTGGGGAAGGAAGGAAAAAATGGCATCGTACTGTGAATCTGTGATTCCGGAAATAGTTGATGCATTCTTCTGATGTAACTCGACTACGTTGAATTTGAATACTAGCTAGATATAGGAGAAATCTTCCACAAAGTAATTCTTCTATGTATGATGTGCCCTAAGTCATCGATTTGATTGTTTCCACATATTACCAGAATCGATAAATTTAATAGCGAGCTTAACATGATGGTTATACCTCATCGTTCGCTCCACCTCATGGGTATAAATAAGAAGAAGGGCTGACATAAACTAAAGATGTCAAATCCACGATATGGAACGAAGGTATAAGCCAGACAAAGGGGACAGGAGAGACAACCGATGACTATATTGACGAGTCAGGAGAGAGTCGATTCGATGAGGAGAGGAGATCAAGAGAGAAGAGAAGCGAGTGTGTGTCTTCGAGCTAGGGTTTAGAATCGGATACTGGATGAGACTTGAGAGGATGCATGCATTCGTCCCCCCGAGTGTAGTTCTCAGTGTTGTGTATACCCATATCCGAACTCGCGACCCAATACCAACCAATTTTTTTACACTCAGGTTTTACCCGAGCTCAATCAATATTAAATCTTACATGATCAAAATCAGATTGCACCGAATTGGATACCTATGAGTGTGGGTTCAACTGTCATCCCCACGTCGGAGAAGTGAAGAGAAACGTGAGAAGCTAACTCTGTTAGTGTTGTGGTATATGATCCACGATTGAACCTCTCCCAACAACTCGAGTTATTGGGAGTAACTGGTTCTTCACATGGTATCAGAGCCTTCTGTGACCGAGAGGTCTTGTGTTCGATTCCCGGTGACCCCCATTTGTTAAGCACATGGTATTCTTGTCTTTAGAACTGTGCAAACTTCAAGCTCTTATGAGTGGTTTTCGTTTGAGTTATTAGTAGTAACTGGTTCTTCACACACTCCTAGCAATAAATGAGAGGAAGTGCAAAAATAGATAATGGCTGCCAATATAGAACAACCAATTCATGTGCACATACTGACATACGGCTGCTGACGAGCAAGAGTATATACAATATTAATCTCTCTCTCGATCGACATCTTCCTAGGACCATACCTTTGACCTTGTTCCCCCTTCATTTTGTGAACCAAAAGAGAAGTCTCTAATGTACTATTTCCTAGGACCATAATTATGAACCGAGCACTCCAGAAGAGTAGTCTCTAATCTACTATTTTCTTTGTTGTCATCTCTATATGTAGCATCGGATAATAGCTTGTGAATGTGGCAAAAATAAATTAGTATGGAAGGAAACAGAGTCGTCATATCCTGAGAAATAAAATTTGAAAAATGAAAACATGTTTATAGGGATTTTTTTATAAATTCTGAAACCGAGAACTGAATGATGGTAAATTGTTTGAATTTTCTTTTATCTTTAAATTGTTTGAAATTAAAGCAAACAAAAGTTGCAAGATCTACCTGATAAAAGATAATGAAACATAAGTATTAAAATTGAAAGAAGAAATTATCAACAAAAAAGGGGTTTGTCAAAATTTCTTTATGTAAATTTTATTATTTTAATTAGATAGTTTGTAAAAAAAATTATATAGGTAATAATAATTAATTAAGACGAACAATGTTATATATCTTATTTTAACTTGACCTAGCTCGTGAGGCACGTGACCAGCTTTACTAGGTTGCTTGTTAAGCTCAACTCGTGCACTCTGAGATATACATTTTAATAAACCTATGAATTATCAACATGGAGGTCTCATATTCGAGTCCCTTCAGTAGTACCTAATAATAAAAATGGACTAATTAAGTTGTTGACCTTCGCTAACTGTGATGTAGTCAGAAATCAAAATGAAAAAAAAAAAATCTAAGGATCTACACTCACATTCGAATTGGTCAGGGTCTTAAATCCTTACCGGCTACTATATTTTCCAAAATTATTACAAACTCTATAAATATAATTTTGCATGGTTTTGAGAGTCTGAGAAGAACTATATAACCTCCCCGCCAACATCAACGTGTAATTAAAGTCCTCACTGCTTCACAAGGTCTCATGCGTTACTATCGTTTGTGGTTGCGGAAAAGAATTATTCAGACAACATATTGAATCAAATCAAAGCCGTTTGTGGGTGGGAAAGATGATTAATATTGCAAAAGTTGGAGTTTAAACCATTATCAAAGGTTTCCATGTGCAAGGGGAAGTTATAGAAAGCAGCATGGGCAGAAGATTAGGGTACGTACGAAGGAATTCAAGTATCGTGCATGCATGTAAAGTTATCTTTATTAGTAGTATTTTATTATTATTGCTGTCTTTATTAGTAGTTTTCTTGTTTAAGTACGATTTGGTTATTGTTAGTTAGTTCCTTAGAGGAGTAGGAGTTATGTTCTAGATATAGGAAAAGGTAGATCGGCTTCTATGCCTATAATTAAATATGTACTAGTTACGTCCATTCGTTTAATGTCATGAGAATATTGAAACCCAATTGAGTTTATTGCTTTGTGTTTCTTAGGAGTAGTTGTAAGGTAATTTGGGGTTGATCTCGCCATCAAGGAGGTCCTCTACACGGGAGCGTTCGAGAAACGTATCCAGAAGGGTCGCGTGCGCGTGGGTTTTGACGAGAGATCTACATTACGCAACATTCGGTGGCCACGTAATCGGTGGACGCGTGTACGGCGGAGATTAACATCCGTGGATCGCGGTATGACGTGAAGACAGATTATTTGTAATCGACTGGAAGTATAGTAAAATTGGTTTCTCTTGTCTATTTGATTCGTTAACACACATTGTCCCGGTGATATACTTTTCTGATATGGGTCTAATTTTTTTCCTTTACAAGTTTGATTAGAGTTAGGTCATACGGAGAAGGTGTGATACATATAGCTTTTCAATATTTGTAATTCATATATATTCAAGTATAATAAATTCGATCTCTCCTATTTGTGGATAAACTAACGCACATCACATTACTCAACCACCTAAATCTATGAATTTCTCGTTCTGTTACAAAACAATCTTCGAGGGAAAGAGATATTTAGGAATCGATGTAGTTGGTAAGTAGGTAGTACAATGTGGGACTTTTAGAGCCACACTAACTGAGTAAATATGATATATATATAGGCTCTTTTTCTCTTTAATTTCCACTCTTTTTCATTCGGTGCCAACTTGTTGATTGTAATGTCATGGACAACACATGTTTGGAAAGTAGCTTCCCTACTATAAGTGTCTGTGTTCACGTTATTTTACGAAGTGAATTTGTATCTATAACGTTATCTTACAAATAATTTGTATTTATACATTTTCGTATAAATTTATTTATAGTACAAATTGAATTTGTACTTTAATGTTATGGTACAAATTTAATTGTTGTCCATATTTTTTCGTAAGAATTCCTTCATGTTACAAATTAAACTTGTATCTTCGCCATTACTATACAAATTCAAATTGTACCTAGAAGTATCTTACAAATAATTCAAATTAATTTAACTATATGTCTACATTATTTACCTAAAATATGAATTATAATAAATAATATCAATACAATTTTAATCGTGACTTCATAATTTAAATCCAAATTTCAATGCATCATATAAAAAATAATCGGACTTATTCATCCAATTAGCTGAGTACCAACTGGCAAGTCATCAAATACAAGGACCACAAGATCATCATCGTTCACAAACATCAAACAAAAAAGATCACTAGAGTCTGAAGTTCCCTCTATCAACTGCAAAGGGGAGTCAGAGAGGGGTGACTTTCGGGTTATGACTCTTAATCACATTTGGGACTCATAGTGAAGGGTTGTTTGCAATAGGTGGGAACTAGGATGTTGTTTGGAATTGCTTCTTTATTTTATTTTGAACATTGGAACTTTCCCCTTAGTCAAAGGTCCATACCAAGTGGTTATACTAGTAGGAGGTTATCGGTTAACCTCCAACCAATTAGTCGATTAGCGGCTAACCACTAAGCAAAATACTGCTAACGAAACGTAATCAATAAGAAATTATCGGTTGACCACTACTAATCCTCTGTATTGGTTCGGTTAGGCTTAAAACTGATAATCGACTAATCGTTTACCATCTCTATTGGTGCAGAATGGACTCAGGTCGAATCCGTGATCTTTAGCCTTCGAAATCCAAGGAAAATAACCTGTCAAAAAAATTAATAAAATGTCCTTCTAAAAAGATTTGCCAAAATCTACACTTAATACACTTCATCATCGGTGGAGAATAGCCTCAGGACGAATCCATGATCAGTAGCCTTCAAAATCCAAACAAAATGTCATTTCAAAAAAATCGCCATAAATCTATGATTGTATTCTTAGAATGGGACAATTTTACATCCACGTCACATTTCTTCTATTTAATATCACTCATCCTTCAATCAACTTCACTAATCCTTATTTGTCTCATATACTTGAAAAATGGCGACCATGATTATTATCCCGACCATCTTCTCCGACCTCTACACCGTCGCCCTCTTCTTCTCCAGCCTCCTCCTCCTCAAGATCCGGGTCCTCCTCCGCTCCCTATCCGGGCCGGACCCGCCCTCGACCCGATCCAACCAGAATCGGGTCGATTCAATCGAAGCCAAGTATCCGGCGGCGCTTTACTACTCCGAGCAGGAGAACCCGAAATCGGGGGCAACGGAGTGCGCCGTGTGCCTGTCGGAATTCCGCAAGGGGGAAAGCGTCAGGAAGCTGGGCTGCGAGCATTTGTTCCACCGGGATTGCCTCGACAAATGGCTGATGTCGCCGGCGGGATTTTCCGGGCCGTCGTGCCCGCTTTGCCGGGACCGGCTCGCTCTGCCGGGGCCGGAGGAGGAGAGGGAGGTGGCGGAGGCCGACGACTGCGACGGCGGCGGGGAGTGGGGGCGGAGGGAGATGCTGGCCTTGCTGGCTAAATTCCGAGAAGGCCGCGCCGGCGGTGACAGTTGATATGACTTGAAGATAGATTATATGTCGTTGATGTTAGTCCGCCGATTAGGGATAGTTCGTTACGAAGAATATGCTAGATATACATTCTCAACATATGTAATTTAAATTTCCTTTAAGTATAATGAAACTGGTCTTTCTTGTCTGGATTAGCTACCACATATATGTTGATTGATCAAAATACGGTAGAAACAATTGTGTATTATATTGCTGACACCATATAGGGTTTATATAGAATACGATAGCGGACTTTTATAATAATTCTAACACTAATAAACGAATTTGGTGAAGAATATAACACTGTCTAATTACTTTACAACACTCAGAGTATAACATAATAATACTCGTACGACTCTAATACACTGATAACATCATATTAGTAAACCACGTAAATCTGTGTATTTGTTATTTCTGTCATTGTCGATTTCCCAACCCGTTTTAAGTTTTAACATTTCCCATGACCACGTAATGGGTACACGACGGAGATAATAAGCATTCGGTCGGCCGGCAATGGCGGCATCTTTGAGGGAAAGCGTTGTTTTGGGATCAATGTACAATTAGTAGGTAGTAAATGCCGGATGTTTTTGTTTTGTTTTGGACTTTTAGTGCTTTGCCAACTCTTAGTTAGCAATTATTGAGGTTGTAATGAATCCGTGCAAGAATCTATACGCGCTAAAGCGTTTGCTTGGCATAGCGCCACGGTGAATCTCGACACCTTAACTTTCAACTCTTTTTGGGTCGGTGCCAAGTTGTTGATTGTAATGTCATAGAGATCCTAACATTTGTATTCTTCTTTTATTATAGATTTCATACAAATGAATTGGAATTGTTGGGGGAGAGTCGACTCTCGAGTAAGAATCTTATATCTCTTCATTAGACGTTTCATTAGATGAAAGTCAACTTATGGATTTAAAGTTTACAGAGAATCACCACACTATTTGATTAGATTAGCTTAAAGCAATGAATGCGGCGAAGATGTGAATTCGAGACCTCTTGATCAAACTACGCTATGATATCATATGAAGAATCTTTCGATAACTCAAGTTATTCGAAAGAGACCCAAATATAAAGACATACTAATTAAACATAAATGTTGTCCTAATAAGCTCTTTTGTGAATTCTCATCTTAGGAATAGACGGTTTATTGGTACTTCAAAAATTAACAAACTGCGATAGAGGTCCAGACCAGTTGGTAGGGAGATGGATTGGCACATGAAAGATCATGTGTTTGATTTCCCTTCATCCATTGGTGCTTCGTGCACTTGAATAACACCATTGTTTGTTTCGTATATTTCATGATGAAGTTTGTTAATAAGATTTGTATGTATGAAGTGAAATTGACTTTTATTGTCCTCAATAGTATGAGAAGGTGAAGGAAACACGAGGGGTAGATTGGTCACAAATCATGGACTTCACCTTAAAAGATTATGTGATTTTCAAATCTGTATGATTCACGAACTCTCTCATTCCATTGTTTGTGCCCATAAACACATCAAACAAATCCATGAAACTCACTTCGTAAATTTTTCCATTGGATTTCAGCTCTCCATCAATCCTGCCATATAGGAAAGCCCAACTACAACTTCGTAAAATTTTCCACTCCTACACGGGCCTGCAGATTCCCAAATCCATGAAACTCTCTTTTCTTACTATAATTTGAATTTTTACAAGGTACAAGATCAATTATAGTTAACAAAATTTACAAAAATGACATTAATTTCATGGATTTTGGAACATAAAAACACGTAAGTTTAACTGGTTCTATATTATTGTAACACAAAAATTATATCGCCGATAAAAAAAAAACTATACTTTGATAGTAAAAAAATTAAACAATGGTAAGAATATATATCATACTGGTATGAACTATAATGTAGTATGTGGTAGTACATAAAATTATTATAGCTTTGTGGACGTTACAGTGTAATTGGGCACGTGGTATGAGAGAAAACAATAATTTTCAACCAGACTTAAGCATATGCTTAAGTCCCCATGGACCAGTAATTTATAACTCCAACTTAATTCTAATTAGTTCCTTCGATCAACGACAAAAATTACTTTCATTGATTGGTTCGAGAAGAATTGAATACCCCGTAGAATCAGTGATGGCAATTTCAACCCGCCCCGCGGGTATTATCCGACCTGACCCGCGATGGGGCGGGTATTACCCGACCCACAGTAGCGTGGGGCGGAGCATGGGTATATCTACTTCCGACCCACCCTGCCCCGCCCCGCCCCGTGCTAGACTCATTTTATCTCAATTTCTTACAATATCTATACATATTTCTCCTATTTTGACTTTTCTTCAACTAGTTAGAGTCGATCTTTCAACTTGTTAGGCTCAATTATCCATTCTATTATCAATATTTTTCATTCTTAAAGTGTTTTCCCTACGTTTTATTGTAAAAAGTAAAATTTACTTGTATTTTTTTTGAACAACATGTAAGAGTGGATTGACCCGACCCGCCCCGACCCATAGTAGCGTGGAGCGGGGCATGGGAATTGAGGTACCCGCCCCGCCCCATTGTCATCACTACGTAGAATCACGGTCCTTACACGAGACAGTAAAACACAACTCCGATTTCAATTTCCATTGCATATTCTGCCACATTGGCACATTCTAGGAAACATATATTAAGCAATTCAAGTAAAGGATATGCATGGAAAAGGGGCAATATTCTCTTGATTCCAACGACCCAATTTTGACTATTTGTCCAACTTCTCACACCCATAAGGCCATAACTTAGAATCTGTAGCAATATCTTTGATTAGCTTATAATAAGTCCAAAACAAAACCACAAAATGGATTCCCATTCCCTGTTTCTGCTGTTCCATATGTCTTAGTTTCCATCCCTAATAAGTAATACCCTCCTCAAAAAGGATTTTTATTTGTGTAAAACCAATTGGGTGGTTTTTAGCCAAGCAGCCCGTCTAGCTCAGTTGGTAGAGCGCAAGGCTCTTAACCTTGTGGTCGTGGGTTCGAGCCCCACGGTGGGCGATTGCATTTTTTTTTATCATCAACGATTCTTTTTTCTTCCCCTCTTCCCATCAATCCTTCTTGCTTGCCTAACTTAACTAAGCGAAGAACAAGATCCAGATGCCAGCCCGAAATTGCACAAAAAACACATCTTTACCATATATTACACCAATACATAAACTTCAACAACAGGAGCTTTTTTTTTTGGGTGGTGGAATCTTCAGGAGCTGTTAAATCTGAATCCCTCCCCTGTTTTTTTTTTTTTTTTACCCCGTTTCCATGGCTGTTCTACTTCTACATATACAAACTCAAAAACCCAGAAGATGAAACCCAAAAGAAAATGGAGGGGGAAAGTAGGAGGGAGGAATTGTATAGAAGAATCAGGCGGAAAAGTAGCCAGTAGAAGCAGCTAGGCTAATCTGTGACTTTGGCTCTACAATGACCTTCTTGTTCTTCACAAACTCCACCATCTTGCTCCTCAAAGTTCCAGCAGCAGCAGTGGATTCCCAATTCGCATTGATCTCCACCAGACGAGCACAATCCACTTTCCTCTCCGAAGCAGCTGCAGCAGAAACTGAACTCCTTCTCTCCCGATTCAATCTCCTCTCGTACTCTTCCGCCACCAGAATCGCAATATCCGCCATCGCTCCTTGACACTCTGTTTTCTTTTTTCTTTCTCTCCTTCCTCTGTTTCCTCCTCGCTCTGTTCCTTCTTACGAAACTCGGTCAAACCCAGAATTTGAATTTGAATTCTGATGGGAACCCAGAAGTTTGATTTCGAAATGGCTTGGGAAAGATCGTTGCTTTTTGTTGTGACTTGGGAAGGAAGGTGAAGTAAGGGAGGGAAGTATTTATAGTGTTGTTGATTATAAGGAATATTCTTCAAGTTTTGGGGAAGAAGTTTTCGGGGTTTGGTTCTGGATAAGGCTGATGACTGTCAGAAAGGTGGTGATTCGAATGATTTGATTTGTTTAATCACTAATTGATTCGAGGACGGTTTTATTGTATTTAAAAAATTCAGGGGAGGATTGATTGAGCTGTCGGTTTTCTGGGAAATAGTGGGGAGGCTGCATGTAACATGTTCATCAGCTTTTTCTTTAAATCCAAGTCCTGAAGGCTGAAGCCATCCGGTTTTCTTTACCGTGGGACGTTGAAAACATCTGTGGCAGGCAGCTGCACGTTGTTAAAAGCAACATGGCAGGCAAACTACTACCCTCTTCGACTTTGCTTCCCATTTGCCAATACCGCGGCCTGAATAAAATACTATAGGCTGAAAAGCTATATGATAAAGCGGTCATTGTTCTTTCAATAATGTCATCTTTTAGTGGGCATGAAATCAAATGATTGATAGAAAGGAATCATAAACCTAATTTTAAGGACAATAATTTGAGGAGACAATCAGATAAGCGTCTCGGCTGAACAAGTACATGTCCACATGCATTGTTTTCTGCAGCCACATCCAAATGAAACCAACACTCCAACCAGATGTTTAGCCAAACTGCAATCACAAGAACACCCCTGATGCATTGATTGAACCATATGCACAGATTCTAGGGGCGAGGAGTCGACTGCCAAGCTTCATCATGGCATCCACATGGATAATCTCTCGTCACAACCAATTTCGACTTCTCGCAACAAATCGAACCTTTTCGTGCACCAAATGCACTTAAGAAACCATGTTATCAGATACGTTCTGAAATGATGCTGCCAGCAGGAAATGAATCTCCTCCAAACTCAAAGGCATGGCCATTTCCCCATTTCCTAGAGAATGATAACCAAACAGAACTTAATGTTATACAAATGGTACCATCTCGATTCTGGTCTCGTTTCGTCAACTTTCACTGGTTACAGACATGAATAGGCGGGTCTTTTGTTAACTTCCTGTACTTACTCCAGAAGCCTTACAGTAGTAGTAGTAGTAGTAGGTAGTGACTGACCTATCAAAACAGCCAGTCCAGTCCATCATCCTTCCCTCTCTCTACATTGATGATGTTTTGTTACAGCACGATCAGTGGCGCACGATTATCTGCCTTCCGTCGATTGTTAATGTTCTCATAGGAGGCCGAGGTTTTTCAGTTGCTGAACATGTTCCGATGGAAGGGGCGGAGGGGTCCAATCAGAACTGATCATCTCTCCATCAACATCCTCGACCACATACTCCTGAGAGCAGCATATAGCATATGTCACATGAAAGTATTAGTGCCATGAGCCAGGAAAATACAAAACAAGAGCAACAGTTAACATCCCTATGAGCAAAGATGCTTCGGTACAGAAAACTATGGATGAAACGTTTCAAGTCAAGTGGCAAACTACTCTATCTGATTCGATCAGTTGGATTTTGAAGTCCACTACTCCAATTCGAGCAAAAAACAATGAACCAACTACCGGATGCAAACTACTAATACAGCGGTATCATGGACACAGGATCTATGCTATTCTACATGTTCCTTACTCCTGAATCACGGTAACCTTTTACAGCTACAGGTCATAGTTACTCCTGAATCACGGTAACCTTTTACAGCTACAGGTCATAGTTACTCCTGAATCACGGTAACCTTTTTACAGCTACAGGTCATAGTCAATGGCTTTTAGAAACCTCCCTTGAGAGGTTAAAAGTTTTTGGGTAATGTTGAGGTTAAAAGTTCCAGAAAATTTCATTTTATTTTGGAATGTCATAATGGAATCCCAAGAATCACACAGGGTAATGTTGATGTTCCTTACGAAAGTAGGGTGATTGTTTGTTCCATAGTAATTGCACTGCAAGATTACCTAGGAGAAACAAAGATAGAGCTACTAACCTTTGTCAGCATCCGTTTGGCAAGTATATGATAGTGACGCTGCCAAATCCGTTGCCCTACCATCGTGGCCACCAAGACGCTGTAGAATATTCCAATGACAGTGAACAGTCCGAGCACAATCAAAGCCATTATAAACAATAAGGGTAGCCCTGCTTCACCAGCACCCCCTAAGCAACCACATTCTCCAGCAGCAGTGGCACAGCTTTCGAAGCATGTGGTACAGTCCGTCCACATACAAAGAGTACCGGGCAAATGACAGTCCGCACACATTCTGCAACAGTAACAAAAAGCAACCGGTAAACACTACAACAAATCATAGGCTAATATTAGCCAACTAAAAGTTCAAACAGACTCAAAACTGACATGAATGCTGTGGAAAATACAAATAAAAGTATGCACCTACTCAAATCTGCCCTTCCAAAATATTACTAGCTAGATTGTAAAAGGCGCTTTAATGAGGTAAATGGATCAACCATAAGGTATTTTGTGAGAACCATATGATAAAAAGGAAAGGATGTACAGCTTCGATAAAACTATACCAGAGGAGTGCTACAATAACTTAATCATCAAGGAGATCTTTTTTTTTAAAACTACAAGTCGGGACAAAGAACATGTTATTAAGTTTCAAACAAGAAATTGCGCATTCAATCACCAAGCTATCAGTTTCTCGGATGTTTCACTAGTTTCAAAATTTTCCAATTTTTTTTTCCAAATTTCTCAACAAAGAAAGAAAATCAAGGACATGTGCAAAAAAAAAATTATAGTGGTTAAACCACTCGTCCTGAACCTGGAGTTCCTAGGTTCGAATCCCTTAAATAACACCTAATTAAACAAACCAAACATATATCACCCTTATAAGAAAAAACGAGACCTATGATATGTTTAAATTCTAGCAAAAACAATATTGACATCTAAAAATTAGATATTCATTTAGTATTGAAGGTGTCCCAGAAGTAAACATTCTTTAATCAACTATCAGCACGCCCTTCCTCCGTTGCAAACAACCAAGGAAGTACTCATGAAGAATCTTCATTACAAAACAAGACAGTAAATTTTTAATACCGAAAATGAGCAATTACTTTATTAGGGATAATCAAATCTCCTGCATCGTCTTTCACAAGAAAAAACATACACGTACCCTGGATGACAACAACAAAGACACAACTCTCGGCATGGCTGGGCCAAGTCATTGCGCACTCTCCGGTCATAGCAAGTGATAAAGCACCCTGACAGACCCAGCAAGGCAAAGAACAACAGTGCCCCTGTACATTAAGATTTTACAGTCAATATAAGCTGAGAAGAAAAAGCTTTAGTCATTAAAACTATTCAGATTGCAGATACTACAGATTGACGCGGGAATAAACTAGACAGGCATATTTCAGGTATAGGAAAACATGAACAGATTTTATATGAAGGAAGTTATGGTAATGATGCTAAAGTCCGACCAAATTTGAGAGCAGGACAAGCAACTCAAGAAGTGCAAGCCAATTTTGGATTTGATTTTTATCTGAAGGGTATTATGATACTGATAGTACCATATCCGAAAGTTGACTATTGGGCTTATACCACATATGTAGTAGAAACTAATTCCGCTGTCAAATCTCCATGTATGACGTAGCCATGACTGCTGAGAGCTGTCAATTAGATAAACCAAATAAGCCAGTGACGAGATTACCTGCAAGGACACAAAATATATCGGTACTTATGAACAAAAATATATTTAGATACAAAAAGCAGAAACACACAGCAACGCCAACACACAGATGTGTAGAATGAGCACAGAATGAAAACCTACAAGTTGAACTGTCAGAAATATAAAAGCAATATCCCTTGTCACAAAGAATCGGAACTTCATGGTTCTCCATTTCCTATCTGCAGCAACATGAACCCTCAGATGGTATGGCGCCTTGCAAGTCGTGCAGTGTGCAAATGCAAAACCTTCCTGCAAAAGTGAAACAGAAATGACAAGTCAATTAACAAATAAACACTATCCTCCAAACCAAGTAAACACATGAAGTAAAACATTTACTTACAAAGAGAAAAGAAAAGCAAGACTTTCCTCATTCCTTATCAAAGATGAAGTGTGTGCAGACACTAGAACTAAACGTGTATACTGCACTAATTAAAGGTGGTGATGACAATTAATGAATTAAACATGACTAACTATTCCAACACTTGTATTCCTCTAGAAATTGTTCACTAACACCTATATATCAACCACTTATGCACTCTATGCAGACATGCTATCGACGAGCAAGTAAGAGCTCAAATGAGAGAACAGTAGCATCCCTCACCTTTATGGCCCGCCAATGATCCAAACATTCTCGATGTACATACTTTGATGTTCCTTTGCACTTGCATGGTGCAATAAAATCCCTACCTGTCAATACCCAGACAAGAATTGAGTCACAATGTAACCAATACAAAGTATCACCGCACCATAACTTAGAAACTAAATGTCAACCAGAAAAATTAAAGAAAGCAAGTCCCTTTATCTCCTTCAACTCTCAGATGATGCCCTTCCTTACTCTCCATTGTCACAGATTCGAACAAAATGAAAATATGATCATTTATGGCTTATAAAGGAATAGGCTTAGCAAGGACTACAACTGAAAACAACCAGTACAGTAGTAGTACGTAAAAGAAAATCCCGTCCAATTGCTCTATTCAGTGGTACAAAATAGGAACTTGATTCAAACCCACATTTGCATTTCCGACAGGGAATGCAATTAGAGAGAAAATTGAGCTACAAATTCTCCTCACTTAACTGACTCTTGATTGACTGATTTCCCCAGAAACGAAACAGAGGTCGAAACGAGCACAAGTAAGAAACAAAGTGCCCAAGCGAGGATGAACTAATTAAAGTAAAGCCAAGCAGAGATGGAGTGGTTTTAGTAGTACAAAGAAGAGAAATACCGTCAGTTTCGAGGCAAATCCGGCACTGAATTTGGTCGCCAGGGCCGGCTTCGAGGTCGATCTCGGAGGCGTCGGTGATCGGCGTAGGAGGGACGAGCGGCGAAGGGTCAGCATGATCGGCCATAATCAGGAAATGAAGAATTAGAAGAAAACCCCCCCGCTCCTCCAATTTGGAGGAACCGATCGAGGAATTACTCACACAAATGGCGGAAATTTTGGGGGTTTTCTACGGAGTGGGAATTGGTGTCTCCATGGCAACAAAAGATGGAGAATTGAGAAGAGGGTAAGAAAGTGAAGACGAATTTGGGAATACTCTCTCCCTCTTTCTATGGCTGAGGGGTTAGCAGCGACTGTGACTTTTGACACAGACTGTAGGTTTTTGAGGTTGGTTTCCCTTTTCAGGTTCTTCTCCTACTTTTCTCCCTCTCTGTCTCTCCACTAACTTGTTCTCTCCATCGTTTTTACTTTTTGGGTTTTCAGTGGTTTCTTTACCCGAGTCGTAGCGGGTTAGCAATCTAAAGTTTGTATAATTTTGGTATAATTTAGGTCGGTAATGTAACTATGAAGTGAACTAATATGAGTTTAGTTTAATTGTATAACGATTTTTTTTTTCATTTAGATAATGAATTTTACTCTTTTGTTTTTTATGAGTTCATACGCATAGTTTTTCTTGGATATCAAATGAGGTTTATCTTTTGGTCATAGAAGAACAAAAGGTTGATGGGTTACCCAAGTCCAAATTTTTTCTTCCCTCTCTCGTTAGATGAGACTCTTTGAATGTGAGAAAAACCCCTCGACTTGCACTTTGATAATTGATCATGTTCTATAAAATTTTTATGTTGAACGATCATACATGAGTTTCCAAGACTTCACTATGACGAGTTTCAGGCATATTTGACTACACGCTATTCTCAAGTTCTACCGAGTGTCGGAGACACATGTTCAAATTTGGAAAGTATGAGCTAGAGTACTATTTGGATATGAAAAGTGAAAGTTAATCCCTACAAGCGAGATGAATTCATTAATACGGATGATATGTTTACGCCCGCTGATGATTCTTAATTAACTTTTCTATGTGCGAAGCTCATATTTTTCGCGCACTTTTATCGGATGTCCTCGAAGGGGCTAGGTCTTTTTCTTTCGTCCCTCTCTTATTTCCCTGTAAAAGCCAAAACAAACCAACCAAACCATCTGCAGAAGATTTACTGCTTCTGCAACTTAATTTTAAGAACTTAACACGATAGAACAAAAAGAGGAAACCATGCTATGAAATTTAAGCCACATTTTCAACTTATTTATTCAAAAGGGGGCACACGCCGGAAGTGGTTCTGCTCTAGGTTTCTACTCTCCAGAAGAAGGGGAAAAATGGAAAAAAATACCACAGATTTATTGACAAGCAGCCACCCCCTTGATGGCAGGGAACAATTATGTGAGAATCAAACACTGAGAAAAACGAAAACATCCAACCAGCCCTGGTTTTCATCACTGCACACCATCATCACCCGCTGCAAACTGTGTGTTCTGTAGCCTACTGTTGTGGACTGAATCATCCGTTCCGAGCCTCACGAGGATCAGGCTGCGGCAGCTTTCTTGCAGTGGTTTTCAAGCCACTCCATCGTGACACTCTTCGGCCTCTCGAGGGGCAACCCGAGAGCTCGGTCCCATATCAGCTGCAATAGACAAGTCCCATATCAGATAGAAAAACAAGGACCAAAAAAATGAAGAAACAAAGGAAGGATTTTGAAGCGAAAAAGGAGGCGTGGAGGTGGATGAGTGTAAACCTGAGAGCAGATTCCGATACTCCTCGAGACACCAAACAGAACGGTATAGTACCTGTGACGCACAAATTCAGACAATGGTCAGCATCCATCGTTGGAGTTTTGAACAGGGGGGGGGGGGGGGGAATGGAATGATGATGACTGCAATTACCTGGCTTCTGTTAGACCGTAGTAGTTCAACAACACTCCACTGTGGGCATCGACATTGGGCCATGGGTTCTTAACCTGAAAGTAATGAAGGCAAAAAAGGGAGTTTATTAAATCGGCTGGCTAATTGTCGTAAGTTGCTTGTGGTTTCTAATTAAGTTCGGGTAAATCGAGCACTCACCTTGCCCAGCTCGGTAAGAATTGGAGGCACAACATCGTAGAGCTTAGAAACCAGCTGGAAGAGTGGATCCTTGGGCAAATGTTTCAATGCAAACTCTCTTTGGCACATGTATCTAGGATCGGTTTTTCGCAGGACTCCATGTCCAAATCCAGGAACGACCTGTAAACGAAAAAGAGATGAAAAATATGTGGGTGGCATTTTAAATAGAAACTACATGGTCATGCTAGTTCTGGTGATGGTAAATGGTTTATAATAAGATTTGGAGATGCTTTTAATACCTTTCCACTGTTCAATGTCTTCCAGACGTAATCTTTTAATTGGTCTTTACTTATATTTTCGCCGCACTCCTCCACAACAGATTTGATCCATAGCAGAACTTCCTGCAAAAGCAAGGTAGGTAGCAAGGTAAATGAATATAGCAATGAAAATCAATAGAAATAGAAGCGAAAAGACTGCTGGCAGCCACAACAGGGCACGTTACCGATCAAGTACACAGTTATAGACACAAAACACACCTGATTTGCCAAGCCATGAAGGGGTCCAGCTAAACCGTTTAATGCAGCAGCAAATGAAAGGTAAGGATCCGAAAGTGCACTGGCAACCTGGATACAACACAATGATTGATCAGCACTAAATTGCAAAGAGAAACTCCTGTGAACAATATGGCTCAAACAAAATAAGTATTTCTAAGCCCCTTTTACACACATGTACAACTCACCAGATGACCAGTGTGTGCACTAACATTACCACCTTCATGGTCACTGTCAAGGATAAGAAGAAAATAATTGCATGAGGTCTCATGCATTTCAATCCAGCAAAAAGCATGTTAAATCAGGATCACAAAACAAACCTATGGATTGTCACATAAAGCCTCATAAGCTCGTGCATTTTGGGATCATCAAATCCCAACATATGCGAGAAATTTGCACCATAATCTAGAGAATCATCCATGGGTATGATCTTTCCATCCTTGAATATTCTGCAATACCACAGTTCAGTTAGCAAAGTTACATTTACTTTTATATAACAGCGTACAACAAGAAGCAGAGGGAGACTTGAAGCTCTAGTCCGCTGAGAGCAAATACACGACAAAACCAACATGCATGGAAATTATGAACTGAAGCAATATTCTCTCTAGCATTATACAAAAAGGAAAAAAGAAGAGCTATGTCACCCTCATAAGAACTAGAGCACATACAATAACGCAAAATGTGATATTTTGGAAAAGGTATTAAGTAATCACAGACCTTCGGTAAACATATGCAGCCACTGCTGGAAGACGAGCAATTAGATTAAGAGAATCTTCAAATGTAGGCTCCCAGTACCTGAAAATAATACCATTTAAAAAATCAGTGCTTCAAAGATCTGGATCTTTGGGATAAATAAACACTTCAAAAGGATGCCTTACTTTGATTTGTGAATGCCCTGGTCATATGCTTTCTGAAACTCACTTTGGACCTGGAAGATACCATTTGGGAAAGTCATCAACCTCAAGGATAAGAAGGTAAAGTGTCATAGTTATCTACGATTAGTTTCTCTAATATCACTTTAAATCACTTTAAATATTGAAATGAATGGTTATTTAGGAAACCCCATCTGAACAAGAGACCAATCAAGGAAAAGGAATGACCAAAAAGAAACTGTCAGTATCAAGAAAAAACAAGCTGCCACAACTCTCTATAGGTTTCGCCAACTTCAGTCGCTGTTCCTTTCTGCCATGCAGCCGCCACATGCCGAGTCTCAGCCAAAGAGGGATAATGTCTTCTCCAGAAATAAAAGTGGTTGCGGGGGCCCCTTAAAATTCGTGTCAGAGGTCCGTACATCAATTTTTACAGCAAAGATTCTATACTCGTACAGAGTTTATCACTTTATTACTCGAGGAAGACACCAGATGCTGAATTACCGTTTAAGTAGACAAAAACAAACATGAAAGAACAAAAGACGAGAAACAGGCCAGGAGATAAACCTGAAGTGCCATGACACCAGTTGTAAACTGAGTCATTGGATGAGCTGAGACAGGGAGAGCATCAATGGCCTTAAATGCATAATCTGCACATACAAAAATGAAACAAAAAAAGCGATGACGCAATCAATTTGTGCTCAGGATCCTAAAGGATGTAAAACTTTCATGGATGAAATATGGTTCAGAAAACCATCTAACCTAGGAAATGAATATTTACAGTGATCAACCAAGTAAGTGTATAGGAATACAGATTGTGCTGAATATGGAAGAAAAAAACGAACAGACTACTTCTCAGAGAAGTCAAGTGCAGATATGAAAATATTGCCACAGCGATACTTCTCCAAAATGTGTAAAATGACGAGCCCCGAGGTAGAATAATGCAAAATGATAAGTTAACAACGGACCTGGGACAGCAGCACGATCTCGCAATTCCTTTGATAACGCATTAACTTGCTCTTTGCTTGGCACCTTTAAACACAGAAGGATGAGGAAAAGAAAAGGTTGATTGAGATCAAGAAAAGAACAGGAATAGACGATCACATCCAATGCAGATGTAACTTCTTAATAGTCATGAACTAATTCACCTTTCCAGTTAGAAGAAGCCACAGAAGACCCTCCGGCAATGGTTCTCCATCAGGCTGAGCAGCCGGTAACACCTTTTGGCATTCAGGAATTGAGAGACCTCTAAAGCGAATCCCCTGAACAGGATTTATAACATCATCAGGAGACAAACCAAAAAGTACACTCATTAACCATGAAGTACATGAAGTGGCAGATTAAGTTAGTTGACACCAGTAGCTTCTTCAGTTAAAAAACCGAGGACAGTTTTACCTCTTCCGGATCAAGCAGTGAGGTTTCCCATAGCAATCCAACCATTCCTCGCATACCACCAATTACCTTTCAGTTCAAGTGCACAAAAGAAAGAAATCACCTCCAGACGTCAGGAAAACTAAAAAAAAGCCACGAACTAATTAACGAAAGAAAGAGCCTAAAAGGAGCATTTACCATGTCAGTGGTGATGTTTCCCAACTGAACTTTTCCATAATCCGATCTGATCTTTTTGAGGCGCTCCTGCAATCACATTTGACAATCACATCTAAGACCAGGGAGCTCCAACAATTGATTTTCACATTCAAATCATAGAAAATAGAAACGATCAATTCTTTCATCTAGCTGGTCACAAACAAAACAACCAAGAATGGGAAATGCAACAAACCTGTTGCTCTGGGATCAACTCTTTCAACTGGGAGTGGAGGTCCTACAACCCCAAAAGAAAAAAAAAACGAAATCATCCAACCAAAACCCGAAAAAAGGCATCAGAAATAAATAAGAAATGAACGAATAGATCCGAAACAAAGAGCTCCAGGAGCTCAGATGCATGCACCACATTTAGCAAGAACCAAGGAAGTGCCAACACCGTTGAGAATGAAAGCGCAAGGATATCACATTATAAACTGGAATACAAGGAGAAGGAAGAGGAGAGTTACGAGATCAGTGGAGGTCTGCATTTGAAGCCATCTTACGGAACCGAGATTATTAGGCTGCTGAACCTGACAGTAATCACCCCAGAGAAATATTTAACAATCACACCCTGAACAGTAAGATATAAACAGGAAAAACAACTACAATCGACAGCAAACGGAAAAAACTGCTAGCTTACAGTGCGGGAACGGAGAGTGGAAGAAAGACGAGAGAGGCCTCTGAACAGCACCATGGCTGGCTTTCCACGGAAGCTCCAAATTCACTCGAAATAATCACTACCTGAAGCCGCAGCCATGAACAGAAACAAACCAACAGTCGATTCATTCATTCACTCGCTCCATCTTAATCTCGACCAAAGCGACAGCAAATCGCGGCATCATACCGGAGAAACGAAATCAAATCGAGAGAAGAGAAAAATACAATCAAGAGTCCAGCTGAGCAAACAGCGGATCTCAATCGGAGAGGATGAAATTACCTTGTTCAGCGGTGAGCGGAAGAAGCTTTCGGAAGCCGAAGGAGGAATAATATGGGGGAGGAAAAGGGCGTAGGGAGTTAGCGGAAGGATTCCGAGGGAAAGGGAGAGAGAAGCGGGTCGGGGAAGAACTCTCTCTTCTTCTGAGTAGCGGTGTGTTTCTTTCAGCGAGCGAACTTTGGGACAGGAAAAGGGAAAATTAGAACCCGCGAGAAAAAAGGGGAAGAAAAGAAAAAAGAAAAAAGAAAAATCAAACCAACTTTTTTTCATATTCCGTCGTCGTCGGTCGGCTCGTCTGAAAGGTCAGAGAAGCCGGGTCGGTAATGCATCCATAATACGGTGTCGTTTTAACTGAGCGATAGAGCACTCGATATAAAAAATTCCGTTGCCGGGACTTGAACCCGGGTCTTTCGGGTGAGAGCCGAATATCCTGACCAACTAGACTACAACGGATTGGTGTTATTATTTCGTAATATATCTATATTATTGTTACATTTTCCTGGGATGGTCAGTAGTATAACAAATTAACAATAGAAATGGGACGGGGTACAGCTTTGAAGTTAGAAGGCAGAAGAGTAAATGATGCTTTGTGCAACAAGTTTTATTTGATCATCAACAGTTACAAACAAAGTAACAAGCTGAGGCTCCCAACAACAGAAACACAACTAGGCAACGACTAAGACTTCGAGAGCTTTTTGAACACCTCTTGTTCTATGGAAAGATGCCTATGACTCGAGACTAAGCATTCAGTAAACAAGTAAAGCTCTCAAGGACACCTTGGGGGGATGATAGAAGTGACAGCAGCGTGATCCAAAAGAGGTGAAAGCAGCCGTGCGGATTGTATCTTCAAGATGCAGCTTGATATTCCCTAAAATCAACAGTGGTCTGTAATGAAAGAGATTTGCAGGTTCACATTCTTGATTTCTTCCAATCACCTTCACAGCTTTGACATAGAATAGTCCAATGCGTCGACAAGGAAGTCTATGCATACACAAAAAGGGGGAGAAAACAGTCATTGCATGCAAGGCTTTGATATTGGTCATATAGACATGAATCAGTGATCAGGTTGTCAGTCTTGTTAGATAGAGAGAGAGAGAGAGAGAGGAAGGGAATTACCAGCATCATCTTTGGAGAAACACATAGGTGGTTTTATTCGAAAGACGTTTCCGTGGAGCCCTCCTTTCCCGACTAGAATACCGAGCTCTGCAGATGGCAAGGATATATGATGAGTAGCTAATAAACCAGATTGAAGAGAACTACTAGCAATGTGCTCTATTAGTTTACCTCGGAGCTGCTCGAATAAGACTGCTGTTTCAGCTTTGGCAGGGGTCTTCTCCTTCCTGTCGGTCACTAGCTCTACACCCACCATCAACCCTCTGCCTCTAACATCTCCAATGACTGAAACCAGATTGGACATTTAACTATGAGATTCATTCATCCCTTAACGACCCAGAATCCATCACCAAAGGTAAGGAAGAAAGAAGAAGGTTCATCTTATTCTCAGAATATCTAAATGTATCAATTCATATATGCCTGCTTGGCCATTTATGTAGCAAATGGAAAACCAACGGCTAGATGGGAGCTTCTCATGGAGCTTTTCTCATGGATTAATACCCTAGGGATATCAGGAGATGTTACAAGCCAAGCAGACACTTTTCATAACGTTGTATGTGGTTTGGTTATAGAGCCACCATCTGCTGTGCATTAGCAAAACATCTGATATGCAAGCACAGAATTTAATCTTCACATGGGATGAAAGTAAAGTTGGGAAGAAAATTACTTTCATATTTTTCCTTTAGATCTCTCAAACGTCCAATTAGGTGAGTGCCAACTTGGGCACAATGTTGTTGACGCTTCTCTTTGTCAAGAACTCTCAAGACAGCAAGTCCACCAGCAGAGCAAACCGGGTTGCCACCAAAAGTGTTGAACTGGATTTTCTGAGACATCACACTAGCTATTTCTGGTGTTGTCACCACTGCTCCTAGTGGTAAACCATTGCCAATGCCCTGAGATGAATTACACAGTAAAAAGTATAGGGCACCATTGAAAGAACAGCGCTGACAATTTAGTGAAGAATCTCTTTTGAATTTGGTTACCTTTGCCATTGTAACTATGTCAGGGATGACACCTTGCGTTTCGAATCCCCAATAGTGGCTTCCTGTTCGTCCAAACCCGGTTTGAACTTCATCAGCAATACATACCCCACCAGCCTTTCGAACAGTATCATATACCGTCTTCAAGTACCCGGGGGCCAATTCAACTGCTCCTCCAACTCCCTACATTCGGCAATTTCTCGCACAAGCTAAGTCAATAATTTGATACATACTACTTTAGTATCTCAACTCGTGTAAGCCACGAGTACCAACCTGAATTGTCTCGGCTATAAATCCCGCAACTCTTCCTGAAGTGCCATAAGCAATGTGGTCTTCTACATCTTTGGCATAACCAGCCGCATCAGAGCCAAAGATCCCTCGGTATGGATCGGGGTTCATGACATGATGGATTTCACCCTGCAGCGAGATGATCATTTAACTACTAAGCAACTATCAAATTATAGAGCTTGGAATTAAAGCTGAAGCGTTCAGAAGTTCTAGCTGAAACTACCTGTGGTATGGGGTACTTCCATGTGTTCAGAGCCGTAAGGCCAATAGTATTCGAGCTTCCACCATGATAACCATTTCTCAAAGATATCATTTCAAGATTACCAGTGTACAACCTAGCCATCATCATCGCCAGTTCATTTGCCTCGGACCCAGAATTCACAAAATACACAACCTGAATGCAGCCATTACAAAATCAATTTCACAGCAAAGCCAAAACCATCATCACTCTAACTACTACACATCAACTAGTTAATCAAAACCCATTTTGCAGGAACCCCAATCAGACCATAACCATTCAGAGAAATTAATGAGAAAGTAAAGAACCTTAAGGTTGCCGGGCATCTTCTCCGCCAAACCCTCGGCAAAATCAGCAATCGCGTGGTGCAGGTAAATGGTGGTCGCATGCTGCAGAAGCTCACTCTGCTCAACAATGTCTTTCAAAATCTCCGGGTGGCAATGGCCAGCAGAAACAGTCACGATCCCGGCGAAAGCATCCAAATAGCGCTTCCCATTCTCATCATACAGATACTGCATCTTGCCCTCCACTATATTCAACTACAAAATTATACAAAGAAACAAAACAAGCAAAATCCTCTCAGTAAAATCCAACAAGGGGGGAAATAGGAAAAATCAAGATGATTTCTGGGCGAGAACTTACGGGTTTCTGATAGTAGTAGAACAGAGAAGGACCCAGATAAGTCTTACGCTTCTGGAGCACTTCCTCGGCGGAAGGACCCTTGTAGGGCTTGGGCCGGTGATCGAACGGCGGGAGCTGCGGCGGCGCGTCGGCGGTGGCCGCGGAAAGGGAAGGAGACGCGGTGGACAAGCAGCGGCCGCCGGCGCGAGCGAGTTGTGCCAAGCTGTTTCGTTTGGCATTTTGCAAAGTAGCCCTGATGATTTGCCTGCGGAACGCCATTGTTTGACGTCGAGATTCGAACGGAGAGAGAGAGAGAGAGTGTGTGTGTGTGGAGAAGTGGGGGAGAGTTGGTGGAGATTATGGAGAAAGGGATAGGGATTGAGCGTGGCAGCACAAAGGGAAGTAGTTAGTTCGGAGAAATGATAGAGTGAGAGCTGACATGGAACGGAAATGGCGTCTTCGAAAAGGTTAAGACGATGGAAACAAGCAAACGTTACGTTTTCTGATTCTCCTCGGCCCTCGCTTTGTAATCGAGCGATAAAAAAGATTCCCGCATCAACTTTCCTTTTCGTACCCGTTTTAATTGACAACTCAAAAATTCCGCACAATATTAGATTTAATTATATTCTATTAAATAACGCTTATTTTGATATATTTAGAGAAACAATATTAATCAGAGAATTTTTTTTAATGACGGTATATTATATTGATATGAAAATGGATTATGATGGTATGAATATATCATAGTAGAATAGTGAATATAGATGGTGTGAGGAATATAGCATAGTAGCAAAATGATGATAAATCGATGGTAGACCACGGTGCAATTGGTCCTAAATTTTGTCCCTCAAAAATCAAAATATATTGAAAATGTGTATAAATTTGTAGATCACAGTGAACTTATCTATTTCGTTCAAAATTTCACTAGTTAAACAAAGGAGGTAGAGGATGATATAATTGGTCTGAATTTTTTCCCCTTAAATGCATCAAAAATAAATATGGATTTGTAGTTTACAATGAATCTGTCTCTTTTGTAAAGTAATTGTACATCTAATTATCATGATCATACTCTACTCAAAATTAAGATATCATATATACATAATCTAATTGTATATTGACTATCATGATGAGACACCGCTCAAAAATCAAAATTCAGGATCATTGTAGACAAATGCATAATTGTGCATTTGATCAGTAAAGTTTGGCACGAGTTCCACTTCAGTCACTAAATCATTTTCCTGTATCAAATAGACTACAAATGTATTAAACTCGTGGTTCAACAATTAAGAGTGTGTACTATACCGTCTATTGATTTCTATTTCTGGCAAATTACGTTAAAAATTCCACTACCAATCTATCACTAATGGTGGTTCGACCATGTTAAATATAACTTCGTCTTGATGTTGCACATGTCAATATGTCATTCACTGTGAAATTCTGTGTTCTTCTACCGCATACGATCCGACGTCATCGATCAATATCGACTCGATTGCATCCCAAATGTCACCTCTTAACGTAAAATCAAGAAAAGATATGTGATTTGAGAGCCAAATCAACATTGCATTCAACTAAACTTTCATTCTAAGAAATTATAAAAAGTACTAAAAATTGAATTTCTCATTTTGTCCTACCAAAATCCTCTACATGGAAATTCATGTCCAAAATTCAGAAACCAGCAGGAAAGCCTCCCTTTCTAGGGTCACTAACTCCCACAAGCCTTCCAAAAGCTGCTGTTGTTCCATTGTTGTTTTTCAAAGAGGAACGATGATCTCCCTGAAACTCTTGGACAACCAACTGGGAGATCGTCCCACCAGCAAGCCCTTGTAGGACATGTCCCCTTCTTTCTAGGAATGCCCTTGTTTCAGCAGGAACTTCAAAGTGATCCCTGTAAACCGTGGTCCAGTTCTCGTAGGACACCTTGTTGGGTATCAGCTGCCACAGCCACGAAAAAACCAAACAACCACTTCAGTAGTTTCATCACCAAGAAAAAGAGAAATCAGATTAATCATCCTCGTTAGTTCGTTGGATACGAGCACATCTCAATACCCATACCTGACGAGCATCAAGTTACGACGGTGTCTATGAAACTAGAAAGAATGTAGTAAAGAAACACCCGTTTGAAATATGCTGAAAACAACGAGTTGGATTGCGAATACAGTCCATCAACTATTAATGTCGAACTTATATGTAGTAATATCAGAGCAGTTAGTCACCTAATGGTATCGTGGTACTTAGTCATGTATGAGTCTATGGCACTAAAAAAATAAAGTATAATAAAGTAACATTCATTTGAAATAGATCCCAGAACGAACGATTCGATTGTGAATATGGTCGATGAACTGATGTCGAACTTATGCGTGATATCATGGTATTTAGTGATCGATCACCTGATGGTAGAGTCTTGGAGCCAGGACAGAGGAGAGAGGATCCATTCCTTTCCCAAAGTAATTCAAGAAAACCTCGGTCGTCGCAGCAATGATCATGGCTCCCCCGCTAGCTCCCATCACCGCTCTCAACTTCCCGTCCTGAACATGTCTCAACAATTCGAGTAAGTTTTTTCGAGCGTACGTAACATTACGGTTTCTTCTTATATGATAAAAAAAAAGGATTAACATTGCGTTTTCAAACCTCAACTAACCTCCAACACAATGGTGGGCGCCATGGACGACAACGGCCTCTTCCCCGGCCGGACGAAATTCGTGGGCGCCGGCGGCGGCACGTCGGCGTTCCCACCGCCGGTACCGTTGTTACTCGGCATGGAGAAATCGTCCATCTCGTTGTTCAGCACGATCCCCGTGCTCGGAGACAAAATCCGGGCGCCGAAGTAGTAGTTCACCGTGCTCGTCATCGCCACGGCGTTCCTCTCCCCGTCGATGATCGACACGTGGCTGGTCCCGTGGTCGTCGATCTGGTTCCACCTGCCGGTTTGATCAGCTTTCATTACGTTGGAACGGCGGACGATAGATTAATGGTAGGACGTCATCAATTTGCAAAGGTTTTAATTAATTAATTAATTAATTACCTGCCGCCGTAATGATCGGGGCCGAACGTCGTGTTGTCGTAGATCGTCTTCTTGATCTCCGCCGCGAATTTCGGAGAGATCATGTCGGAGAGGACCTGTTCGACGCCGTTGGCGAAATCGGGGTCGCCGAGGTTCATCCTGACGGCGAATGCGTGCTTTAGTGATTCGATCAGCCGGTGGACTCCTAGCGGGCCGGAGATGCCTTTGGGGACTCCGTACTGGGCCAGGATGTTCAGAATCTGCAGCCAACAAGGCAGGAACGCATAAATTTATGTGATTCACTAATACGATTTGTATTAGATAATTCACAGACCACATATATGAGAGAGTAAGAGACCCATTTCCAAACCCTCAAATTTACTATATTTGACATAATTCTTTCTTCAGACGGTCTAATTCTAGTTTAACATAGAAAAAGTATTATATACCAGCTGGTCCAAATAGTAAAAACAAATTAGTATGAGTTCATACACCGTGGATCGGGGACAATTACCTCCAAATACTTAAATCGGGTGCTTTATCACTAGATCCTGACTCCCAGACCCTTAGAGTCACTATACTCGAGGAGATAACACCTTTTCCTGACGGTCTAACCCTAGTCATACCTAGAGAGGAAAAAAGGTTCGGGTCCATACAGTAAAACAAATGCGTATAACTCCATATATCATGGATGGAGACATACGCTACCCCTAAACCCTCCAACCGAGCATTTCGTCTCTAGACCCTGACTCGCTGACCAGACACAAAAAATGCCACATCCACACCTAATCAGCAATCACAACCTTAAAATGGCGAATTAGAGAGAAAGAGACCCAAAAATTGTTTGGACACGAAACCAATTCGAATTAGCTCACGTCTTAAAAGATAGAGGTCCAAAACACAAAACGTATGTCATTCTATTCACTACTAATGATGCAAAAAGTGCTACCATTTAACAGTGAAATGTTCTTACAAACCCCGTAATGTCAAAAATAGGGGTGGCTATACGGTCCGGTTAACAGTGATGCAAAAAGTGCTACCATTTAACAGTGAAATGTTCTTACAAACCCCATAATGTCAAAAATAGGGGTGACTATACGGTCCGGTTAAATTGGACCAAATTTATCCGATCTCAGTCCGGTTTTTTCGGGAATATAAGAACCAAAGATTGGATACAACCCGGTCTTGATCCGGTCCGAACCCAATTTGAACTTGATTTTAGATTGAGCTTGTGGGGATTTGAGTGTTGGGGTCTCTTATCCGGTCTTTATCTGGATTTTTTTTTTACCTCAAATCTAAACTCGAATATGAGATTGGATTGTTTGCTATCCAGTTCCAATCCAATCCCATTCCGGTTTCGGTTAAAACCAAACAGTCCGGACCAAATAAACAACCCTAATAAAAAACACATAATCTATCTTCAAGTCAAAGCAACATATCAAAGATTTGTATATGAAACTCACCATGAACATGGCAGCGCCGCCGGACGAAGGAGGAGGCATCCCGATCAGCTTCATCCCCATAATCTCCGCCGAAACCGGCTTCCTAACCCTAACCCTGTACCTCGCCAAATCCTCCACCGTCAAAATCCCACCAAGCCGCTCAACATCTCGAACCAACTCCCGCCCAATCGAGCCATTGTAGAACTCCCTCACACCATTAAACGCAATCTTCGCCAGCGTCACGGCCAGCTTCCTGTTCCGGCAAATCTCTCCCGGACGCTTCAGCCTGCTGCCGGACTCGGTGGCGTACACGCCGGCGAGCCCTCTGTCGGCGAGGATTGATTGTGAGATTTGTGTCATTTGGAAATGAAGGTACTTTGAGAGCTTGTAGCCCTTTCCGGCGAGAAAGACGGACGGCAGGACGAGGCGCTTCCATGGGAGCCGGCCGTGTCGCTTCCAGGCCTCGTACAGGCCGGCGAGCTCCCCTGGCACGGCGATGGAGAGCGGGCCGCTTGATTTCAGGGAAGCGTTGCCGGCGTACATGTTCTGTGTTTTGTAGAAAGAAGAGTGGTGTAAGTGTTAGGAGAGAAAAGTTCCGGCTACTTAAATCGAAAAATTTACAGTGATTCCGGCTACTTAAACCAAATTATATCAAATATATCGTGGTCTGATTCTTGTTTCCATTAATTTTTATGAATATTGAAACAAATGACAGTATTGACATGTGAATCGGAACCAATGCACTAATCATCTTTCGAGTTATTCTCTACTATTGAAAAAAGAGTCATGGTTTGATATGTTTCTGTACTACTGGACCGAACCGTTGTTATAGACACAAGTTTACTAGTGGATAGGGGGGCTGCGCAACGATTTGGTCTGTATCTGTCGACCATGCCGGACCAAACCGATGCTTGAAAATCAGACCATAATCGATCGAACATAATGGTTTCCGATTCTTGGTTCCATTAATTTTATGATACAGTAAGAAAAATGGAACGTATTGATCGGATCAGATCAAATCAACCTAAATACATTGAAAATACGATCTTCAATCCTAAAATGTGTTTCATTATCGGATTCGATTCTCAATTTCTCATGTCCGATTTGTAATGTTGCACACCCCCTAGGAGTGGAGTAATGAGTATAGCTCCCTGGTGTGGTTATTCATAACGTTTGTAATTAATTACTTTCCGTACCTTAATCTCTGCTTAATTTTAGCTAATTACTTTTTTTCCCACAGAGGAATTACTGAAAAATACCTGGGAAGCTTTGATCGGAGCAACCTCCCTCATGTCGAACGCCTGGGCTTCGCCGGAGGCCATTCGGACGATCATGAACGCGCCGCCGCCGATCCCGCTCGACGCCGAGCTGACGACACCCAGACAGAACGCCGCCGCCACCGCCGCGTCCACCGCGTTGCCCCCTCGCCGGAGAACGTTCCTCCCGATCCACGAGCACCGCCCGTCGTCCGTCGCCACCACGCCGCGCCTGGCCGCGACCACCCGGTTCCCGAACCTGCCGATCGCCGCCGGCGGAGGACGATCGGCCGGAAGATCCGACGGAGAGGATAGTGGAAGGAGAACGAGCAACAACAGGGGAACGAGTACAGGGCAATGGCGCCACGGCGGCGATTTGGGTAACATTTTTTTTTTTTTAAAGGCTTACGCTTCTACTCGCTATTGGAGAGTATAAAACTGTGTAAAAATGACTATAGACTGTAGAGCTCTGCGGCTGCGGCCATGAATGGAAGAAAATCGAGTTCTCAATTCTTAACGGCATGGAGAGCCACTTGGCACATTTTACGGTTGTGCTTTCTTGTTTGCGCAATTTGTGCATCAGGACAAGAGGAAAGAACAAATTGTGCATTTTTAGTGTGTGTATTTCGGGGGATCACTTATCCACTGACGACGAGCTGATTTTGGATTCTTCTTCTTGACTGGTGTATTGATTAAACCTATGCTTGGTTTAGCGTTACGAAACGGCTGAACCATTATAATTTCGGGTACCTTTGTAGGAAAAATATTAATTTGGGGACTAATTATAAATTACTTAACAAGTTAAAGAATTTTGCCATTTTGGTGACTATTTTGTACATTTGTAAAAGTTGGAGAACTAAACTTAAAATTTGCAAAAGAATAAGTGGATCGGATTCTAATTTAATTCTACCCTTCGCGCTTAACAGTTTATAGTTGCTACGAATGAAGCATATGGAAAAGAAATTTGCGCGCCAATCCAAAAAAAATCACCACCCTGCAACAAATTTTTTTTTATAGCACCCGGTTGTGATGGCATCAATCGATCTTGCCGCCATAATCGACGAATGCGGGAGCTTCCTCTCGAGATGCATCACGGCCAGGAACCTGAAGCTGGGGGCGGCAATTCACTCAAACCTCGTCAAAAGGGCGCTCAACGTCAACCCTTTCGTCGTCAACCGTTTGATCGACATGTACGCCAAATGCAGCTCCATCGAGTCAGCCGGGAAGGCTTTCGAGGATCTCCTCTTCAAGAACGCTCGTTCCTGGAACACAATCGTCGCTGCCTGTTTGAAAATGGGTATGGTCGAGACAGCCCGCAACTTGTTCGATCAAATGCCTGAACCAAACCTGGTCAGTTACAACTCGTTGATTTCGGGTCTTTCTCGTCGTGGGTATAATGAGGAGGCGTTGGGTGTGTTCCGGGAATTGCAGGAAGATTGCGTTGGTGGGTTTTGTTTGGATGAGTATACTGTTGTCAGTGCGGTGAGTTGTTGTGGGTGCTTGGGTGGGTTGGGATTGGTTCGTCAGTTGCATGCGATGGCTTTGGTTGTTGGTTTGGGAGTGAATGAGATTGTTTCCAATGTTCTGATTGATGGTTATGGGAAGTGTGGGGAACCTGAGACTAGTTATCGTATATTTAGCAGAAAGAATGAGAGGGATGTGGTGTCATGGACTTCGATGGTGGCTGCATATGCTCGATCGTCCAGACTGGATGATGCGATGAGCCTTTTTGAGCAGATGCCTGATAGGAATACTGTTGCTTGGACTAGCTTGATGGCTGGTTTTGCACAAAATGGCCAGAACTACAGTACATTGGAACTATTTAAGCAAATGCTGGAGGAAGGGGTGGTGCCAAATGCTTTTACTTTTGTTACTCTTTTGGGCACATGTGCAGATTTAGCACTTCTGGAAGGAGGCAAACAGATTCATGGGCACTTATTTAAGTTTTGCAACCGAGAACATTTTGGTAGCATGTATGTAAACAATGCGTTAATGGACATGTACTGCAAATGTGGAGATATGGGATCTTCTAAGTCTTTGTTTGAAGGAATGATTGAGAAGGATGTTGTGTCCTGGAACTCAATGATTACAGGGTTTGCACAAAATGGACTTGCAGATGAATCACTCAGTGTTTTCAGAGAGATGGTTCAGGGCAAGGCAAGGCCTAATCATGTTACATTTCTTGGAGTGTTATCAGCTTGTAGTCATACAGGATCACTCGCTGAAGCCCTTCAGATTCTGGAACAGATGGAGAAGGATTATGGTATTAGCCCAAGATCGGAACACTATGCAGTCTTGATTGATTTATTAGGTAGGAAAAACAGACTGAGTGAAGCAATTGAATTAATTGGAAAATCACCTGGTCTGACAAACCATGTGGGGATGTGGGGTGCTCTATTAGGTGCTTGCCGGATCCATCCCAATGTTGATCTTGCCATGAAAGCTGCAGAAACTCTGTTTCGGTTGGAACCGAGTAATGCTGCACGATATGTCATGTTAAATAATATTTATATAGCAGCTAATAAATGGAGTGATGCTTGTAGAGTAAGGAGGGCGGCAGAGGAAAAAGGTATAGTGAAAGATGTAGCTTATAGTTGGATTGAGGTGAGGAATGAGAGGCATGAGTTTGTGGCCAAGGATAAAGCTCACAATCAGAGAGGGGAAATATATCAAGTGATTTCTCAACTTCTTGATCATATGATGGGAGCTGGATACCGTCATTGTACAAGTGACTGTTATTTTGTAGGAGGAGATGATGCTGTAGTTTTGTAGGCTGTCTCTTCTCTATCCGCAGAAGAAATACGGTGGATGACATTCATGCTATGCAGCCAGCTCAGCCAATCTGAACTCATGAACAGGTTGATATAACACATCTTGAACCACCCTTCCTGTATCCAGTTATGCTTTTGACTGCAGCAATCTTGAGTAGTACTTATGAACTTTTTCATGCGATACAGGAGGAGCTTGTTTTTTGACATGTTCAGTTTTCCTTCCAGGAAGAAAACTTGCAATCTACCTCTTATCATTGCAAAATTTAGATGGTTAATATCGGTGCATTGGATGAGAAAAGGGAAGTTGCTAGGAATATTGGAAATCGTCAATATCATGCCTCTTTTCTGAAGGCGCATGAGCTGGAGTATTTGTGTCTCCATTGGTGATCCTTCTGATGTTTCTGTATCTTTGACTATGGAGGTAATGATGGTATCTTTCTGACCCTTATTTCATGTATTTGCTCAAATTATAGTGCTTAAGAGCTACATCAGCAGCTACAGTGGCCTCATTGTCATTCTTCTTTTTCGTTTTTTAGCAATAGTTCTTCTTCTTGATAATCGTTCTATTCACAGTTGTTCATGCTACTGTTGCTCTTTATGAATCTCCAGAATAGATATCTGAAGCATAGATTTCTGGCACTGCAGATGTGGTTCTACAGAAACAAGTTAAATTGACCACTTACACAAAGTAGATCATGGAAGGCTTCTAAACCCTGATTGAGGGGCATTTCTCTGCTGAGAATAGCTCGTTTCAGAATCTCGGTGAACCACTATGTCTCCATGATTTTAACAGTGGCCATTTCAAGTTTTGTGAGCGTTCAGAATGCAGAGAGTATCCACAGTTAAAAGAAGTTTATGCAGTTTCGCATTACAATGTCTGCTGCTCATGCTATTTTGAAGCAAAGCTTTAAAACTCAAGGTACATACTCTACATCTTGGCTGATTACATCAAAATCATTTCTAATTTCTACCCCAACTCTTATGTGTTCCTTCTTCATCATCATGTTGAATGTTTCCCTATTGACTGAATGAAATCTAAAACGCCTTTCAAGTGACATTGATGCATGATTATATGTAAACGGAAATAACTACGACGAGAACATCCTGGGCCGTACACCTAGAACCTTAGGAGGTCCTTTTCCTCGAGCTTTGTTGATTTCAAAGTAGGCAATCAAAGTTAACAGTGGAGCTATACCTCTCGATTTCAATGACCTTTTAAACCACATAAAGACCACCACTCCAGCCTATCTTGCTTTCTCACTAAAACTTGTTGACAATTCTCTGGTTCTACTTTTAGCACACGCCACAAGGTTAGGAATTCCAGCAAAATGACCCAAACTTTCTACCTTGAAAATAGACCCGTGATCTTTTGTGTCAAGTGCATGCTGTGTTGAGCCAAAGTTGCTAATTACTAGGGCCCCGTTTTGACAATACCTTGGTTAGGCTAATGGGTATATTAGTATATTTGGCAAGGTAAATGGATGTGTTAGGTATATATGAAGGTTGTCAAAGCGGTTTCTACTGTTACGCCCGTGGTACAACAAGTTTATATGCCAGTTTTAAGTTTTAACGAAGTATAGGACAAAGTAGGAAAGCATTAACACAAAATGGATTGTCATTTATATAAATCTAAGACAATATATCTATAATCTCCATCTATATTTAAATAAAATATCTCCATCTAGAGAAATTATATTACCGAAAGTTCCCGGAAGAAGAGCTTTGTTCTGACCGCGATGACACTTTGTTTTATAGAACCAATAGCTTAACTGTTCCGAGTCTCCAAACTAAACCGACATTCCACGCCAAGAACAGAAATGTGCCGGAGTTAATCTAATGTTTTATAATATGACAAACAAACAAACAAGTGAAGAACAACGTTGCCGGTTGATCTTTATGCTTTGTATGCCAGACATATTGCTTAATATCAATTGAAGAGTTATAATTAGAGCTTCTTCTCTGCCATGGGTAGTTAACTAATTTTTTATATTATTTTTACTCGGCAATGAGCAACTTAATAATTTAGAACTTAAACTAATCAGATCAGGTCATCACGTAATGCCGGATATTGGATCAGTCGATCCAAAATGTATGTTCGGCCTTGACATAATGAATCATCCAATCGACAAATTCTTGTTGATGTTACCTTGTTTTGAATTCATTGGAGTGAAAGCTCTAGGTTGATTTGTCCTCTAGTTATTGGGGGTGATGCAGTTTAACTTGCTGCAATGATTGGTTTAAAATAATTACTTTCTTTCTCTTTTAGAAACAGTAGAGCTATATTGTCTGAGTTGGGGACATGAATAATTTTTGTGATTTGTATGAGTATTATCAGAACCATGCATGTTTTTTATATTGGAAACTTGTATGGGTGGTTGATCCAAAGCATCTAGTCTAGGTTAGAATTGTCTAACTGGTTCTGGTCTTTTGGCTAATCGGTAAAATGGACTTGTTCCTGGTTCGGTGTAAACGACGGTTCTGGTTCGAGTATATGATACCCGGTTGTTGGTTTTCACCAAACGGACTGGGAACACAACCGAGAACCGCAAATTACTTTTTATTTGTGTAAGAAAAATCATTAAAAAATATGATGAACTAGTTACATCTTAGCGAATTCACGCAAAAACCACGGAGATCTTGGCCATCAAGCGCGTTTCGGTTTTGCTGTTTCTGGTAACTGTTAGGGTACTGGTTTTTTTATGACCTTTAGCTTAATGTTGTGTTACAGTCTCATCTATGAATTCCTTAATTGGGTTTTTGGTTTTCAGTTTAACTAGGGGATGACTTAATTCCAACCTTCTTGGGTTGAAAGTTGGAAGAAAGATCCAGAAATTAGGCAAAGAGTAGTGATGATTAGCCAGGCAAATGACAGCAGCAGCTAGACTAGAAATAAATATAATATGGCCATATGAGCAAAATCTAATAGGTCCATTATTTACTTAATGCATGTATTAGGTAGGAGCATTTCAAATTTTCCAATCTTTTTTCTTAATATTATGCTTCTTTTATATTCACTTTTGTTCTCTAACCGTATGGCCATGTCGTCTATTACAAAACGGCAATGTCTCTATTGGCAGAGTTCCCATGGATGGGAAATAAACCGGACCGGATCATTTACCGAATTTGGTGTCTGAATGACGCAGGCCCGGTTCCAATCACCGTCCTTGCAGTATCATACTTAAATAAGTTGAACCACAATGGTAAGCAACGCCTTCTGCTCTTTCCTCTCTCTCAAACAATATCAAATACATCACCATGCTTGCTTCTACTGCCACCCGCACACACCTCTCTTCTCTCAGCTCATCTTACCCTTCATACAACAAAGCTTATCTTCGCAGGGACAATCCGGAATTCGATTTCTGGGCTACAGCCGAAACAAACCGCTCTTTGAGGAGCTTCCTGAGTCCAGGAAGCCATGGAGACGAAGAAGAAGAAGAAGAAGAAGTTGATGACGACCACCACTATGAAGAGCTGGAAGCAGAGTTATGTTTCCCTTTGCAGAAGCACCAGGCGCGGAGCAGCCTGTCTAATTTGCAGGCGATAGCTGAAGGCAGGAAGCAGCTGATGGAGCTCGCCGGAGAGATGCTGGAGTCCAACCTCGAACTCTCTCTCAAAGACATCGTGAACGAGCGGACTGTTTCCCCTTCTCGAGCAATAACAGAAGGGGATCATGTGGGGGTCGTTAAAGGTGGAAGCTTTCATTTTGCGACCGAGAAACTGAGCAGCAGGAGAAACGACAGCATGCAGCAGAAGAAGAAGAACGCGGTCATCAATCCATGTTTTGTCCCGAGGAGCTATAGCATCGACAAAGGCACCTTCTTGATCAAGATGTTCAGTCCGTCTACTCGCAGCAGCTGGAAAACGAACCTGAAATCTTCGTCGTCGTTGAAAGAAGGCTGTGCCGTCAGAAGCAGCAGCAACAGATGCGGAAGCTCTAGAACTACCAGCAGAAGCAGCAGCTGTAGTAGTAGCGGTTTCAGTTCCAGCAGTACTACCAGGTATCCACCCCTTTTAATCGATATTCATTTAACAAAATTTCACTGCCGATTTCCTCTACATCAGCTTTCTGCGTTTTGCTCCATACAGACTCAGAAGGCAGAGCAGCGTTGCCACCACTTCCACTTCCTTCCTAGACTGCTTAACTTGCTTGCCTTCCTTTTGCGCCAGAGGAACGCACAAGAGCAAGCAACGAAGTAGAGAGTGCATGTTTTGAACAGGGAAATCACACCAGAAATCGAACCGGTCTACTGGTAAAAAAATCGTTGGCTCCGAATCAACACGAATTGGCAGGTCTTCTCAGAATCTTTCCTTGGCTGACAAGTAATTGTAAACCCATGCCAACTTCCCGTCTCAAACATTGGCTTGGAATAGGTTCTCATGGTAGAAACTGTTGTTCATCAGGTGTTTTGCTCTAAGCTTCGGAGACTTCCTCGTTCGCGCTTCTCTGTACCATAGCACAGTCGTCGAACTGTGTTCGATTGGTTGGCTAGTTCGATTAGTTGGCTAGCCGGCTGATATGTTGGATGCTCTGTTTTTTCCGTTCTTCTAAACACTGAGTACGACTGAGACTGAGACTGAGACTGAGACTGGGACTGAGATGTCTTGTTGTTTGGTTGTATTGGCTATATTGATTAAACTATTGAGACCTGGCCAGGATTAACAAATGGAAGCCTTTGTGGTTTTTCCTGCTTTGAACTACTTTCCTGTAGAATCTTGTAGCAGACCAGGAGCTTGATGGTCTCGGTTTAACCAGAAGACTCTGTCCTGATTGATGTTTTGGGTTATTATCAGTAGGAGTGGTGGTTCGGTTAAATCAAACATAAATCATTAGAAATTAGGACCCGAATTCACCGATTGTTCAAAATCGAAATTGAAACGGTTAAAAGAACTGAAATCGTACATACCCTTGATGGTTTCGGTCAGAATAAACTAAAAAAGAACCTTCATTTGTGATAAGACTTAATCGATTTTTATTGTTTTTGTTAATGATTTTCAGTTTTAAACTAAACCAAAACTGTTTTAAGGGTTTATTGGTTTTTATCGGTAATATTTCTTTTCCTTTCTGCTACTTCTTGAGTTCTTGTACCACTTGATAGCCACAGTTCTTTACTTCTTCCTCTTCTCCTTTCCTTTGTTTATTGCATTTTCTCCAACCGATTTGGGGAGATGGATGTTTTTGTCTTTAACGTGTTTGGATGTAAGTACAGCTAATAATAATTATATTATTATCAATCATTTGAGACAAAAAAAAAAATTATAAAAATAAACGAATAGTAAATTGAAGTATTTGGAGGTAAGATTGTTATATTACATACATTGTTTAGAGTATGTTGTTTTTTGGTTTATGCTATTAGACATTTCATGACATTTTTTGCTTGATTTGATATATAAGCTATTGCTTAGACATAACGAATGAACAATCTCAGGTTTTTCTGAGATTGTTGCTGAGATAGTTGAACCTATTTTTTTCTTTATAACTTAAAAATACAATCAAATTGAAAGTTGTATATTCATAAAACATCTATTTGACAATCACATACCCACTACACTTTTAAAGGGAAATACAAGCAGGAGCTTTTTCTTTGGCTAGCTTTGCTACTACAGTCTTTCAAAGGGAAATACAACAATTTAACAATTAGAGAAACCAAATCAAACCATACTTTACCATTCCATGTACCGTAATGACTAAATTGCAAAGTTTATGTGCTAGAACGACCAAACCAGTAAAGTCAAGCGTCGGATTCAAACTTTATCTCCCCAGAAGTATAGCTGGGCTGATTTGGGAAAGAATTGGCGCTTCAAATTCAAAGTTCAAACAGACAAAAAAAAATTGGTCAGCGCGACTCAGTAGCAACTCAGTGCTCTCCATCTTCGCCGTCTTCTCCTCTCATCCTCAGCTTCTCCTCGGTGACCGATTCGGTGCCGGAACAATCGAATTCTCAGTTCCGGGAATTCGTCCGCTCGTCATTCCGCTGTTGCTGCCATTGTCTGTTTCGCGAATTAGGGTTTCTTCTCTTTCTCTCCCTACGCGGAACCGATTCGAAATCTCTCTCTCTCTCCTCGTCGCTTCGTCTCTTGTCGAAAATGCCGAAGCGGAAAGCTAAGAGGAACGTGAAGAAAGCTGTGCCGCCGCCGCAAGAACCTGATGGCGGCAACGAAAGTGAGCTCCCGCGAGCTGAAGAGAAGAAACCAGAGTCGTCGCTTGACCTGGAAGGTTAGAAAATTCGCTTCCCTCCCTTGGTTTTGGCGTTTGGGAAGTTAGTAGTTCTGCTATTTTTTTTTTATGACGGAGAGCTGTTAGCTACTGGAATTAAGAGTTTGCTTTCGATTCGGATTTGATTTAGAAGAGAGCATTTTTACGAGATTTCTACTGCAATTGAAAATGCTCCGGGTGTCTATTGAAGGAACAGGGATTGGAAATGGCTTTGTTTAGAAACTGCCAAATTAATACCTGGCTTTTTTTTTCCTTTCATGAAGTTCAGCGGCAGGTTGCAGCAATTAGGGCAATACGCGACATGGAGATCGAACATTCGCTAACTGCTTTGCGTCTGCTACGTTCGAATTTCACTGAGGAGCAACTGGATACCCCTGTGCTTGAGATTTTCAAGGAGAATTTCCCGAACCTGTCAATAGTAAAGAGCAGCGAAGCCGGTCAGTTTGAACTCCAATGGAAAGACAAAGGTGATGATTCTTCTCTGCCCCAAGTAGCTGGTGGAGAAGAAGACGTACATGATTCTCTTCTCCGGGGTTTGTCCATGGCGTATCCTAGCTGCTCTGATGTTCCATCTCTTGGTGCTTTTGAGTTACCTAGCCATACAGGTAATGCCACTTTTTGCAGTCCTTTCTTTTGAATGAATGAATGGAGTATGCTATGCAAGTTCCTTCAATTTGGTTTTGCGTTTAGATTGATTGTATCTGACGTGATTCTCTTTGTTGAATGGCAGTGACAAAAAGTGTATTTGGTACTGAGAGCATGCAGATGGACGACTTTGTAAGTTTTGTGCAATGCCTTCAGTTAATATTCACCATTTTACTATTTCTATACCATAGTTTGGGAGGTGGAAGGGATCAAGGGAATGGGGCCTGCAACTTGTTTAGATCTTCATCACTGAAATCCTTGTGTTATCCTAAGCACGGCATGACTTAGTCTAGAACATTGAAGATGGATGATAAACACCCTGAAACTCACACTGACATTGATGTTTATTTTTGGGTAGATCTTGGAGGGTCAATCCAATTTCAATATGCTCTCGATGCAAGATGGTCTCCAAACACCAGGGGTTTGTATCTTCTTTCTTTGTTCCCTTTTGTTCTTTCTGTATTGTCCATGATGGGCACAATGTCTGACATGTAGTTCAGTATTTCTATACATGGGTTCATGTTTAGCATTCTGCAGAAATGTCTGGGGATGCATAATTGTACATTCGTGCTGATATCTTGTAGATTTAGCAACCGATAGGAATTGAAAATGCCTGTTGGAAAGTATTAACTATTGTATTTTGGAAGGGAAGATCATAAAGCTAGTTTGTTGAAGTTTACCAGAGAAGCCTCAATTTACCTAAAATCTGTCATGTTTACTCATTTGTGATCTTCTTTTCTTTTGTCTGGTTGAGGATAGTTCTTGCTGGTGATTAGATTTACCCCAAATATCTAACAATGCTTCATTCTCGATGTTTAGAGAATTATGAGCTCTTTGGAATATTATCTTGATGTAGTAAATTTTAGGACTTGAAAGCACTGTGCTTTCCAGCAGTTTGTAGGTTATTCAGCCACGCGTGTTAATTGATTTCAAGCCTTCTTGAAGTTCAAAGTAACATCTGTAATTGCTACAGGCTACCAGTCAGAGACTCTCTGTGGGGATGACACCCAAAACTTTAAGACTGCCTAAGCATGGTGAAATGCTTCTCTCGGTTCGTGGCTCGCCCCTTGGTGTCTACAAAGAAGACAACATGGAAGCAATACGAGGTATCCAAGTTACTCAAACAATAACCCCTTCAACTAAGCTAACTAACCTGTGCTTATTAAACAAGTGGCCTTAGGGCATTGAACAGAATTAAGGTCTTTGTCTTACAGTGGTGGATTGCATAGCATCACATACCATTGGCTTCCAGCTTCTTCTATTTTAATAGTTCATAAAAACCCCTCTTTCTTCGTCTTGATGTCTGGATCTCTGATTGCAGAATCTGAAGAGGACTGAACTACTACTGCAAGTGTATTTCGGTGTTTGGAGCTAAGAATGCTGTGCAATCTCAAGTTTCTAGGCTATATGTACAGAAATTACAATTGATCTCTCCTACTACAACAAAAAAAAAAAAATATACTTCATCACTCTATAACACTAAGGAAGCTCGAGCCATCACTCTGTTTATCTCTGTTAACGTGAAGGATCTCGAGTTCATCCTGCTTCATCAGCCAGCTTCACCTGTGTAACTGCATTTGCTCTTGGTTTTGAATGTTGATGTTGGTAACTTCTCAAGCTATTAACACCTGAACTTGACAGCTTGATTCTAGCATATCAATAACATTGGGAAAAAGACCTATTGTATCCATCTCCTAGTCCACAAGATCAACTTCTTGCTGTAAATTGATCTCTTTCTATCCTAGTTGAATTCCTGAGCTTAAAGCAAGCTTGCTAAACATCTTAAGACTCTTCACAGCATTTTGCGAATTCCGCGATCTCCTATTCGACACTGAATCTTTCGCACAAGCCTTAGTGTATCCCATATAAAGAAGTTTATATGGTTTCACCTCTAGGCCTCTACAGTCGGGAGAAGCAATTATGCTTAACTGTGTATCTCGTTCATGATTTTTATCAAACTGCTTCTGCTTGTCGATTGAATTAAGAAGCTTCAAGGTCCTAATGTCTGGCTTACAACGAAATCATCACATTCAGCCACATCCAACACTTCCCTTCTCTTAACAACCCTTTGAACACCAAACTTTCAGGCATTTGGCCTTTGCTAAATGATATGCTTGAAACTGGGGAGTTCAGTTTGAATCATCGATGGGTCTACAGAGAGTTGTACTGATGAAAGGAAAACCCTTATATTATTGGCTTCACAACTTGGTTCTCTGTTTTCTTGACTCAAAACATAGTGCTGAAAGTCTGCATAGTTCATAGGAGATTAAGTTAACCTACGATGCAGGTGTTCTTGCCAACGACCTCTTGCAGTCCTTTCTTTCGGACTAATGAACTTGTATTAAGCAAGTTGCACTTGTTATGCAAGTTCTACACCGTATGTACAGAATTACAATTTGCTCGACTACAACAAAAGAACCTACTTCACCGCTCTATAAAATAACAAAAAGCTCACGAGCGGCCACTGCTGCCATCACTCGATAAACGTGGAGTGAAGAGCTCAAGTTTTGTCGTCAGCCTGCCTGCTCTTAATCAGCGAGCTTAACCGGTACAAGTTATAACAGCAACCCTTTGGTCTTGAATCCAGGAGTTGATAACTGCTGAAGCAAGCAACACCTAGCTTGACTAGTTACTCTAGCATAGCAGTTTGGTATCCATCACCTAAACCACAATATCAATATCTTTGATCTCTTTCTTGTCCTCCTTTCGTGGGTGAATGGCTTTGCTTGGACTTGAAGCAAGCTTGCTAAAGTAGGGGCTTGCTGCTGTCTTCAGACTCTTTGTAGCATTCTGCGAATTTGTCGATCTCCTATTAGACTCTGAACCTTCTGCCGAAGACTTGGAACTTCCCAAAGCATCCAGGAAAAACTTCTTATTTGGGACAACACCATCTCTCTCCATTCTCTTCAGCAATCTCTCCACCAGCTCTTTCTGATTAGCTTTAGTGTATGCCTTATACAGAAGCTTATACGTTGAAGAATCCGGTCTCACCCCAAGCCCGCCGACATTCTCGAGAAGCAACTGTGCTTCACTGTGCAACTTATTCATGCAGTAAACACTGAGCATTGCATTCAACGTTGACACCCTAATCTCCTTCCCTGACCCAACCATCGAATCGAATATCTCCCGAGCATTAGACATGCAATCACAAAACCCGTACATAGTGATCATACTCTCAAAGGTGATGAAGCTAGGCGTGTACTTCATCTCAACAGTCATCTTCTCGAACACAGATTCTGCTCTTTCCCTCTGCCTCGCTTTCCCATAGCTCGTGATCATCGAGTTGAAAGTGGGGAGAGTCGGTTTCTCCTTGGGATGACTCAACAAGCTCTTGAAAACCTGCTCCATCTTAGCAAACTGCTGCTTCCTGCCATATGAATCTATCAGAAGATTGAAGGTTATAATGTCGGGTTTACACCGATCGCTCTTCATCAACGTAAGCAAAGATTCCATCTCAGAAATCATCCCGTTCTTTCCGTATGCATCCATAACGCCATTATACGTATAAACATCAGGCGACACATTGCTGCTCTCAAGCTCTTTCAACAATGCATTGACTTGATCCACCTCTCGAGCTTGAGCACACGCTCGCAAGAGGATGTTGTAGGTAACTACATTCGGCTGGCACCTCTCCAAACCTTTCATCCTCTCGAAGTAGCCGAGTGCCTTTGCCAGAGCTTTCGCTTTGTCCCTGGAATGGAGGTGAGCTGATATCAGTGAATTATACACTGAAGTATCGGGGCGACATCCGCTGTTGCGCATCTCCGAGAAGAGCCACATTGCCATCCTGATTTGGCCGTGCTTCCCCATGACAGATATCAGCTTGGAGTAGACACCATTATCGGCTACATACCATCTCTGTTTCTGCATCCACCTGAACACCTGAATGTATTAACTCACGAGTGAAGGGTGGAAAAACCTAAGTTGACTCTCCAATATATGATATATCCAGTGATCAAGTTAATAACTTTAACATACCCAATCTATCATTCCATCTGCAAATGAGATTCTTCTAACCCTAGAACAATTCTATCGAATCAGTTCGCTAGAAGGATTATCTAACGTAGCAAATTGGTGAAGGAAAGAGAGAATTTCTTACGAACCTCGAGACATTGGAGCCATTTGCCCTTCCTCCCGAGCTCCTCGAACAGCATGAAGCAGTGTTGAGTCCTTACGAGCCTTACGTACTTGTTCAGCGTCTTTGAGAGAGGCTCCTTCTCGGTGAAGCTCCTCACCATGACGCGAACCAGCTCCTCGGCCTCCGCTTTCTCGGCGTCTGGCGAAGGTTTCCTCCGGGGAGGTTTGGTTTTCGCCGTCGAGACGCAGGCGACGACGCGGAACCGGAGCTGCGGCGGCCGCCTCTGGGATTGAATCTCCGAACTGCGAATTGGAGCAAAATGAAGGGCGAATGGGGTAGAATTGAGGGCTGTGATTTGGTGCAGCGCCATTTTCTATCTGCAAAACCTCGTAGGCTGCGGCTCTGGAGATAGCGAGTGGTTGATGAAAAGGAGGGAGAGAGGACTGAGGAGAGAGATTGAAGATGGAAAATTTGGAAAGATAGGGGATCAAAGTGAAATATTTGCGCTGTGCTGCATTGACGGATTGAGGATGTAAATGTGCAAAATGGGGGGCTCTTTGTAATAACGTGATTCTTTTGGGGTAGAAGTGAAGTTTGGATAAGTAACAAAAAGAGCGGATTGAACCCTACGTGAATCGAACACGCAACCTTCTGATCTGGAGTCAGACGCGCTACCATTGCGCCAAGGATCCACTTGTTGTACGGACTAACAATGAACAGTAATTATATGTATTGTGAAATCTCATACAGACATAGGTTTTTGGACAATGATCCAGTCTACAACAAATGAACTTGTAAGGAATCGATATTTGGCCAAATCAAATTTGATTGAAGATATATATCAATTCAATTTCGATTCTATAAACCATCTTTAGTATGAAGAAAACATCAACCTAAATTAATCCGAACTGAACAAAGACGAACTAAATAAAGTAACCATATTTTTGGTATGATTTTTGTTCTCAACTTTCCAACCGAATCAACTTGTGCATAATCGATATTCGGCCAAACCGAATCGACTTAAATATATTTCGATTCAATTTGATCTTATAAATTATCTCAGTATGAAGGAAATATGAACTTAAGCATACTTTCAATATGATTTTGGTTCTCAATTTCCTTTCATTATAATCCGATCTTATCTCGATTCGATCCGGTTCTGGATATAATCAAAGAATGCCCACCCTTGGTGTGGGTGGGTACCAAAGACGACGATTGTTAAGGGAAAACTTAAAGAGTGGCTCTTCCATTGGCACCAAAATTGCAAAGCCATGAAGGCAGAAATAGTGGACCAAAAAAGCCAACAGAAAGAGCAATTCATTTCTTGAAGAAGAACCAACAATCAATCAGCTCTAAAGCCTGCAAACTAAACTAACAGACCAGCAACAACGAAAAATAAGGCTACAAATCCTAGAATTCCCTTCTCACAGCATCTCAAAAATACCAATCAGCAACTGCTGCAACCCCACTCCCACAACTCCCCGCCATTGATGCACATTGCACAGCACTGGAACTCATAGCAAATCCCTCCTCGCAGCTCAAAAAAAGCTCCAACCTTTCTCTCTTAACTGCTCTTCTCCTCCTCCTTCTTCTTCCCTTTCTTCGCCGTCACCTGAGAGTACAAAAACGTCCCCAGGATGGCAATCCCTGACCCCAGAGCATTCAATGGCTTCACCGGATTCCTGAAGAACAACACGGTGGCAACAATCACCACCACCCTCTTCATCGTGTTCCCAACGGAGAACGTCAGCGGACTGATATCATCAAGCGCCTGGTACGACGACTGGTTGTACAAGTGATAGAAGATCCCCGAACAGAGCACCATTCCATAAAACTCCATCGACCTCCCGCCCACGGCCACAATCGCGTTCTTGTAACCCCCAACCCACTGCGAGCCCTCGACGAGAATCGCGACGGGGAGCAGGTAAACAAACGAGACCAAACTAATCAATCCATACAGATTCAACCCGTCGATTTCTTTGAAGTTCTGCAGGCTCTTCTTGGAGTAGATGTTCCTCAGGACGAAGCCGAAGTTGCTGATCATGGCTCCCGAGAGGCCTCCCAAATTGAAGGAGACCTCGGTGACGGCGGCTAAGGAGCAGCCGAAGACTATGGGGAGGATCGAGAGCCATACCTTGAGAGGGTAGATCTCGCCGAGGAATGACGAGAAGATGACGGAGAAGACGGGCTCGGCCGATTTGATGACGTGGGTGAACGAGACGGCGACCTTGGAGAAGGAGACGCAGGCGGAGATGTGGCCGACGGTGTGGAACAGCGCCGGGCCGAGGAGGGCGAGGAGGAACTCCTTGGAGATTTTGGGGAACCGGCGGTTGATTGACCAGTTGGCCAGCATCCAGATGCAGCCGGTGAAGAGCTGGAACGTGGCGAGGAACCACGGGTAAGGGAAGACGTTTAGGGATTTCTTGTTGTAGATGTTGAAGATTACGTTGTGGAAGTACCAGAGCCCGAATACGGTGGCGAGTTTTAGGGTTTGGTTGACCGGTTTAGGATTCGAATCCGAATCCGGGATTGATGAACCGCTCCCTTCTGCCGCCGCCGCCGATTTGACGGCGAGGCGAGATCTGGGGGCAGCTGATTGGGCTGGGAGGAATCGAGATTGGTCGCCATTGGCGGCGGATGCGGAGATGAGAGACGAGTTTCGGCGGTGGAGTTGGGGGAAAGCGGCCGGGATGGAGAAGTGGCGGCGGTGGCCGGTGGTGGATTTGGGGAAAGCGGCGGGGGTTGGAGAGTGAGTGAGATTCAGTGACATCATGGCTCGTCGGTGGTTGGTGGGTGGCGGCGGAGGGGAAGGAGGAGAGCTAGAGGCGGTGGTGGGCGGGAGCTGTCTCTGTTGAGTTTGCAGTTGAAAAGAGAGGTACTACTTTATTGTACGTTTATCTTTTCTTTCATCAGTCTTTTCCTTTTACTTTATTGTGCTGAAACCACCGCACAGTGCGGAGGGTTTTATCCGTCAATTCACTAAACCTTTTTTTTATTTTTAATTGGCAAACCTTTTCTTTTTCGCATTCTGCCTCCTAAACTCCCACCGGGAAATCGGTCTTCCAATCCCTACCGTAATCGAAGACCTTCATCTCGCCGCCTTTGTGTTTTTCGCCGATAGCTCATGCAGCCCTCCTCTGCGCCGGAATCGAAGAATCTTCCTCTCAAGCCTGCCCATATATTTTCGCCCAAAACATTTAATCTTCCAATCTTTGGAAGACCTTCATCTCGAGGCTTTGGTGTTCTTTCGCCGATAGCTCCTCCTGCATTCCTCGACCGTGCCGGAGTCGAAGACCTTCCTCTCAAGCCTTGCTCTTTCCCGTCTGTCTCTAATCGGAGGGCCGACATATTGCTCATCACCGTGTTCGACTCACGCTGGCGCATTAGCCTCAGCTAGGGATTAATTGGAGCAATCTCCCTGCAAATGTAAGTTTCTATTAAAGTGGGTCTCTTCTGATTTTGGCTTTGCGAGGTCTCTAAGTGGAATTCTCCATCTCTTTTTCCCTCTCTGTTTTTGCTTTTCTAATGGGGCATGTCATCCGATTGACTTCTAATCCCCGTCATCAAATTTTTTAGGTGTGCTACTGTTGGTTGGTGTATGATTTATTGATTTTGATGTGGATTCAGACCCAATTTCTGGATTAGGAAGGATCACAGTTTGTTGAAGGATTCATCTCCCCTGAATGATTGATTGGTTGCCTTTTCCGGGGAGATTTATTTGGGTCCTTATCGATTGCAGTAACGGCCCCAAAGCGTTGTTGCCGCGGCGATACTTCTTCTAGCCAGAAGAACACTTCATCTACTTCCAGCACTCTCTCAATCCATGTAATGTTCTCATTCTGAATTCATTTTGATGTTATGTGAAGTTTAGGATTCTCTTACTATCTGGAGTTACATATTGTTGTGTACATCTGATTAGGATTCTCTTACTATCTGGAGTTTAATATTCCATTATGCATTCTCGCATAAACCAATGTATATATGCTTATTGTGATTTCTTTTGTTTGAGGATTTGTGATCAGCATTTGATACTTAATCAGTGACTCTCTCCTCTCTCCACATGTTATTTTCCAGTATTAGCTTTAAGAATTAGGTTTGGTTATAGTATGCTACTGTTAATGATTTCATATCCACCGGAATGCAAGCGATAAAATGCAACTACTGTCCGCTTGTGTTCTGCAACAATGCCACATTCTCTTTTGTACTCACCATGTACTTAAACGTTGCGTGTCGTTTTAAATTCCGGAGCTTGAAATGTGTAGATGAGTTCATGTTTAACTTTGGACTTTAGCTAGCATGTTATGGACTTTGTAGAACAAATTTGATTGATGGAAATCAGATCAATAACTAAAAGATGTAGACAATCATGTTTATGTTTAATATGTTTGTATTTATACACTCATTAGCACATTACACAGTATGAAACATGAAAGGCAGTAGTTTTGTTTTGTTGATTTTGTTTTGTTTTGTTGATTTTGCTCAAATCCCGATGCGGAGCGCGGGCAATGAAAACTAGTTAGTAATTACAGCTGGTTAATTTTGGTTAGTTGGGCAACAACAAGTTCGACGACCAGGCCCAGTCTAATCGAAGGTTGTTGGGCTTCTTTTGTTGGTTTATTGGCCCAATTCATAACAGAGCCCGACCGATTCAGACTTGCCCCTAAAATCGCGACTGCGACGCGAAGCTTCTAACCCCTCTCCCTCCAAAAACCTTCACGAAACAAATGGCGAACGTCGGCGAGAGCTCTTCAGCACCTCCGATGTCTACCGACGGCGTGAAGCCCGTCGTCGTTAGGGTTAAGCGGAAGTTGCACCAGTCTATACTCGACGCCTTCTGTCAGTTTCCGCTTCTCTTCTCTTCCACTTACTGGTCTTTAATTTGACGGTGCGGCTCGGTAATGTCGCTGCGGACTTGTTCGAGGAGTTGTTGAAGTAATTGGCTTGAGCGGATTCTGATTTTGCAGGGCTGGAAATCAACGAGCGGCCGTCGAAGCGCGCGACTTTGGATTTGGCGAAGCTCTCGCTTGGCGATTCCGCTAATGGAAACGGTAAATAGTGATTGGGAACCCCAAAATGTTTGGTTGCTTATTAGGGATTACGAAATTTGATCTAAAAGCAGTTCCATGGAGTCAACCATGGGAACGGTCTCTTGTTTCTTCGCCTTGCTATGTTGAAATTGGCGATCTCTTGTTTTTTGGAGCAGGAGAAGAATCTAAGACTAGGAAGATCCTTGTGCAGCACGTTGAAACGATCAGCACCTCGGAATCCACCATTAGTGTTGTGCAATCGTTTGTGGTTAGTGGAACTCAATCTGTGTTTTCTGCATTTCATAATTTCTGTAATCATTGATGCGTTATAGTGCTTGCAAGATCCTGTTGTTGTTGTTGCTGCATATTGGCTACTGCTTGTTAAATATGGATTGGTTGTGCATAACATTGATTCATTTGATTGTTTATCTAGCAAAAATCCAGGAAATAGATATCAGATGATTTGATTCATTGTCTGCATTCTGATCTTGTGCTGGAATTTTGAACTTTGAGCATCATAGCTATGTTTAGCTTTCCCATTTTCTGATATTTTAGATGTACCGTAACATGCTTCAGTGGTTTGAATACTGATTCTTTGTCTTTGCAGCCTAACTCTGTTGATGTGGTCGAAGCTAAAACGACAACGGAGGACTGGAAACGGACCTTTAAAAGTGTAAATGTATGGTATCTTTCTCCCTCCCTAGTTATCCACCATAAGTAATATAGCCACGAGTTTTCATTAGTGGTTGCTATATCTGATACTTTCTGCTTTTTTGTGCTAATTTCTGCAGAAACAAGAACAAATTCTTTTAAAATCCAGACAAAGTCAAGAGGTATATTTAGTGAATGGAGTTGGAGCTTGTATTTATATAATGATGGGAGATGGAATAAAATGCCCTTTTTACTAGAATTGGGATGAGAAAGGCCCCTTATATACGAAACAAGGCCTTTGGTAATGACTAATGAACCCATGCCGGTTGGGAATCCTTAAGCTCTTAGTTTGTAAAACCTGAAAGATAGTGCCTTTGCATTATTAAGAGTTATTTTTCTCTAATTCTTGTTTCATCTTGCTGTACATTGTGTTCTTGGCATTAGCAAATAGCCAAAAGTGCACGCTTCCAACAAATATGGAGCAGGCGGAAGGAAACAGAGGAAGCAGTGCATGATATGTGTCATTTCTATGATGTCATTCGAATTGATGCCGAATCCAGTCAGGAGAAGCAGAAAGAGTAAGTATCTTGCTGTTGGAAGTTATTGCATCTTACAGAGACAAAGTAAAGGTAAACTAAAGTTAGTTCCTCTGGTTTCAATGCAGAGCTCTGTCTGTGGAGGATCAGAAGCTTCTTTCTAGCTATTTGCCTTTCTTAAAGGAGTTGATTCCAGATGCTGCTGAGGAGATTGAAGCTGAAATCAGTGCTTCCACTTCCCAGGAAGGTAGGATTTCAAGGTTTTTTCGTAGAACAGTTTCCTTTGTAGGAATACTTTGCCATGCTGATCTCTATTTATGTTGCTAACGACTGTTTGATGGGTTCTTTTTCCGATGGCAGATGAGTATGTGTATGACTACTATACTGTGAATGATACCATGGACATAGAACCCGAAGACCCACCTTTTTCATTTCCGCTGTAAGTATCAGAAACCATGTGTTCTTTTTGATTGTCGTACCTTTCATTTGCTGACGTGACGCTGTGGTTTAAGGGTGCAAGTTGAGGATGAGGATTTCTACGATGGACCAGATGACGAATCTGAATGCGACAGTGAAGATTCAAACGGTATTGTTGACTCCTACTCTTCTACTCCCTTAGCCAGCCAGATGTTGCTAACTGGTTTTGTTTGGTCTAGTTAACCAGATTGAAAATTGAAAATCGCTTAGTAGTTGCTAATTTAAAACAGTATTCAGACCCATGACCTGATCGTGAACTGCACATTTTAACCAGTGACTAAAACCGGCAGTCCTAAACCGATATGAACTTGGTTGGCCAAAACCGACTGGTTAAGTCACTGTATGAACAGTTACCAAAACAGTTAGTCCCTCCTACACCTTAGCTCAAAGCACCGATGATACTGCTTTCTCATTTCCTTTCTCTCCTCGTGGTTTTTTTTTACAGCTGAAAATCATCCATTTAATGAATATCCCGATGAAAGTTCAGAAGCAGAAGACGAGTTGCGGAGTGAAGATAAAAGTAACGACGATGAAGACGATGGAGAAGAAAACGAACAAGGTGAAATGGAAGATGAAGAGGAGGAAGGTGATGATGACGGGAATCACAGCTTGCCGGATGGCGAAGGCACAAATTCCGGCGACCAGTTTGATGCCTACGTTGATCACTACATTGATGAAGCTTATAGCTTTGCTAACGACGAACCTGAAAGTGAAGACGGTTATAGTGAGAGCGACTAAGAGCTCAAAGAATCTTCCTCTCAAGTGATGCAAGAATCTTTCTGTCTGCGGCAATTCCTCAAAACCACAGTTGTTGGGATTGACTTATTTTGCGTATAGCTTATGTATGCAGTTACTGTTACTAGTTCACGATAATCTTTGCAAAGACGAGCTTTCATAACCTCCTCATCCTTCGTCTCCAACTCTCGTAGCTCCGCCTCGTGCTTTTCGCTTAGCACCCTCCATCTCTTTTAACTTCGCATCTTGTTCTTCCTGTCTCCTCCCTCGACTTGTGCAAGACATAAGTCCTATTCCTTTCTTACTCTCCATTTTACCAATGCTTTCGACTCCTCGTACTTCTCCTCGTTCACTCCTCTCATCTCATCGGCTGCTTCTCCTGATTTGACATGGTTTACTTACATACAAACCGCTGCGATAAAACAAAAAATGACAGTTTTATACCAACCAACACAAAGAAATTAAATTCCAAAATATGAAATAAAAAGTGATTTTTATTGAATGCAGTTTCCATTGTGACAAAATCTATATAATAAAAATAAAAAAAAAGTGCAAAACCAACCCAGCCTGCGATTAGTCTCGATACATGAAAGCAAGCTTGAATTCGCCGTTCAAATAAATCATGAAGAAAATCGTGTTTGTCAACATAACAGACACCCTACGAATTGGAAGCCGGGTAGGATAACCTCTGAAGCCAGGAGTATAGCTCTCATCCCCGTCGTAATATGCCAACATGATATCGCCGCCATCCGGATGGGATATCTTCACAAACCACCAGTTGCTACGGTCGAATGATTCGTTGCTCATAAAACATATATCAATTCTAGGGGGAGCCGGCCAATCTTTGGTGTCTTCATCCACCACTTGAACTGAAATGTTTCCCTGAAAGAAACCCGTGAAGTCCGCCGTCATATTGTTCTCATAATAGTATACAGATTTCATACTACCGGTGGACCAAGTATTTGGTGGCACCGCCCGTCTTTTGCTTTTATGGACTACCCAATCATTGGTGTACTGTGTCGTAGGTGGGTGCGCCCACGATTGCTTCCGACGTTGCTCCAGCTCAAGTTGCTCCAGCTGGTCGCTCAGCCTTCTCGTTTCAGCTGCATTCTCTTTCGTCGTTTCTTCCTGCTCTTTCTTCAGCTTTTCGAGCTCGGCATCCTTTTCGTTGATCAACCTCTGCAATGATTCATCTTTGTTCTTTCGCTCACTTTCGAGCACTTTTGCCATCTCCTCCTCCTTCTTTGCTGCTTTACCCGCTTCATCATCCCTAGTCCTTCTCAGAGTTTCTACCTCCTCTCTCAATTTTTTTAGTTCCTCGTCCTGCTCTTTGCTCGACTTTGCTCCCTCTTTTGTTTCTCTTTGCAATGCCTCTATTTCTTCATCTTTCTCCTTTCTCCCCATTTCTATCTTTTCTTGCATTTCCTCTCTTAGCTTTCGCAATTCCTCGACCTTCTCCTTCCTCAAATTTTGCAAGTCGTCGCTCGCCCTTTTGAGCGTCTGCTGCACGCCGTCGTTTCTCTTCAACTGCTTTTGCACCTCGTCCTTTTCCTTTCTCGACTTTCGCAGCTCCTCCTCGTGCTTTTCGCTTGCATCCTCCATCTCCTCTTTTAGCTTTCGTATTTCCCCATCTTTTTCATCCCTAAGTTTTTGTAGATCTTCTTCCGACTCCTCCCTCAGCTTCTCTAGCTCCTCGTCCTTCTCTCTGGCCATCCTTTTCAACCCCTCGTATTTCTCTTTGCTCACCCCTTCGGACATCATCGGTTTCGGACGCTTCGCCTCATCCCTTTGTCTCTTCACCTTTCGTAGCTCCGCGTCTTTCTTTTCGATCGTCTCTTCCATCTCTTCTCTTAGCTTTTGTAGCTCTTCTTCTTTTTTCTCCGTTAATTTTTGTATCTCGTCTTCCATTTCGTTGGTTACCTTCTCCAGCTCCTCATCCTTCTTGCTCAACATCCTTTTCAACTCTTCATACTTCTCTTTGCTCACCCCACCTCCCACCATCAGTTGCTTTGATATTTTCTTTTTCCTTGACACGGTGTACTTCAACTCCAACCGCGACCACATGGTAATCCTCACCAACTCAATCCCGTGATTGGCCCAGCTGAAGAGATCGTTCAATCGGAGATAGTGAGCCTCAGAGTCTCTGTGCTCTCCCAGCTCAGTCACGTCTTGAAAGCAATACCCTCCAGGGTTCACAATCAGACCCGACCGAGTGAGGTGTCGGGCTAGCTTGGTGAGGGCTTCCTGTCCCTCGATCTTCCCATGGCCATCGAAAAACAACAGCCCGTCGTAGTACTGCTCTTCCGCCAAGTCTTTGTCGTCTCCATTATCATCACTATCGAGGATGATGATGGTGCCAACTTCCTTCCAATGAGTCTTTCGGATATAGGAAGGGTGAATAGTAGGATCGCTCAACTCACATACTCTAATGGCGGTTTCGTCAGAGGAGGTAACGAAGTGTTTGTCTGACTTGAAATCAAAGAAAACCATCGCTACGAATTAATTTTATTTTGAGACAATGTGAATGATGGAAAAATGAGATCAGTTATATTACAAATCTCTTTGGAAACACGCTATTGAGCCTTATAAAATCAATTAGAGACTTTGATTAATAAAATAGTAAACTGTAGTCATTTTTAATTGTTTTCGCGTTTACTAAGCCAAGAACCCTGATAATTACACAATTAAGAAAGACTTTAGTATAACCAATTAAATGAATATAATTCCAGTGACAAACTGACAATGGCATCTATCCTAACGTGCCAACAACCTTCATTATTCTTTGTCAAGTATTATTTCCTGTTAAAGTCTTTTTTTGTAATTAAAATAATTTCGCATAATTTCACCAGTTGACTATAGTAGTTTTATTTTGGAAATAAGTCAACTTTTTATAAATTCTTCATTTTGTATAAAATAGTGTAGATGACAACTACCATGTACCAGACCCCAAACGAAGTTAAGTAAATCAAATTTCAGTGGACAACTTATTATTAAGCATAAGAATAAAGAGCTTTAATTATCGCATCACCATATATCAGCCGATAAAAAACCACTTGGAATTGTCATTTTTCTTACTATTTAAATATGGCTAGCTGCATCAAGTCCGATCCATTTGGATGGACAAAGCTAAACTTTCATTAATAATGGCGATATATGTTTATGTAACTGAGATTTAAATTTGAGACTTCCAGGTTCAAGAGATCAATGGATCAAATACACTAGATCAAACATTTGTTCGCACAAAGCTAAAAATTCAAACTAATATGGAGTTTCGAAATTGTTCAAACTCTCAATGCCCTTCATCTTGATTTCGAAAACAATTGTGGATTTGTCTCCCAAATAGGTAGGATTCATATCAATTGGATTGTTTAATCAATTTCATCGCTGGAAAACCAAAATGACCCCGACAAAAGCAAAAACGACCAACTTGCAGATTACCTATACATATATAGACAGTAGTTATAATTAATCCCGATACATGAAAGCAAGCTTGATTTCGCCAAACAAATGAACCATGAAGAAACTTGCGCTTGTGTATATACTACAGCTCCTAGGAAACGGAAACCTGGTAGTATAACCCCTGTAGCCGTCACTATAGCTTCGATCGCCGTCGTAATACGCCAACATAGCAAGGCCGCCGCCGCCGTCCTGATCCGGATGTTCCATCTTCACAAACCACCAGTTGTTCTTGTCGAATGTCTGCTCCATCCCAGTATATACACAAATCGAAGGAGGAGCCGGCCAATCTTTCGTGTCATCGTCCACCACGTGCACGTTGAAATTCCCGTACGAGAACGCCCAGCAGTCCGGCGACCTCATACCATTCTCGTGGCCGTAGAAGATGCCGCTCTGCTTGGACCAAGTATTTGGTGGCACCGGCCGTCTTCTGCTCTTGTGGGCCGTCTCGTGATCGGCGGTGATGTACTTCGTCGTAGGTAAGCGCGTCCACGATTGCTTCCGACGTCGTTGCTCGGCCTCGTGTTGCGACAGCTGGTCCCTCAGCTTTCTCGTTTCTTCGTCTTTCTCCTTTCTGGCCTTTTCTATATCCTCTTGCATTTCCTCTCTTAGCTTTCGCATTTCCTCGGCCTTCTCCTTGCTCGGCTTCTTTTGCATATCGTCGCTTTCCCTTTTGAGCGTCGGTTGCACGCCAGCGGTTATCTTCAACCGATTTTGCAGATCGTTCTTTTCCTTTCTCGACTTACGCGGCTCCTCCTCGTTCTTTTCGCTTGCAATATCCTCCATCTCCTCTTTTAACTTTTGTATTTCCCGATCTTTTTCGTCTCTCAGCTTTTGTAGATCTTCTTCCGACTCCTCCCTCAGCTTCTCTAGCTCCTCGTCCTTCTCTCTCACGATCCTTTTCAACCCCTCGTACTTCTCTTTGCTCACTCCTTCGGGCACCGGTTTCAGACGCTTCGCATCATCCCTTTGCCTCTTCACCTTTCGTAGCTCCACGTCTTTCTTTTCAATTGTATCTTCCATCTCTCCCCTCAACTGTTGTAGCTCTTCTTCCTTTTCCTCTCTCAATTTTTGTAGATCTTCTTCAGACTCCTCCCTCAACTTCTCTAGCTCCTCGTCCTTCTCTTTGACGACCCTTTTCAACCCCTCGTATTTCTCTTTGCTCACGCCTTCGGGCATCGGTTTCGGACGCTTCGCGTCATCCCTTTGCCTCTTCACCTTCCTTAGCTCCGCGTCTTTCTTTTCAATCGTCTCTTCCATCTCTTCTCGCAACTTTTGTAGCTCTTCTTCTTTTTCCTTCTTTAATTTTTGTATTTCATCTTCCATTTCGTTGGTTACCTTCTCCACCTCCTCATCCTTCTTGCTCAACATCCTTTTCAACTCTTCATACTTCTCTTTGCTCACCCCACTGCCAACCATTGGTTGCTTTGAGATTTTCTTCTGCCTTGGCACGATGTATTTCAACTCTTCTTTCTTTTCAATCGTCTCTTCCATCTCTTCTCTCAACTTTTGTAGCTCTTATTCTTTTTCCTCCTTTAATTTTTGTATTTCATCTTCCATTTCGTTGGTTACCTTCTCCAGCTCCTCATCCTTCTTCCTCAACATCCTTTTGAACTCTTCATACTTCTCTTTGCTCACCCCACCGCCAACCATTGGTTGCTTTGAGATTTTCTTCTGCCTTGGCATGATGTACTTCAACTCTTCTTTCTTTTCAATCGTCTCTTCCATCTCTTCTCGCAACTTTTGTAGCTCTTCTTCTTTTGCCTCCTTTAATTTTTGTATTTCATCTTCCATTTCGTTGGTTACCTTCTCTAGCTCCTCATCCTTCTTGCTCAACATCCTTTTCAACTCTTCATACTTCTCTTTGCTCACCCCACCGCCAACCATCGGTTGCTTTGAGATTTTCTTCTGCCTTGGCACGATGTACTTCAACTCCAACCGCGGCCACATGGTGATCCTTGCCAACTCAACACCGTGACTTGCCCAACTGAAGAGATCGTTTAATCGGAAATAGTGAAACCCAAAGTCTTTGTGCTCTCCCAGCTCAGTCACGTCTTCAAAGCAATACCCTCCAGGGTTCACCATCAGACCCGACCGAGTGAGGTGATGGGCTAGCCTGGTGAGGGATTCACGTCCCTCAATCTTCCCATGGCCATCGAAAAACAGCAACCCATCATAGTACTGATCTTCTTCCAGGTCATCGTCACCATTATCGTCACCATCGACGATGATGGTGCCAACTTCCTTCCAGTGAGCCTTTCGGATATAGGAAGGGTGAATAGTAGGTTTGCTCAACTCACAGACTCTAATGGTGGTTTCATCAGAGGAGGTAACAAAGTGTTTGTCTGATTTGAAATCAAAGAGAACCATGTTTGCTAGCCAGTGGGAGCCTAGGATAGGAGGGATAGATAGATGAGAATTGAGATGGGGTGATATGTTTGTGTTTGGGTGATGTATCTATATATAATGCCTCAATGTGGCCATCTCTCACCAAGAACCCCACTTAACTTAAATTAATATGTAACTTTGTCTAAATAGGTTTCCTGGAAATTGCATCGACTCGGAGTCATTCTTTTGTTTGATGAAGAACAGTACTATGGAGAGTCTTTGTTTAACTATAAAGTAGGGGTGGCTATACGGTCCGGTCCGGTTAAATTGGCCCAAATTGATCCGGTCCAGTCCGGTTTTTTTGAAAATATAAGGACCAAAGATTGGATTGGATACAGTCCGGTCTTGATCCGGTCCGGTCTTAACCCGGTCCGGTCCCAATTCGGTCTTGATTTTATATTGAGATTGTGGGAATTTGAGTGGCCTAAGGCCTAAAAGGGTGAGGAGTTGGTTAAGTTTTGTACTAAGTGCAAAGGTTTGTGACCGTTTATGCAAATTACCCTTAAGTTTTGGGTGTTAAGCTCTCTTATCCGGTCTTTATCCGGTTTTTTACCTCAAATCTAAGCCCAAAGATTGAATTGGATTGTTTACTATCCGGTCCCGGTCCGGTCTCGGTCCGGGTTATACGGTCCGGTTTCCAGTTTTTTATTCGGTCCCGGTCCAAATAGCCAGCCCTACTATAAAGGAGAGTCTTTTGTCTCTTGTATTGATGAATGATTATTATATATAGGGTAAATACAATATATTAGCCACAATTATTATGAAATGGGGAATTATAGTCACAACTATGTAAAATTCAAATTATTAGCCATAACTGGTCAAGATATGGCTAACAGTCTGTTACTATTATTGAATTTTTAACGGAGACCGTCACGTCATCGGCCACGGCAGCAGCCACGTCAGACTGCTTTTAACTTATAACTTTAAAACATAAAAGTTTAGTCAGCATTACTAACAAAATTGTTAACAGAGAGTTAACGTTTGGCTAATAATTTGAATTTTCATAGTTGTGGCTATAATTCCCCGCTTCATAGTAGTTGTGACTAATATATTGTATTTACCCTAATTCAGATCGTGTCTTTGTTTAATCATAAAGAGAGTCTTTGTCCTTAATTTGTCTTGATGAATAATTAGTATAAGCAGATCAGATAACGTCTTTGTTTAATCCTGCCAATTTTCTAACTTTGTAAAAAAAAATTAGAAACTGTTTAGATTAACAAAAGGTATGTTAATCTGTTCATACTAGCTATTTGTAACCATTTACGCATACGATACACACCAAATTTAAACATACACTAGAAATTATCCGCACCTTGCTACGGCCTATAAAGAAAACAATGAAACGGATTCATTAGTCAATACCAGCTGTCAGTAGATAGGAAGTAAGAGGAAAATAGTAAAAAATTGACGGAAAATAGTAGAAGTTAAAAAAAAAATCAAACAACTTTTTTAGTGAAGATAAATCAAAGAGCTGTAGAATTATAATAATGATTTTTTTTCTTCAACCCTTAACCACTCCTATGCACCTTAATAATAATTGAGCAACGACCCTGTTCTTTTCTCACAAGTTGTGGATTGTGATGGAAGGGGGTTTTCTTTTATCTAATCAAACGTATTATTAGTCTCAGTTGTAATGAATAAACAACTGGCATCATAATAAGAAGCACGTATTCTTAATCAACTTGCATCACAATATAACTGCGCCAGACCCTTAAACCTTCGAAATTCAAGGGTAGTATAGGATCAGTCGAGAAAATCATTCATTTGATCGAGTATGTTTTTAGAAATATTTACCTCTAATTTTAGTGTGCTCTCTCGGAGGAGCACGGATGCAAGTAGGAAGTTTAACCTTGATGCATATGGTGAAAATATCATCGGCTTTGCATGATTATCAGTTAATTGAAAATTTTATTTTATTTATCGATCATTACATTTTCAGGTATTTATACCCTGAATATGGGTTAGATCCCCTTCTTTGGTTATTTTTCTCTAGTATTTTACTAGGACAAGGCCTGGCCTGCTGGCCGGTAGAGTTCGTTCGATGGTTATATAATTTATGTGTATCATTTACACTAATATTGTGTGTTTTGTTTGGTATTTGATCATGGATGAACTTTCTAGTCAAAAACTCAAATTACTTCAAGGATGCTAATTAGAACGTATTGATAACATGAGAAAGTCAATCTGCCTAACAAAAGAATTATTTTTTCAATTTTTATCTTGTTTGTTGATCATGCATGAATAATATATTACATATAGTATAGGAACATTGACATATATTTTTGAACTTGTTACCATTTTCAGTGTGAATGAGTGAAATGAATTAGCTCTCTATTCGAACAAAAGTTTACAAATCATTGGCATGTAATTGTTTTTTAACATTTCCATTTGTTGCTATAGTATAAGTTTAACATGCGTACTTGAGATAGTAGTGGACAAATAACTGATTTATTATGTTTAAGTATATAGATTCAACACGGGGATACATGTGATAAGTTTTTAATTACCATAACAGAGAGACAAACATAAGAATTTGATTCCAAAAGTTACGAAAATGGGAAGTGATTTTATTCAACATGTATTAGGCAGAATACAACATTTTTTTATTTGTTTTAATCACAGAATGCGACGGATTTTAGGGTTTCTGCGACGCTTTTGTTCCGTCGCAGAAAGTGTATTTTCTTGTAGTGTGATTTATACTTAATCTCACATTTTTGTTGAGATTTATTATCTATAGTAGTTCATTTCATGTATAATCCATGCATTCTTCTATCTTTTCCAGACAACGCATTCTTAGTATATATACACATAATCTTAATACAGTCATTCTTGTAATACACCATTTCTATAATCAATGGTTTCAAACGGCCCCATAGTTGGTTTCCTTTTTGTGACTATAAATAGAAAGGGAGGGTAGGGATGGAAAAGCAAGCAAAACAACAGTATTGCTGCACGATGCAGAGAAGAGAAGGTTGGCCAACCAACCTGCGATTACCTATAGTGAGTCCCGATAGTGGAAAGCCAGCTTGAATTCGCCAAACAATTCAATCATGAAGAAAACTGTGCTTGCTGATATAAAAGTGCCCTTACCAAATGCAATCCGGGTAGTACGGCCGTTACCGTTGTTGGTAGCAGTGTAGCTTCGATCACCGTCGTAATATGCTAGCATGGTATGGCCGCCATCCTGTTGTCGCTGTACCTTCACAAACCACCAGTTGTTCTGGTCGAATGCTACATTTCCCCCACACTGTACATGAATCGTGGAGCTGGGAGCCGACCAATCTTTGGTGTCTTCATCCACCACAAGGACAGAACCTCTTTCAAGGAACCCCATGAAGTCCGAGTTCTTATTGTTCTCATAAAGGTATGTGAAACCCCAACCATTGACGGACCAAGTACTTGGTGGCACCGCCCGTCTCCTGCTTTTGTGGACTGTGGGATCAGTGGTGTACTTCGTCGTCGTAGGTAGCCGCATCCATGATCGCTCCCGACGCAATGCTCCGTCGTCCTTGTTGTTCTTTCGCTCATTTTTTGGCACTTTTTCAATCTCTTCCTCCTTCTTCGTCGCTTTACCTGCTTCGTCGTCCCTAGACCTTCTCAGAGTTTCTACTTCATCCCTCAATTCTTTAAGTTCCTCTTCCTGCTCTTTGCTCGGCTTTGCTCCCTCGTCTTTTCCTCTTCGCAATGTCTCCGCCACTTCTTCGTCTTTCTCCTTTCTCGCCTTTTCCGTCTCCTCTTGCATTTCCTCTCTTAGCTTTCGCAATTCCTCGGCCTTCTCCTTCCTCGGCTTTTGCAAATCGTCGCTCCCCACTTTGAGCGTGTGCTGCACGTCATCGTTTTTCTTCAACTGCTTTTGCAGCTCGTCCTTTTCCTTTCTCGACTTTCGCAACTCCTCCTCGTGCTTGTCGCTCGCATCCTCCATCTCCTCTTTTAACTTTCTTATTTCCCCATCTTTTTCATCCCTCAGCTTTTGTAGATCTTCTTCCAACTCCTCCCTCAGCTTCTCTAGCTCCTCGTCCTTCTCTCTGGCCATCCTTTTCAACCCCTCGTATTTCTCTTTGCTCACTCCTTCGGACATCATCGGTTTCGGACGCTTCGCCTCGTCCCTTTGCCTCTTCACCTTTCGTAGCTCCACGTCTTTCTTTTCAATCGTCTCTTCCATCTCTTCTCGTAGCTTTTGTAGCTCTTCTTCTTTTTCTTCCTTTAATTTCTGTATCTCGTCTTCCATTTCGTTGGCTACATTCTCCAGCTCCTCATCCTTCTTGCTCAACATCCTTTTCAACTCTTCATACTTCTCTTTGCTCACCCCACCGCCAACCATTGGTTGCTTTGATATTTTCTTCTGTCTTGGCACGATGTACTTCAACTCCAACCGCGGCCACATGGTGATCCTCGGCAACTCAACACCGTGACTGGTCCAGTTGAAGAGATCATTCAATCGAAAGTAGTGAGCGCCAAAGTCTCTATGCTCTCCCAGCTCAGTCACGTCTTGAAAGCAATACCCTCCAGGGCTCACCATTAACCCCGACCGAGTGAGGTGTCGGGCTAGCTTGGTGAGGGCTTCCTGTCCCTCGATCTTCCCATGGCCATCGAAAAACAACAGCCCGTCGTAGTACTGCTCTTCTGCCAAGTCGTCGTCGTCTCCATTATCATCACTAACGATGATGATGTTGCCAACTTCCCTCCAATGAGTCTTTCGGATATAGGAAGGGTGAATAGTAGGATCAGTCAACTCACAGACTTTAATGGTGGTTTCGTCAGAGGAGGTAACGAAGTGTTTGTCCGACTTGAAATCAAAGAGAACCATGTTTGCTAGCTAGCTAGTGGGTGACTTGAATAGGAGGGATAGGTAGATAGATGAGAATTGAGATGGGGAGATATGTTTGTTTTTGGGTGATATATCTATATATATAATGCTTCAATGTGACAATTTCTCACCAACTACCCGTCTAAACAACTTAAACTAATAGGCAACTATTTGTCATAATAAGTTTGCTGGCCATTTGCATTGATTGGTTATTCTGACCGCAGCAATTACGATTGGCGACACTAGTGCGTAGAAAAAGATAAAAAAACAAAGGATTAAGAAATACTTCTTTTTGTCATATAGAAGGAATTATGTTTCTATTAACGTGATAAAAATAACCTCGTTTACAAACTCAATCTTTCAAAGGAAGAAAGTAATTAAGATTATTTACAAATTCAATTTTTTCAATAGTTCAAAAACTTTATGTGGTATTGAACTATGTTTGGAGAGTCTTTCTTTTATTTGATGAATAATACTATGGAGAGTCGTTGTTTAATTATAATGATGAGAGTCTTTTGTCTTGAATCTTGATGAATAATTAGTATAAGTAGATCGAGTCTTTGTTTAATTGGAAAGGGAGAGTCTTTGTCTTAATGAATAATTATTAAATATTGGAAGATTGAGTTTTCGTTTAATCATAAGGAGAGTCTTTGTATATTTCTCTTAATGAATAACTACAAGAAGATTGAGTCAATGTTTAATTATAAGGAGTCTTTTTCTTTTGTCTTAATGAATAATTATGGTTTGGGTTAGGTTACAAAACCTTATAGTTTTATAATACTACAAAATCATAATATGTCAAAGTCCTACCATCGTTTAGAAAATAGAGAAATGTATATATATGGTGATGACTGGTGTACGTCAGGCGTATAGCATACGTCAGGTGATCTAGCCGTTAGATGTAGTTAGATGAGCTCCGGCCGATCTCAACGGTCAACTTTTATTTTTCATTAAATCAAACTTCGGGTTAGGGTTTAGAAAACCGGTGCCTGGGGTTTATCCATTACAGGTTAGGGTATAGTATCATACCCCAGACTTTGGTAACCAGAGCGTGGAGCAGGAGCGAGAGCGGGAGCGGGAGCGAGAGCGTAAGAGCGTTAACTTTTGAAGAATTCAATATTGAAAGCGTGTATAGAGCGTCAATATTATATTAATATATTAAATAAAATAAGAGCAATTTTCACAACTTAATGTTAAAAAAAAAGTTTATGTGATGTGAATAATTGCATATTAGTATTACTATTACTTGTTCTATGATACACCACCACTACCAATGTAGTTGCAGTTTGTGAAAGAACAACTCCAATATAGTCAGCATATCTACTAATATTCACCAGCTAAACAATTGGAATAATTATAGAATTATTATTATAATATGAAAAGAAGTCCCACAAACTAGAGAAACGTCTCTCTTCTCTCTTCGCATCTTTCCTCAACCCACCATTTTCTGGAAAAAATCCCAAGTTACACATGTTTTTAAAAAACAATTCTCAAAATACACACGTTATGAAAATAATTCCCAATCTACGTTAGTTTGGGCCATCACCGCTGTCGACGAAGACAGTGATTGCATCACTGTTGTCGACGATTGCATCACCGCTGTCGACGAAGACAGTGATTGCATCACCGCTGTCGACGAAGACAGTGATTGCATCACTGCAGTACACGGCCGCGGTGAAGGCCTGACCTGCGTCGAAACTTTAAACAAACGTAACTTTGTGCTCGGTTATCCGATCGTAGCGAAATTTTTTTTGATTCCGCATAATTTTTCGAGATCTTGCAAGCCGCAAATTGACGTAGGCGGTTTGGTCCCGCCTTCGTCTCGAAAATATGTCGTTTGCTACCCCGAACGAGCCTTTTTTCGATTTCGTCAAACTTTGAACGACCATAACTTTGTGCTCCACAATCCGAAAATCATGAATTTTTTTTTATTTCGCATAACTTTTTAAGGACTACAATTTGTATCATAGACATATTTTCGGAATGTACTTGGATTCCTGAAAAGGAAGGTAAAGTTATTCCCAAAATCTCTTATATCCATAAATAATTCATTTTTTGAAAATTCTCTCCTACTAAATATTGTAGTCCTTAAAAAGTTATGCGAAATCTAAAAAAAATTCATGATTTTCGGATTGTGGAGCACAAAGTTATGGTCATTCAAAGTTTGACGAAATCAAAAAAAGGCTCGTTCGAGGTAGCAAACGACATATTTTCGAGACGAAGGCGGGACCACACCGCCTAAGGCAATTTGCGGCTTGTAATATCTCGAAAAATTATGCGGAATCAAAAAAAATTTCGCTACGATCGAATAACCGAGCCCAAAGTTACGTTTGTTTAAAGTTTCGACGCAGGTCAGGCTTTCACCGCGGCCGTGTACTGCAGTGATGCAATCACTGTCTTCGTCGACAGCGGTGATGCAATCACTGTCTTCGTCGACAGCGGTGATGCAATCACTGTCTTCGTCGACAGCGGTGATGGCCCAAACTAACGTAGATTGGGAATTATTTTTATAACTTGTGTATTTTGAGAATTTTTTTAAAAAACATGTGTAACTTGAGATTTTTTCCCCATTTTCTGCTCTCTCTCTCTCTTCCCCCTTTACCTTCCTTCCTCTTCTGGAACAGAACAATTAAAGTGATAAGAACATCTCTTTGATTCAATCAAGCAATCACCGATGAGGAAGGTAAGAAATAAATTTTAGAAACTCTCTATGCAGATTATGGTGAGAAGCCCTCTCCGCTCACCTTTCCTTTTACCGATCGGGGCTCTCCACCCAATTGCAGGATCTACTATCCAGAAACGCAGAACTATAAGAAGCTCTCCCCTGCCTCATCATTCGACCACAAACAACAAATTCCAAGCAGCACTTCCCCACTGTTGGCTTTGGTGTTGCTGCATGCAGCTCTAACGCCAAGGAATCATAGAACTCGCAGATTTCCTTCTCCTCTTTCCTCTTGATCTATCTTTCGAGACCAGAGAGATTTGTCCCAATAGCTGAACAGAGTCTTGGTCGTGGCGATTAGGCTCAAAATGTAATTCAAGTGGACAAACAACAAGAAGAGGAAGAAGATCAATGTTGTCCTTCCGAGTTCGTCGAGAGAACGCGCTCTCAAAATCCAAAGTCGCGCTCTCATGAAAAGTAGTTCGCGGTTTTTTGACGAACTCCCGAAAAATCGCGTTTTGGCGATTTGGAGCGGGGACGTGAAGGGCAGAGGGGCGAATTGGGTGACCTAACCCCAGACTGGTGTACGTCAGGCGTATACTATACGTCAGGTGAAATTCGGGTACCACATACCTCTAGTATGAAAACGCTATCTAGATCTCGAATTAGCAGAATTTTTGGACATGATACTATACTCTAGCCCTTAATGAGTGAACAATAGGTCCTAATTATCTAAATCATAAACTATAAACCCTATGATGGTGTGTTCATTTTTTGCCTATATTTGGACGAATCACAAACGTTGATGATTGTTTCTAATTAAATTGATCTTGGGGTATAAGATTTAGAGAATTAAGACTTAGATTTTGATCTTGAAGGGTGAGAGTATAATATCATGTCCGAAGATCAGTCAATTCTAGGTTTGGATAACGTTTTCATACTCAAGGTATGTTGTACCCAAGATTTCACCCTGGGTACCGTAGAACTCGCCATATATGTATGAAGGGTGAATAGTAGGGCCTCTCAAGAGTCCAGTCTCTTGGCATCTCTAGAGACAAAACATCTTATTCGTGCATTTTTTTCTTCCATTTCATCATGTAAATTTGAGCTTATTCATGCCACACTGGCTTTATTCACACAACCAATAATGTTTAGTCACGCAACATTGTGTTTATTCACGTGCATATTGTAACATCTCGAACCTTTTTTTGACAAGATACTGTCCGCTTTGGGCCTCTACATTCGCACGGATTTCGATTTGGGGTGCAATTCACGGTGATTTCCCATAAGGTCACCCATCCTTGTTGTACTCCACACTGAACACGTTTAACTTCAGATCGAGTTCTCACAAGAACTCCTCCAGTTCACCCCAAAACACGTCTTATCAGTTAAGGTCGGTTTCCTACTTATGAACCATGGATCTCTCCCGTGCTTTGTCGATGTGGGATTTGCCTAAGGTGTTACACATATTGTTATTTATTCATGCCGTTATAAAATCAAATTTTTACAACTTTCAAAATAGATGTCATTGTGTAGAAGATTATGATCAGTGCAACACATTTTTACAGAAATTAATTGAAAATCCCAAATTTAATTTCGCAAAATATAGCCAATAAAAATTATCAGGGGGAAAAAGTGTGAATTTCCTTATAGGCGCGAGTAACTTACACTCTTACATGAATAAGCAAGCATAGTATTACGTGATGAATAAACAAATAAACCAGGCAATGGCATATTTGAGCAAACATAATCGGGGTAACCATTGGGGCTCGTTAAACAGCTCCGATCCCCGTCGTAATATGCCAACATCGTCAGGCCAACTCGATGGTTAAATGATGCCATTCGGTAACTTGCAGTTTCATTTGCTCTTAGCCAAATTAACTAAAGAAACCCAACTTAAACAAACTGTAAACTAGCAGTGTTAGAGCATCCACATTGGTATTGCATTCTCAATTGCAAAATGACATGGCATAGGTGTTTGCAATTGCAAAACCAATTGCATTGATGTAGCTACCAATTGCATATATGCAAACTTGCAACAAATGCAATTGCATATGTAAGTCAAAAAAGCCTAAAAAAGGGGACTTTTTATTTTATATTGTTTTCTTTTCTCTTTTACTTAATTTTCTATAATTTAAATATAATATTTAATTACATTTGCAATTGCAAGTTAATTGCATTGATGTAGGTGATTGAAATGAATGTGATGTGGATTGCAAAAAAATTGAGTTAACAATAAAAAACATAAATGCAATTTTTTTTGCAATTGCATTGATGGAGATGCTCTTAGGTGGATTTTTTCGCTAGAAATGCTTTTTTACCAACCTCTCGTAATATTTGAATGATAAACGAAAGAAATAGACTTAATCAAAGCGAAGAGAATTAAATGAAAGAAAGCTACAAGAAAACTGTTGGAATTTTGGGTACTGTGTTTTTGGTTCATGATACATCTCACCCTTGTGATGGGTGGCTCATATCCCCATTATTAGAGAATGGGTAGTAAAAGTAGTATTATGGATGTCAATCCAACCCGTAACCATGGGTACCCTACCCGACCGTAACCGGTCAACGAGGGTAATTACCCGCTTTGACGGGTTAAGGGGCGAGTACGGGTAATACTCGGTTTCAAAATAAAGGGTAGGGTACAAGTATGGTAATCGATAATACCCGCCCCGTTATACCCGCCCCGCTAACTAAATAGTCAATTTCCCTTGAGAAATTTATTTTAGCTTGAGAAATTGAGTTTAGCTACCATTATTGATGATGAAGATGTAGACAATTATTATGTTTGTGTGAACTGTAGAAGCAAGAACAATTATTATGTGTTTGCTGTTTTTATTTGTGTGGATTGTTGAAGCTAGAACAGTTACAAGTATTGAGAATTTTTAATGGACAACAGTATGTATGTGCATATATGTGTATAAGTTCATAGTTTAGGATTCGTACCCATGGTTACCGGAATACCCGTGGTTACCCGGTGGGTAGGGTATGGTTATATAATTTTCATACCCGGTGGTTATTTGATCGGGTATTTTAGAAAGCTCTACCCGGCGGGTTAGGAGTTGGTATAGGGTAAACCCGCACCCGACCCTACCCATTGCCATCCCTAAGTAGTATTATGGTACACTACTGTTATGTAATTGGACGTAGTTATATTCTTTATCATATTCATATAAGTTAGGTATTTTCCTTATTAGTATTAGAGTTATTATAGGAGTAAGTTATTATACTCTATATAAACTCTATGTGATTTCAGTAATAAAACACAACAGTTTTCAGATTTACCAATATGATATCAAAGCTTGGTTCAAAAACATAATTGGAATAACCCCTAGACTTCATTTTCTTCTATACTCCGTCTACGACGAAGATCCATACTAGATCTGCTCTGTCTGATCCTTGCCTCGCCCACCAATTCACATCTCATCTCGAAACACTGTTGGCGGAATCCCGAGTTGTCTTCTCTTCCTCCACAATTTTCAATTGTTGCCACCGAATTTTTGGCATTGTTAATTCCGTTTTCCGGTAGCTTAACAGCCTATTGCACTTTTTTAAAAAATAAAAAATCAAAACATTCCGAACAATTTCAAATCCTCCTTCCATTAAATTAATCACTCTCATCCCAAACAACATATTATGTTTTCACTTTTCGGTGAACATTCAAACTATTACTCTTTTTTATTTTATTTTTTTATTAATGGCATGTATTATTTCATTAACCGGTTGAAAATAGTACACGAATTAAACTATTACGCTTTAAATATACCGTTTTCGCCAACACGTATAGCACCAGCGAGCAGGCTTATGCTGATACATACATACATATAATTAATAGTCTCCCTTTTCACATCCTTGTCTCCTCCCTAGACCCAACCCAATCTCAAACCCTAAAATCCTCTTTCCTACGTATTTAGAACAGGAGAGAAAGAGAGAGAGGTGACAAACCCTAATTATATTCTCCCTTTTTCCACCAAGCTAGCTAGTCTCGATAGAGGAAAGCAAGCCTGTACTCGCCAAACAAATAAACCATGAACAAACTCGTGCTTGTCCACACACTGCAGTTCCTAGGAATCGGAAACCGAGCAGCAGAACCTCTGTAGCCATCAGCACTATATCTTTGATCCCCGTCGTAATACGCCAGCATCGTCAGGCCGCCATCTGGATGGACGATCTTCACAAACCACCAGTCGTTTTGGTCGAATGGTTCACCGCCCTCACAATACATAAGAATCATGGAGGGAGCCGACCAGTTCTTGGTGTCTTCATCCACCACTCGAACTTTGAAGCCTCCCCCAAAGAACGGCAGGAAGTCCGCCTTCACATCGCTCATGTAAAAGTACGTGGAAGCTGATATGTCGTCCGACCAAGTATTTGGCGGCACCGGTCGTCTCCTGCTTCTGTGGACCATCTCATCATTGGTCGTCGTGGGTAAAGGCGGCTGCGGCGTCCTCCTCCATGATTGCTTTGATGTTTTCTTCTGCCCTCCTGGCAATACGGTGGTGTACTTCAACTCCAAGCGCTGCCACGCGGTGTTCCTCGCCATGGCAACACCATGGCGAGGCCAGCTGAAGAGATCGTTCAATCGAAGGTAGTGAGCCCCAGAGTCTCTGTGCTCGCCCAGTTCAGTCACGTCTTGAAAGCAGTACCCTCCAGGGCTCACCATCAGACCCGACTGACTGAGGTGTCGGGCTAGCTTGGTGAGGGCTTCCTGTCCCTCGATCTTCCCATGGCCATCGAAAAACAACAGCCCGTCGTAGTACTGCTCTTCTGCCAAGTCGTCGTTGTCGTCTCCATTGTTGTCAGTGTCGACGATGATGGTGCCAACTTCCTTCCAGTGAGTCTTTCGGATATAGGAAGGGTGAATAGTAGGGTCGTTCAACTGACACACTCTAATGGCTGTTTCATCGGAGGAGGTAACAAAGTGTTTGTCCGACTTGAAATCGAAGAGAACCATTAATGCAAGCGTTTGAATGTTTTCTAGCTAGTGGAAGAGTTGGATACATAAGAATTGAGATGGGGTAATATGTTTGTGTTTTTGGGTGATATATAATGCTTCAATGTTTGTGTTCGTCTTGGTTAAGTTTCTTGGCAATTTGCATTTGATTGGTTATTCTGACCGCAGCAATGACGATCGATCACGCTAGTACGTAGAAAGAAACACAAAGGATTAAGAAAGAGACTTGTGTTTGTCATATAGAAGGAATTATGTTTCTTTGATAAAATAACATTATTTACAAATTCAGTCTTTCAAAATGAGAAAGTAAGATTATCTACGAATTCAAAATTTTCAGTAGTTCAAAAAAAATTTGAACTATTGAACCATGTTTCTATTAACTAGATAAATTTCTGGAGAGTCTTTCTTTTATTTGATGAATAATAGTATGGAGAGTCTTTGTTAATTATAATGGTGAGAGTCTTTTGTCTTGAATCTTGATGAATAATTAGTATAAGTAGATCGAGTCTTTGTTTAATTGGAAGGGAGAGTCTTTGTCTTGATGAGTAATTATTAAATATAAGAATATTGAGTTTTCGTTTAATTATAAGGAGAGTCTTTGTATTTTCTCATAATGAATGACTACAAGAAGATTGCGTCTTTGTTTGATTACAAGGAAAGATATTGTGTTTTGTCTTAATGAATAATTATGGTTTGGGTTAGGTTACAAAACCTTATAGTTTTATAATACTACAGAATCATAATGTGTCAAAGTCCTACCATCGTTTAGAAAATAGAGAAATATATATTGCCTTTTACAGTATCACGGGTGAAATTCGGGGTATCACATACCTCTAGTATGAAAACGCTATCTAGATCTCGAATTAGCGGAATTTTTGGACATGATATTATACCCTAGACCTTAATGAGTGAACCATAGGTCCTAATTATCTAAATCATAAACTATAAACCCTATGATGGTGTGTTCATTTTTTGCCTATATTTGGACGAATCACAAACGTCAATGATTGTTTCTAATTAAATTGATTTTGGGGTATAAGATTTAGAGAATTAAGGCCTAGATTTTGATCTTGAAGGGTGAGAGTATAATATCATGTCTGAAAGATCAGTCAATTCAAGGTCTGGATAACGTTTTCATACTCAGGGTATGTTGTGCCCAAGATTTCACCCTAGGTACCGTAGAACTCGCCATATATGTATGAAGGGTGAATAGTAGGGCCTCTCAGGAGTCTAGTCTCTTGGCATCTCTAGAGACAAAACATCTTATTCGTGCATTTTTTCTCCCATTTCATCACGTAAATTTGAGCTTATTCACGCCACACTGGCTTTATTCACGTAAGAGTATTAATTATTCATACAACCAATACTGTTTAGTCACGCAACATGGTGTTTATTCACGTGCATATTGTAACATCCCGAACCTTTTTCCGACAAGATATTGTCCGCTTTGGGCCTCTACATCCACAAGGATTTCGATTTGGGGTGCAATTCAGGGTGACTATCCCGAACCTTTTTCCGACAAGATACCGTGCGCTTTGGGCCTCTACATCCGCACGGATTTCGATTTGGGGTGCAATTCAGGGTGACATCCCATAAGATCACCCATCCTTGTTGTACTCCACACTGAGCACGTTTAACTTCAGATCGAGTTCTCACAAGAACTCCTCCATTTCACCCCAAAACGTGTCTTATCAGTTAAGGTCGGTTTCCTACTTATGAGCCATGGATCTCTCCCGTGCTTTGTCGATGTGGGATTTTCCTAAGGTGTTACACATATTGTTATTTATTCATGCCGTTGTAAAATCAAATTTTTACAACTTTCAAAATAGATGTCATTGTGTAGAAGATTATGATCAGTGCAACACATTTTTATAGGAATTAATTGAGAATCCCAAATTTAATTCCGTAGAATATAGCCAATAAAAATTATTAGGGGAAAAAAGTGTGAATTTCTTTATAGGCGCGAGTAACTTACACGCTTACATGAATAAGCAAGCATAGTATTACGTGATGAATAAACAAATAAACCAGGCATAATGGCATATTTGAGCAAACATAATCGGGGTAACCATTGGGGCTCGTTAAATAGCTCTGATCCCCGTCGTAATATGCCAACATCGTCAGGCCAACTCAGAGGCTTGAAGTTTGCACAGGCTCACCATACCTTGTGCTTTAATCAACTGTTAATATTGGGGGTCGTGGAGATTCGAACACACAACCACTTGATCACACCAGGCTCTGATACCATGACAAAAACCAGTTGATCCCAATAACTCGAGAGTTGTTAGAAGACTGGAAAAACCAAATGCATTGCTATTTTGTGGAAAGTTGTTCCAACAATATATTGTTAATGCATATGCATTGGTTGAGGCGGAGCGTTTGAATTTGATTAAAAGTAATCAAATAAAATTGAGACAACATTACTACATAGGTCTTTTGGATTCTTACTTGAGTGATAATACAGATATATCAGTTTGAGTGGAAAACATGTGATTTTAGCTTCATAGCATACATGTAGTCCATGATATAAGTATGAAAGCTTCCAGAATGCTATGTCAGTTCTTAGATGGGTAGGGTTTCCAAATATTTTCATTACATTAAGGTAACCCTCTTTGGTAGGATAGTTAACTAATTAAATGACCTCATTGCAATTGCGGGTGATCGCCCTCTCATCCAGAGATTGCAAGTTGATGTGGCAAGGTGTTGCAATTGCAACCTTGAATGACATTAATGTGGGAAACTATTGCAAAGGTGTAATTCAAAGGGACCCCGCTAGTGGACCCTTTTTATCCTTTATAATATACTTTAATGATTTAAAATGATAGAGATGATATATAAATGATTTAATAGTAATAAATAATGTGTTGGTCTCACTCATTGAAATTGCAATTAGATTGCATTGATGTAGGAAGGATGGAAATTAGAAGCGTTATCTTCTCAAAGTTGTAGAGATGGAAGTAGGGACCACCTACGAAATTGCAAATGAATTTCATTGTTGGAGATGCTCTAAATGCACATAATTCCATTGTTTTTGTTATTAAAAAAAATTCATTGCACATCACTTATTATTAATTAATTATATTAATTGGCAAGTTTAATTCACTGTAGCATACGACAAAATAGCTTAAAACTCAATTTTATCGGAAAACTATCACAAGTTACTGTTCACAATTAAAGAATTTATAATCTGTGGTCCGGTCTATAATAGACCCTAATCCCCGTTGAAAATTGTTTTTTTGGCTACCGCGTGTACAGCTATCCAACTTGGCATGGGGCTGACAGTTTATTTTCTTCCTTTCCACATCTGGGTATTCAGAGGTAAAAGGATCTTTACATTATGAAGTGGGGGTTTGTTTGTTAGAAATTAGAATAACACTACACATTAATGATACCTAACTATTTGTTGGTAATTTTGGATAAGAGCATAGCTTATGAGATACATTTTATAACTTAATTTTATTATTATTATTAGACCATAGACATACATTATGTAAGATTTTTATAATATCATTCTATAAAAATTACTTAAATTAACTTAATTTTATTATAGACATACATTACGTAAGATTTTTATAATATCATTCTATAAAAACTACTTAAATTATAAAATCAATAATGTAAAACTTACAGATTGGATGGATAGTTATTTATTATGAGATACATTTTATAACTTAATTTTATTAATTTAATTATTAGACCATAGACATACATTACGTAATATTTTATAATATCATTCTATAAAAATTACTTAAGTTATAAAATCAATAATGTAAAATTTATAGATTGGATGGATAGTTATTTATTATGTACCAATTGAATAATAGTATATTATGTAAGTTTTTTCGTAATGATTGCAACACTACGTATAAAAACATATGGATAGATAGTTATTTCTTTTGGATAAGTTAAACAAAACGTGATACAAATGTATTGTAAAAGTATCCCGTAATATAATTTAAAATGACAATTATTTTACAATCAAGTAAATTATTGACCATGTTACATATAGGTTTTGTAAAGTTAGTTAGTATTTAATTTTTTAATCAAATATGATACTTTTATAAATGAATTTTTTTTGTTAACTAAAAATTTCATTATTATTACTCACAATAGTTAACATCCCATTAATTTTCAAGCTTATAACAAAAATCTCATCAATTTGTATTACACAAAGGTTGTTTAAGGTATGTTAAATTTTACATAATAGTTTATTTAAATATAGTGGCAGACGGAGAAAGTACCTCAAGGGTATTGAACTATAACAGAAAATCATCAAGAAGTGTCATATAGTTTTAAGTTCAAATACAACCATCACTACAAGTCTACAATACAATTCTGCAAATGTATTTTGTCCCAAAAGTGGATTAAGGTTTGTCAATTGACAACCAACCTAGGTCCGCTTCTGATAAAATGTGATACTTTTGTGTAACTTTTATCATTATATCACAAACCATAAGATTTATGTAACACCGTTCCTAAAATTGTTACGTAAATTACAGATATATTGCTTAAAAAATATGAAGATATAGTAAATCTTAAGTATCAATTAAATGAACGTATTACGTAAGTTTTTCATAATGATTAAAAAATATGTAAAGCTTACGAACTATCTTAGCTGAACTATTTTGTGAGTTATTTGATTTCAACTAAATGATTAAACGAGTAGATCAAATTTTAAATATAATTTAGTTTCTTACCGCTGCAAAGCGCGGGCCAAAAAACTAGTATTGTATAATGGGACACATATTCACCTCTTCCTCGTATTCCTTTCGATACAAAAAAAAAAAAGGCATACTAGCTAGTCCCGATACATGAAAGCAAGCTTGAATTCACCAAACAAATAAATCATGAAAAAAATCTTGCTTGCCCACGTTATAGTGCCCCTACCAAATGCAAGGCGGGTAGGGTAACCTCTGAAGCCGGTAGTATAGTTCCGATCCCCGTCGTAATATGCCAACATAGTCAGGCGACCGCCATCCGTCGGATGGACCATCTTCACAAACCACCAGTTGTTCCTGTCGAATGCTTCACTCTCCCAAGAGAATACGGTAATTTTAGGGGGAGCCGGCCAATCTCTGGTGTCTTCGTCCACCACTTGAAGGTTCAAAATTCCTTGAAAGAAACCACAGAAGTCCGCCTTCATGTTGTTCTCGTAACGGTAGATCATGTAACTATCCTGTTCGCTGGACCAAGTAGTTGGCGGCACCGCCCGTCTTCTTCTTTTGTGGACGGCCTCGTCGGTGGTGACTTGTGTCGTAGGTAGCCGGGTCCATCTCAGAGTTTCTACTTCATCCCTCGGTTTCTTTAGTTCCTCGTCCGGCTCTCTGCTCGGGTTGGCTCCCTCGTCTTTTTCTCTTTCCCATGCCTCCACTTCTTCTTCGTATTTCTTCTTTCTCGCCTTTTCTATCTCCTCTTGCATTTCCTCTCTCAGCTTTCGCAATTCCTCGGCCTTCTCCTTCCTCAGCTTTTGCAAGTCGTCGCTCCCCCTTTTGATCAGCGTCTGTTGCACGCCATCGTTTTTCTTCAACTGCTTCTGCATCTCGTCCCTTTCCTTTCTCAACTTTCGAAACTCCTCCTCGTGTTTTTCGCTTGCGTCCTCCATCTCCTCTTTTAGCTTTCGTATTTCTTCGTCTTTTTCATCCCTCAGCTTTTGCAGATCTTCTTCCGAATCCTCCCTCATCTTCTCTAGCTCCTCGTCCCTCTCCCTCAATATCCTTCTCAACCCCTCGTATTTCTCTTTGCTCACCCCTTCGGTCATTGGTTTCGGCCGCTTCTCCTCGTCCTTTCGTCTGTTCGCCTTTCGTAGCTCCATGTCTTTCTTTTCAATAGTCTCTTCCATCTCTTCTCTTAGCTTTTGTAGCTCTTCTTCTTTGTTCTCCCTCAATTTTTGTATCTCGTCTTCCATTTCGTTGATTGCCTTCTCCAACTCCTCATCCTTCTTGTTCAATATCCTTTTCAACTCCTCGTACTTCTCTTTACTTACCCCGCCACCTACCGTCGGCTGCTTTGATATTTTCCGTTTCCTTGGTATTGTGTACTTCAACTCCAGACGCTGCCAACTGGTGATCCTCGCCAAATCAACACCATGACGAGGCCAGCTGAAGAGATCGTTCAATCGGAGGTAGTGAACTCCCAATTCTTTGTGCTCTCCCAGCTCAGTCACGTCTTGAAAGCAGTACCCTCCAGGGCTCACCATAAGACCCGACCGAGTGAGGTGTTGGGCTAGCTTGGTGAGGGCTTCCTGTCCATCGATCTTCCCATGGCCATCGAAAAACAACAGCCCGTCATAGTACTGCTCCTCCGCCAGGTCGTCATCATCTCCGTTATCGTCACTATCGACGATGATGGTGCCAACTTCCTTCCAATGAGCCTTTCGGATATAGGAAGGGTGAATAGTGAGATCTCTCAACTCACAGACTCTAATTGTGGTTTCATCAGAGGAGGTAACGAAGTGTTTGTCTGACTTGAAATCAAAGAGAACCATGGTTCCTAGCTTGTGGAAGACTGGGATAGATAGATAGATGGATGGATAGATAGATAGATAGATAGATGAGAATTCAGATGTGGTGATATGTTTGTGATATATAATGCAATTGATGGGGTGATAAGTTTCCTGCCAATTTCATTTTCTCGCAGCCAAGTTTGAGTCATTCTTTTATTTGATGAAGAACACTATGGATCGAGAGTCTTTGTTTAAGGAGAGTATTTTGTCTGCTGTCTTGATGAATAATTATCATATATATTAACAGATCGAGTCTTTGTTTAGTTATAGGGTGAGTCTTTGTCTTTTGTTTTGGGTTAAGAAATAGTATGCTAATATATGTATAAACTATTTGTAACCATTAATGAAGACATCAGCACAACAACCAATTTTTTTTTATAATGCAGCACAACAACCAATTAAGTTGTTTTCTTCTAGCCTTAGTCATTACTCATTAGCCATAAAAAAAAAATAATGACAGAATTATTTAAGTAAAATGACAAAAAAATAGTGATAACATAATGGATAATTGAGGGTAAAATACCTCGGATACCACTTAAGTTTTAGAATTGGGGCATGCATACCACTTAAGTTTGAATAGGGCGTCGGGTACCACTGAACTCAATTATTTGTGCACCCGGTACCACTTAAGTTTAATGTTAAGTGCATTCCGTTAAAGTTAACAGAATATTCTGTTTTCTAAATTTCTTAATTGGTCCTTCTACTTTTCTTATTGTAAAAAATTATTTTTGACTTATGAAAAACATCAATTTTTATTATTTAATGGGTATCCTCTTTTGAAAACTTGATACCAAATTTATTTTTGAATAGAAAATTTAAAATCAATTATTATTATAAGTATTTTCACTTATTATTATGTTTTCTAATAATTGAATTATTCTCTTTTTCTTTATGATTTTGATACCAAACCAATTTTTGAATAGGAAATGTAGAATCAATTATCATTATAAGTACTTTAAATTATGTGTTATAATAGTCGAATAATTTGCTCAAGCAAATATATCCTATGAATTCTATATCGATATAAATAATATGAGGATGTTATATTTAATTCTCGTACATCATCTGGATGTTGTATAATTTTCTTGGTTACTTTCGTTCTATTTTCGTTCTAAATTTTCTTCAATTACTGTAATATGTTTAATTCTTTCTAACTATGTTCCATTTATCATTCTTTGGTTTTGATGTATTGATGATCGATTAGATTCTATTTTAACTATTTTTAATGGTACTTCTTATCGGATTAGTGATTTAAATAGATCTTCTAATATTGATTTTAAATATGTATTCTTATATTCTATATATTTATTCTTCTTCTTGATATTTGTTTATTATTTTTACTAACTTATCTATTTTATTGAAATTTTGATTAGTCATTTTAGTAATATTATGTTTAGAAGGTTTTTTAATTTCTATATTAGATAAAAACTTGTTGAAATATAGTTTTGGATATTTTTAAAAGTTTTGGGTACCAAAAAGTAATTAAAATTTTGGGTTGGATGGAAAACTAGACGGATGCACATTTTGGTGACTTTAATGGTATCCGGCGCCCTATTCAAACTTAAGTGGTATGTCTGCCCCGATTCTCAAACTTTAATGGTACCGGAGGTATTTTACCCGGATAATTGAATCTAATTAGTTGCACCTATTTTAAGTTTTCATTTTGTGATGGTATGATTTAAGAAAAGCATTGCTTCTGTGATTACCAAACTCAAAAACTAAAGCATTGAAGAAAACATGGAACTGGAAAACAGATCAGCCAGAGAGCAGTACTGTTCGGGATCCTATGTACTCTAAACCATAGCAGAGCTTGCGCGCGAACTTTTACGTCGCAGTCTCTATTCCGAACAAGCTGCTTAACGTACAAAATACGTCAAATGTCCTGGGAGATCATCTACATTTTTTTTGCTCGAGCAACATTCTGTTCTAGTCTAACTGGCAAAATCTTCAGCTCTGGCTCCCTCAGTACTCCCTAGCACTTGAATGGTTGGCAATCTCATCCTACAAACAGAATTAAGAAGAAGAACAATCAGGATCATTGAATGCCTTTACTTTGCTTACTACATAAATCTGTTCAATTATCTATGACACAGAAGCCTCTCAAGTCAAGGAAGTGGCAGCAATATTCCATACCTCAAATGCAGTTCTCAAGTGGTCGAGTTCCTTGTCGAGATCATTGATGGCTACGTTATAAGCCTGCATCGGCGAAGACTGACTGGTGGTGTGAATCTACAAAGCAGCATCAAGCTGGTTAGAACCCTAGAAAAGTCATTGAACACCACACAGAAACATTCGCCATCGTCCAACAAAACTTCGTCATCCGATCCAACTCTAAACAGAAATGGAGGTGGGGTGCTGGGACAGAGGAGGGTTGAGAACTGAACTTTGCACCAATAGGATTTTCATCTACAACCAACCCATCCATTCTCTTCAACAAACCGCAAGGATAACAGAAGAGGATCAACTGGGAGGTGCAGGCCCTTATTCTACTCAGATTATGTAATCAAAAGCCTTTGCTTCCACTGAACAGCAGAAGCAACATGGATAAAATTTCCCTCAAGTAGCACCAGAACCATTAACAGCATATCGCATATCGAAGCTGTGAACAGAAACTGGATTCAGGAATTCGACAGATGCCTGTTGCCGTCTCTACCCATTAAGCCAAATCCTAACCCCACGAGGAAGAGAAATGAAAGGCACAATCTTTCCTCTAAATCAATCACAGAACGCACTTACCCTGACAATGATTTTGTACTGCAGAGGGTGAGGGAGCTTGTATCCAGCAAACAAAACATTCTCGTCCAGGTGAAGCTGCCTGCTCAGCCATAAGGAGAAGGCAACACTGAGAGCTCAAGCAAGACAATGTAAAAAGAAGAGAGAAAAAGACATCAAGATTTCTACAACTCCAGAGAAAAGTGAAAAGCTTACATGCGCAGTATGTTGCCGATTGTGTGCTCCTCCCTCTCTATAATGAAGGAGGCGGCATTGATGATCTTGGTGTCCCTCTCGTATGAAACCCTAGAAGATCAGCAAACGAATAAGAAACGAGAGAGAAATTACAGTCGAATTAAGAGAAAGGGGGTTTTCAGGAGAGATTCGGAAAGAGAGTGGAGAAGGGTATTCGAAAAGATTACTTCTTGGTGCCTTCGGGGACGACGAATCGCTCGTAACGATCGGGTGCGTTCATGGCTTCTGCTCTACGACCCTTCTTTCCGCTTCCTCTCCCTCTCTTCTTCTGCTTTGGTGGAAGGGGGGAAATCCTGAAACACAAAGATGTAAGAAAAATACAAAAAGCCAATCAAAAGCCACTGAAGTTGTGAAAATTTACAAAAAAGCCTCCTTTCAACAAGATTTATCTAATTTATTAAATATAGTTTTAGATGTTCTTAAACGTTCTGGGTATTAAAAAGTATTTAAAATTTTGGGTTGGATGGAAAAGTAGACGGATGCACATTTTGGTGACTTTAATGGTACCCGACGCCTTATTCAAACTTAAGTGGTATGTCTACCCCAATTCTGAAAGTTAAGTGGCACCCGAGATATTTTACCCTAAAACCAGTGGCAAATTTAGAAAATACAATATTCGGTAAAGCCTTAGTCCTCTCTCTCCAATTACCAAGATTCGCATTAGCTTCCTCTCATTCAAATTTATGGCTCCGCCACCGATATTTGATAGTATATACAATTATGTTATGATGATATGAAAGGATACTATGATAGTTCGAATATATTGTAGTCTTAATAATGGTTGTATCTATACTTGTATTGTATTATAGATGATATGAGTGTCTGATCAACCACACTGGTCGCTCAAGTCTTTATTTATTTATCTCAATTGCGTTGAGTATTAGGGTTATTGGCTTAGTAAACGCCAAAAATAATTAAAAATGACTGCAATTTACTATTTATTAATCAAAGTCGTTATTATTGTTTTTGTAAGGCCCGTGTTTCCAAAGAAACTTATAATGCAACTAATTTCATTATTTCGATGGTTGACTCGTCTTACTATAAATTTAATCCTGCAAATTTATACTTGGCCTATCAATATTATCACTAAATTTCGACACTCCTATATATTGATATGGTGGGCACGTTACAAATTATGCAAGTATCCCTCACCTACATCTCACCTTGTTACCGAATTAACATCCCAATCTTCCACCAGGCATCAAGATCGATCGATCGATCTTATGGCTCTCTTTGATTTCAAGTCAGACAAGCACTTCGTTGCGAGTTTTTTCCAATAATAGCACCCTAAAAAAAAAATTACAAAACTAGCACACATATGAAAAAATTGACACAAATAGCACCTATATTTATGGAACGCACCTCCAAGATGCGTTTTATAAGTAAACCGCACTTGAAGGATGCGGTTTACATATAAACCGCATCTTGGAGGCGCGGTCTCCGTTACGAAACGCATGCCAGCAATGCGATCCGCGCCAGCTGCGGAACGGTTTTCAAGCCGTTGGATGGAGGCGCGATCGGGCGGCTGAACGCTTGCCAGGGGAGCGATCCACGGTCAGGAGCCACATCATGATCATTATCTGAATTTGAATCTGGTGCTGAATCATCAGCACCTTCAAGAGGGTCTGAGCTGTCTGCACTGACGTTGTTCTCTCCTTCTTCATCAGAGGGGTCGCTGACTGGTCCTGGTGTGGCAGCCTCCGTATGATCCTGCTCATGAAAGGCACCTGCATCAGCTCCATAATGGTAGTTGTGAAAACTACCGCTGCCTGTCAGGAAGTTGTACTGGGCTTGGTTGGGGATGTCCGGTTGAACTTCTTCTTCATATGACGAGAAAGATTGATGATGGCCTGCACCTTGCCCTCCATCTTGGTACTGAAAATAGGAATGAGGATCATGGTAACTTTGGTAGGGATGATCGTCATATAATTCACCACCACCATGGATACCAGATGTTTGACCGTGTCCAGAATGACCTCCAACACTAACGGCTGGCTCGGTGTAAACGAACATCTCGGCTTTGGCCAACTTGTTGGACCTCAAGAATTCGAGCATGGAATCTACGTCATCTTGAGTGGTTATGGTATATTCCTCATGCCACAATGACCCAGTTGCTCTGTTTGGGTATCGGTACACCATACGATCTACCCTCCTCGTGCCATCCATGCAAGTAACGTCAGTGCATATTCGATGGAGGTCTTCAAGCTTCGGTCTGGTACCGACCGTTATTTTCTGAAAATTGCCACCGACGTAGGTGGCCCCCTTTCCGGTGTCTTCCGTGTAACCATTCCACCGTAAGCCAAGCAACAACTGACGGAATGCCATCTGCACACAAACAAACCATAGTTTTAGTTAATATCATAAAAATCACAGATCACAAATAACAATAAAAAGTAACACAAAATAAACTTACGAGTTAATGTTAATGCAATAAAAAGTAACACAAATTAAAGTTACGAGTTAATGTTAATGCAATAAAAAGTAACACAAAATAAAGTTACGAGTTAATGTTAATGGCATAAAAAGTAACACAAAATAAAGTTACGAGTTAATGTTAATGGCATAAAAAGTAACACAAAATAAACTTACGAGTTGATCTTAATGGCAAACACACTAAATAAATATAGATATACAACAGAAAAATGAAAGAGAGAATGAGAGGTGTGAAGAGTTGAGGTTTTCCGGCAAGTCTTATATAGGGAAAAAATTGTGAAAACCGCACCTCTAGGGTGCGGTTTTAGTCTGCATGCAGCCCTACGTCCATAATCCTCTGCATGGTGTGTCGGGTGTCGGAAAATTATTGACATGTAAACCGCACTTGGGGGGTGCGGTCTACATGTCAAAACCGCACCTTAGAGATGCGGTTTGTTCTTGAACGCAGAAACCGCATCTCTAAGGTGCGGTTTAGGTAGGTCAGGCCTAAACCGCACCTCGGCCATGCGTTTCATGTAGGCCAGACATGAAACCGCATGGCCCAGATGCGGTTTAGGCCCACAATTATTGACCGCACCCTCCAGATGCGGTTTACATTTAAAACGCACCTGGGGGATGCGTTTTATATGTAAACCGCACCTGGAGGGTGCGGTCAATAAAAAAAGGTGCTAGTTTTGTAAATATTTTTGGGCGGGTGCTAGTTTTGTAATTTTTTTTTTTTAAGGTGCTATTTCTGGAAAAAACTCCTTCGTTGCTTCCTCCGACAAAACTACCCTCAAAGTCTACGAGCTGACCAACCCCACCATCCATCCTTCCCACATCAGAAAGACCCATTGGAGGGAAGTCGCCACCATCGCTCCTGCTCCAGATCGCGATGGTGGCGACGCCGCCCACGAAGTCACGAAGACGAGGAGGAGAAGTCTTACAACGGGCTGATGTTCTTTGATGGTCACGGGAAGATCGAGGGACAGGAGGCGTTGACCAAGCTAGCCCAACACCTCACCCGGCTGCAGTTGAGGGTGAGCCCCCAGGGGCACAGTTTTCAAGACGTCGAGTTGGGAGAACACAAAGACTTTGGAATTCACTATCTCCGACTGAACGATCTTTTCAACTGGCCGGATCACGGGGTGGGCATGGCGGGCGTTAGCATGTGGCAACGCCTCGTGCTGAAGTACACCGTACCGAAACGGGAGAAGCGGGCGGTGGCGGCGGCGAGCGGAGGGGTGAGCAAGGAGAAGTACGAGGATTTGAAGAAGACGGTGAACAAGAAGGACGAGGAGTTGAGAAAGCTGAGGGCGGAGATGGAAGAACAAGAGAAGGAGATACAAACGTTGAGAGATGAGAGGGACGATACAACCGAACAGCAGGAGGCGGAGATACGAGAGCTGGAGAAGGAAAAAGACGAGGAGATCGGGGAGCTGATGAAGAGGAAAGACGACGAGTTACGAATGCTGAAAAAGAGGAAGGACAAGGAGATACAAACGTTAAAGGAAGAGAGGGAGGAAGCAAGTGAACGGCACGAGGAGGAGCTGCGGAAGGTGGAGGAGGAAAAGGACGAGGAGCTGAGAGTGATGATGAAGAGGAAAGACGACGAGTTGCAGATGCTGCAAAAGAGGAACGACGAGGAGTCGAAGCAAAAGAACGATGAATTGAAGACGCTGAAGAGAGAAAAAGAGGATGGAGCCAAGCTGAGCAAAGAGAAGGATGAGGAGGAGGTAAAAACATTGAGGGAAGAAGTGGTGAATTTGAGAAAGGCTAACAAAGAAAACGAAGCTGCTGCTGGGAAAGGGAAAATACTGGTGAATGGTGATGAATGGCACAAGTTGAAGAATGATAACGAAGCACTGCGAAAGTCGATGAACGAGAAGGATGCCGAAACGCGCAAGCTAAGGGACCAAGTGGCTCAACTTCAAGAGCAGGAGCAACGTCGCAACCAACCATGGGCATGGACGGGTGCGATACGGTTCCTCGGCGAGTACGTAGTGTTGAGAGAAGCAAATCGATGCCAGCCTGTATAGCCTTGAGGATTGGCAACAGCAAAAAGAAAGAAATTGATTGCGTGATTCAGGAGGATTCAAGGCAATATGGAAATAGAAGGAAATGAAATCTTGCCGGGAATGAATGCAGCATATTTGGCAAGTCAAGATTTCCCTTCAACGGCTCTGGTGTACCACTATAAGGAGGAGTCTGATTGAGTCGTGATAGAAGTTTTTCCCTTGTGATTCTGATAGAGAAAAAGTCATAGCGTGTGAAGCTAGAGTCTTTTAGAAGCAATCAGTAGTGCTATTCAGGGTGATTAGCTGGGAAAACCGGGGTGTTTGTTCAGGAAGATTGTTTATCAATAGCGAGCGTGGTAGAACTGCTGGGAGCAGAGTAGAAGCTTGCCGAGTCCTGTAAAACACCGAGACACAGATATAGTGCTTACGCAGGAGATCTCAAGAGGAGAGTCTCCTACCGTGGATTAGTCGATATTGGGATCCTCATTCTCCCAATATCGGATACCACGTAAAAATTCGGTTTGTGTGTGTGAATGAGTTTGAATTTGATATTTGCACTTTGTTGTTAGCTAACTCTGTTTTGCAGGAACAGAGTTCTGGGAAGAAGTCTTCACTTCACCACGAAGAAGAAGACTCAGTGTTGTGGGCTTAAACTTCTGGCCCAAGTTGATTTGTTTAAGTCACTGCTGCATTTTAGATATAAAGCCCAATTCGGCCCGTTTCACTAACAGATTAAAGTTTGAGAACCTTGGAATCAAAATACATCTTCTTCCTCTTACTGAATATTTCCATCACTCGATTCTTTCACTTGATCTGAGATTGCAGTTTTAGGGTTTATCCGAAGGAGAAACAACCGAAGAAAAATCTCATCGTCTCGCGCTCAACGATCCATCACGTAGTACGCACAACAAGACGGCCGGTGCCACAGGATACTTGGCGCAGTGTCAAGATTGAATCGCCGCCTGACTGTCATTATGTTTATGATCCAAGTACCAACGAGAGCACCTCGCCATTTCCGATGGCAAATTGGTTGGTGGTGGATGAAGAACACAATGAATGGCCTCTTCCTCCTAAGATCGGCGTGCGCTGTGTGCCTGACCAATTCGACAAAGATAACTGGTGGTTCGTGAAGGCAGCCCACCCAGATGGCCGCTTGGCGATGATGGCTTATTACGACGGCGGCCGGAGTTCTTACACTACCCCGAACTATCGGTTCCCTGTCCGGCTTCCCTTTCCGAGGAACTGCAAATTTTACACAACTACACAGTTCTTCCTGATTGGGCTGAACGGCGCCAACAAGCTTGCTTTCTCGTACCGGGACTAGCTTAAGGGAAGATCGAGGGCTGGCTATAGTTTCTAAACTAGTTTCAGAATCATTTCGATCATTCAGACTCGTTTCGAAATGATTTTAATCCTGCAAATGTGAACCTGGTATAGCAATATCGTTACTAATTCGCAAATATATATATATCGATTGTGCTATGGAAGTTTGCTTGCACACCTGCAGAATGCAAACCAGGTTCAGGACAATGCTGATTACAGGGAAGATATAGATGCGGAGTGCACTGCATCGTATTGCAGAGAGTTCTATCCAGAAACAAAATCATGGAAATTTCACGAACTCAAAAAGGGTGACGAATAACACAACCAAGCTTTCATTCTAGAGGTCCGAAAAACTAACTCAATTCCTCTCGATCGTCACTTCCATCTCATCACGGGAGATGAGCTTGAATCGGCAGACATCCCCTGGTTTCAGAGAGTTGTCATTACGGAATGCTGGCCAACCACCAGCGAAGCGGCCCAGTCCACGTCCAGGTCCCCGTTCGCTTTTACTTCGTTGGTTGAAGACAAAGGACAAGAGCCATGCGCCCGTCCCATCATCACTGTAAACCATCCCAGTGCTTTTCTCGAGCTTCATATGTTTGAACACGAAACCAGTCGGCAGATTCTGCATATTTAGTGATAAAGAATGGAGACTATCAAATTTTGTTGAGTGAAGCCTGCTTAAGAAAAGGTTAGATTGGGTTGATGGAAAATGAGTGAACCTACCGCATAGCGATCATTCATGTTAGTCTGGTTTATGGTAATGAAGAAGCTTGGACTGATCGAGCTTGTGGAGGTATTTCCCCTCCCTGGCTCTGGCATTCCTGCATTCCATCGGGTCGATATGAAGATCAGGCAATTCTGAATTTCATACACTAACGTTACACTTAGAAGAATAAATCACACTTCAGTTTGACAAAAAAGAAATGAACCTTCAACATGTTCAGCCTTGGCTGGAATGCGTGAGGTCTCAGCCTTATCCTTACCAAACTGGTTCCTCTTACCACTCTGTCCACCATCAGCAGTTCTCCCCTTCCCTGCAGTAATTGATGAAAGGATTATCAAACTTGTGATCCTTTCTCCCTTTTTCTTATGTTCGAAGCATAACCTACACTCACTAGTAGCCATGAAAGCTTTTTGCTTGGCATTCTCTGCAAACCGCGGCCGGGCTGGCTGCCCCCCACCACTTCCAGCCACAGGTGAGCCTGCGAAAAATCATCATAATGGCAAGTCAGATAAACCCAAAACTTAAAAGAGATTTATAGTGACAAGGGCAGAGTCTGTACCCCTGGCCTCTTCGTCCTGCTCAGCCTCTCTAAACTCCAGGTTTCGATTCGAGCCCACATTGTGGAAGCTGGAAGCTGGACACATCACGTCCACCCCATTTGCTCCAAACATCACAAGCTTGAACCTGGAGAAGCTTTTGTACTCGAACAACACATAGTGTCCATGAGTGAGAGAATTGCGATCTGCAAACTCCTGCCAGCCATTTCTCAGCCAAAAACCCCTGGCATCCTCGTAGAGCTCCACCTCCACCTGTGGTGGATCTCCAACAGTTGGTTCCAGAACTACCGGGTTGGTCAAATTTGCCCTCCCGCAGTTACTAATGAACTCTGGTGGAATCAGCTGCATACAGAAAAGGACAGGCAAAAGTACGACAGTAGGTAAGTTCTACAAAACCCTAACTGGAATCTTGAACATGAAAAAGGACACAACTTTTAAAGGGCTCTTACCAGTTTCTTGAGTGCCATTGTCTCCTCAGTGAGATGCTTCAGGAAATAGGCCATGGTTGAGGTTGGTTTTCAGGCAGCCGAGATCTCAAACTCTGGAGGATAAACACTTGTAGCTTGTGTAGGGTTTGGAGAAGGGAAAGGAGAAGGAGAAAACTTGCTAGAGGAAAGACAGAGAAAGCTTGGTTTTCTAGCACAAACCTGCCTGGTGCAGTTGAGGAGCTACTTGCTCTCTCTTTCTCTTTGCTGACAATGGTTAAAGGAACTGTTTGGGTAAGAGGTTTGTGCTGCATCCTTAGCTTGTAATTTAGCCATTTTAGGATGCTTAATTTTTACCCTCACTTTTTACCACCATCACTTTTTCTGTTTTTCGGCTTTACTCCCTTTTACCCAAGGGGCAATAACTTCATTATAGTGGGTGTATAATGAAACAAAGGAAAATGAGCTTTTGAGTTCTTTTCGACAGCAAATTCATCAGTGTATCCTTCCATTAATGCCAAAACTGAAACCTCTACATAAAGAAACAGGCTTTAACCCAAAGCTAGGAGCCAGTCTTCAAAATAACACCAAAAAGGAAATACCGAACTCCCAAGTCTTTTATTCAGTATTGAAATGGAAAATTTTCTACTCAGTTTTCCTATATTTTCAGTATCCAGTATCTTTGTTTAGAAGCCAAAATCTCAACTAGTCACTTTTAAGAAAAAGTGAGCATTCATATAGAATCAGTGCATAACAAGTCTAAATAATAAAGCAATTAAGCAACAATCTTTAAATTAAACCAAATTTAATTAGACTAACAAAAAGGCATTTCCCAAAGCCTTCGGACTACCTAAATCAGATAACATTATCCCATTAATCCCTTCAACTAAGTACCAGCAGTCTCATAATCTTTATAACCATACATAACATAACCACTCGAAGTGACACAACACATTCTCATTTTAAAGTTCCAGAAACTCCAGCAAATCAGCTGGCCTTAACCCCTCCAAATAGTCACTTTCAGTTGGCCGCTGGGACAATTTGGATCGACTAGGGACATCGGACGCCTACAATGTATGTAGCCTTTAATCCAAGAATTTGTTTTTTTTTTTTTTTACAAAAACTAACATTCAAAATCTGCAGGTGTTTGATACAATTTAGTTAGGAGTTATTACTCTTTTAATCCTCTGGTTGCTATTTTAACTTTCTTCGTTGTCATCTTCAGCATCGCCTATAAGAGCACCCCTTACTCTTGTCCTGAGCACAAATATATAGCATGTTATTGATCTAAATCTAATACGAGAAATTTTCTAGCCAAGTCCAAACCAGGGAGATTATAGTCAAAATTCAAGTACCTGCGATGTGCTGGCACAACGCGATTGATAACTTTCTTTGGTGCTGCAGTATCTCGAGCTGGTTGCTTGTCTATTAGAAAATGGGAAGAATTAAAAATTTTGTCCCCCCCTTATTAAGATTCCTAGTATTAAGCTTTAAAATGCAGATATGTTTTCAAGATAATGCAAACCAAGGACTAGTATTAATGGTGGAAGTGAACTTATCGAAATGCCTTCATGGCTGCAATATTTTGTAAAATTCAAGGATCACTTCAAATAGAGTTTTACTGATTGTGCCAGAAGAAATAAATTTAAAATGGCACACAACAATCCAAACTCCAAAGAGTTCGTCCAAATGAAGCATTCACAGTATATTACATAATAATAGTAAATAAGATGCACTTGTTGTAGCTCATACATCTCAATGCAGATGCTGGTTATGCCATGCCACTAAGCTAGCAGTAAAGATGAATGCTTACCTGGCGAATTATGTGAGCCATTGCTGGAAACACCTTCTTTGTTGAAAGCATCCACATTTCCCAGTTTCTGCCTCTTTTCCAATTGGCTCTTGAGTTGGTTCTTTTGCTGACAGATAGAAAGGTTGACATCGGATAAAGGTGCATGCATAATCAGTGGCAGTCACCAAGCAATAGAATGCTATGCGTAATCATTCGCCGAATTCGCTTCATACGATACTTTAATGAGCTGATTTCTGTGATCATGTCAGCATCATACAAGAAAATCTGCAAAGCAATACCTTTTCATCTGTTGCTACTCCTTTCATCAACTGCGAAGAATACCCTTCCCCTGGAAAACCCCGAAGTTTTTTAAACACCATCAACTCGAAATTCAAAAGAAAACAGTGCACTCCTGACTTCCTGATGCTACCAATTCTGCAATCCTTCTATATCATTAGACCTCGAACTTACTGAATCAAATCTTTACAACTTGATGTTACAATCAACAGACACCCAGCATATATATATATAACAAGTTGCAGACAGAATCACAAAACCAGTAAATAGGTTCAAAAGAAGAGAAGAATACACTGATTCCACAATGACCCACCTTGACCTTGTCTCGTCATCTTTGGAGGACACTTGAGCGTCTTGAAGAGGCCAAAAGAGATATCTGCCATGACATCCTTTGCATCACAGTCCAAAACTCTCCTGAGAGAAATGGAGATCAAAGGCATTCCTTTTGTTTTCTGAGAAACCAATCTTGCCGATGCAGCACCTGAACCAAAAAGAAGTTCAACCACAGCACATTTACATCAGCAGCAAGACTGAAACTTCTGAGTACTCTTAACCAAAAAAATCGATTTCAGTTACCATCACCACCCGAATGCTTCTCCAGCACAAGCTTGACATCTTCAGATTCAAGTGAAGATATAAAGTAGTCCACAAACTCAGACCATGAGCCACCAATTCCAATGCTATCTTGCTGCCAAAACAACCCAAAAAAATGACCAACCCCTCCCTCCAACACGAAAACAGTTCAAAAACGCAGAAAGGACAGGGAAAAAATCAAATTTCCTAAGAGGCTTACCAAGTCTTCCAGCTGCGTAATGGACTTATTAGCTTCAAAAGTGTTCGAGCTGTAATCGGTTGCTTGAATCTTGAGGTGGTAGTAGTCTGGAGCAAAAACATGCATCATGAATCTCCGGAGAGGAGCGGCAGAACGTCCGAAGTCGGAGCTCTTCCCCCATTCTGCTTTCGGTTCGCAATAAATGGGTTCGAACTCTTCAAACCCCATTTCCTCCGCAGTCACTCACACTCACTAAGTCAAGTTTCAGTCCAGCGTAAGAATACAGAAGCTAGCAATTTCCGAATGCAATCATTCGATTCTTGTTTCCTCAGCAACCCAAACGCGAAGGATTCCCAGGGAATTTTGAAGAAACAAAGAGCTACGAGAATTGGAGATGAACTTCCCACTTCCCAGGACCAGAATCAGAATCAGAAGAATCGCCGTGAAGAGTGTAACTATGAGCTGACGAAGGAACGGAGAAACTGAGAAAAGAAGGAGGAGAAGAGTTGCCGGAGAAGGCAAGTAGAATGAACGGACGGGAAAGCGAGGAGGAGAGGTCTGGCGATCAGTACGGTCGAAGGAACCGCGAAGGGAATTGAACAAGAGTAGCGGTGCTGTTTTATTTCGGAAAGAAGACGATCCCCTTGGCGACGGAAGTGGATGATGGGCCGGCGGCAAACTGGCTACTGTTTTCCCGTTAAGAAATTTGGGCTGGGCTTCCTGGCTGGGGCAGGCTTGCCGGAGAATTGGGCTCGTGGACTATTGAAGGCCTTGCTTTTCCTTTAACGAGACAACAATTAGCCCATCCGTAGTAAGAGATGTGGAGCAACTAGCAACAGTGATCTGGTGCCCAGCAAGATGCTGCTTTGCCATTTGCCAAACCATGGTATCCAGCTACGGAAGCAAAAACTGCTCACTGTTGCTGCAGCAGCAGCATATGCACTAGCTGTAAATAGGGCTGCAAATGAGCCAAGCCGCTCGCGAGCAACTCGACGTTCGAATCGGAAAAAACTCGTTCGACACTCGACTCGTTATTTAACAAGCCGGCTCGCGAGCCAACTCGTTAGTTAACGAGCCAAGCCTGAGCTAGACCATGCTCAGCTTGATAAGCTCGCGAGCTAGCTTGATTCGGTGGCTTGTCGAGCTAAGCTCGCGAGCTGCCTTGTTTTGAGCTTGTGGAAGGATGAATTACTCTTTTAAACATGAACATTGTCTTCTAATACAGATGTGTATGAAATTTAGATGTTATTTATAGTTTCTAGTGTTCTTTCTATCATTTAAATTCTTTATGTTTATACATTTTTCCAGCAAAAATGATTTTAAATCGAGCTCATCTTGAGCCGAGCTTGTACTCAGCTTGACAAGCTATGTTAATGAGCATTTATCGAGCTCTACCGAGTCGAGCTCGAGCTAGATTATTCTTATTCAAGCCGAGCTCGAGCTCGAGCTGGATTATCAAAATTCGAGTTCGAGTCGAGCTCGAGCTGAAAAATTAATAAACGAGCCGAGCTCAAGCTAAGCAAAAACTCGACTCGACTCGGCTCGTTTGCAGCCCTAGCTGTAAACAACATCGATGAAAATTCGACGAAAGGAGGATTCGTGGAACACAATCATACATGGAACTAATCCGAGCAAAGTACTTCATAAACTGTAGCAGAGTTTCTTCTCCAAGTGGAGGGTAAGTTACAACAACAGAATTTGTTTTTATGTATTCCATTTGATGGAGATATTACAGTGGGAGACACAACTTACACATCTGAGCATCTCGTGGTTCATAAGACGATGATTCCGGTGCAGTAACTACATTCTACAGCCTCACCAAATATACAACACACACTAAGAATAATGTTAATATGGACATGCCGTTGATTTCCCTGCTCCCACACAACAGTCTCAGTAGTCTAACCTTATGCTTAGACTCTTCTACCATAGGATTGGCCTCTAGAGGGGGGGAACTCTCAAAGAGACTACAACAACAATCGCCAACCCGTAACATTTGGATATGTTTGACAGGACGAGATGAACGTCTAGTGCTGATGCACTCCTAATCGTGGGAGGGAAGAAGAAAGAAAAGGAGGGTTGCTTCAGAATTGGGGGAGTGAGTAGACAGACTTACACAGGGGGTACTGTCCTGCGGATCATGGCTTGAAAATGGTGGGCAGGTTCACCCCACTGCAGAATCGTCACGCTCAAAAATTGGCCATCCTTCCAACATTCGCACATCTGCAAAACACGGCGAGGGATGGGAATGAAACAAATAGATCTACACACAAAGGTCTCGACTATTTAAGCAGTGAGTTGTGAGTAGACCGCTGCTTGCTTACCAATTTAAGCAGTGCCTGTAATTAATCGTTCTCGTTGGTCTAACTTCTTCACCTTTACAATTCCTATCAGAACTTTTAAGCTAAAAAAGGCGCATACAGCATATGCCATCGTAGCTGGTACCTACACAGGAAGTCGTCAATGGATTAGCAGAAGAAGCAAGATGGAAAGAGTAGGCACAAGTATTTTAGTGGATCATCTTACTCTCATAGCATTGAAATACAAAATTGTTGCAAGGTTAACTAGACTTCCTGCAGCTACAGCCTGTTCAATTGCCAGAACAAAACATATTGAGAACGTTGCAAAAATCATCTAACGAAACCAAAGCTGCAACAAAATATGGTTGCTCCGGTTAATCAGTCACAACCAGTCACATGAAAAGTAACAAGATTCTTTCAATAACATTTAAATCCCATAACAAGGGAAAGAACCAAATCATAGTAGATCATCGGGCAAAAGGACTCACACTTCCCACTGTAGTTTGAACAGCAGCAACGCGCTGGAAAGCCCTCTCAGCTTCCAGTGTTCGAACTCGAAGCTTCAAATCACCTTGCTCCTGAAAATAGTGCCAAGACTCCAAACTGTTTCAAAATGATTAAACTAAAAACTTGAATCGTTCGTCCAGAATCATTCGAGCCTCCTACCAATCGTTGGATAGTTTCTGCAAGCTTTTCAACTCTGTCGGCCTGCCTAAACAAGTTGTAGAACGCACGGGACTGCCTATCCCATCTGTTTCTGAGGTCCTGCAAACATTCATACACGTGAGTGCTAGTAGGGTAGCAAGACTCATAAGAGGGGGTACAGAAGCAAATGATTTTACCTTCACCGCTACTTCAACCCCAGCTTCCCGGAACTTCAACAGCTCTAGCGCATAGCTGGCAGGATTAACAACAAAGGATGTGTCAAGCACCAAGATTTCTAGAAGTTCAAAATCAAAGTAGTTTGAGTGAGAGAACTGCCAACCAAAAAGGACTCACGGTTTGGCGATTTCTGTAATGTCGAAACGAGGGTCGAGGCCTTTTCCAATCCCATCCAATACTGTGAAGGAAATAAGTTAAAGGTAAGAGATATATGCTATGCACAAAATCATATACTACTATTGACCGAGTTAATTAACCACACGATTATACCTGAAAATGCTCTTACAACAAATGTGAAAGTGGCAGGGAATCGGAAAGGTTGATCTCCAGCGATGGATAATAAATCTTCCCCTGTTCAGAAATTATAGAAAGAGTCACTTTAGTGTTTTCTACTGAAATAAAGAGGAAAATAACCGCTACTTGCATGGCTCAATCACAATGGAAAAACTAGCAAGTGAAAAAACCTTTCCTTGAAATTCAAAATACAAAGAATAATTATAATAAAATTCACTATAGATTACACACTATCGTAGAGACAAAAAAACAAAAGCTTAACCAAAGAAACAGTAATTCGTCTACTGGATTGCAATGCAAGCTTACAAAAGCTTAACCAAAGAAAACATAATTCATCTACCGGAGTGCAATGCGAACTTACCTATTGCCGCCAAACGCTCTTTCTTTTTAGCCAATTTTTCCTCCTTGGATAAAGGCTTTTTAAACCCAAGCTCTGCTGTCGCCATTTCCCTCTCCCGTCTTTGTGCAGCAAGACGTTCTTGGAAACTGCACGTTTAATTAGAAGTTACAACTGTATGGTTGCTATTATTTGGAAATGGAAGCATACTCTTACTTACACAAGCCGATTGCCACATAATTTTGACACCATTTTAGTCACACTACATATTTCAGGATATAATTAATACTATCAGGAAATATAATGGGCAACAGCTTCCTGAAAACTAAACTTCTAGATGTCCAAAGGATCTATTACACAATCAATATGCTATTTGCAAGTAAAAAATTTATTCCCAAGCACATAGACTGAGAATTATTTGGTAGAAAATCATTATATGACAGAATCAACCAGAAACTACCTACATCAGCACATTAGGCACTCGTCCAATTGGCTGAACAATATTACCAGAAAAAAGTAGCAGAAGTGAAGAATTTTTATCAACTAAACGAACCCACCTGTTAAGGAAAAATTGTGCAGTTCTTCTGACAGCTGTCATATCTCCCGTAGGCACAAGGACACCCATTTGGACCATTGCCTCAAGAATCTACACATGATCAGGAAGAGATAACAAAAAGGTATGAGCATGTGTGAAGTTGAAAGTTTGAACTCCATACTATAATCAAGGAGTCTCCATATTACTTAAGATATACATACCTTTTCTGCATCCTTTTCATAAACTCCATAAAACACTTCCAGCAACCCTTCTCTGATGTTTGGACTGATACTATAATACAGCAATAGCCAAAAGAAGTTCAACTCTGAGATGTCAACAAAAGCGAATCAAGTTCAATACTTACAGCTATAACGAAACAGATTGACAAGTAAATACCTTCCCATCATTCCGAAATCATAAAAGATCAGTCTTCCGCCATTGACATCATCTACGGCAATATTTCCTGGGTGCTGCAAAGAGAATTGACCATGGGCACATGATAGCAATTACAAAACTGGTACACCAGGCTAGACCTATCCTCCAAGGTGGCATGTTGGAACAAATTAAAGAGCTTAACACTATGTGAATGAACTCACAGGATCAGCGTGGAAAAAGCCATGAGAAAGAATTTGTTCCAAGTAAGATTCAACAGCATACCGGCCCAACCTGCATAAACCAATAAAAAAGAACTGTGAACATATTTCACCGAAGAGCATACTAAAGAACAAGCATGTGTCTCCTGCATTATCACGTTAAAATAACTAATCAAGGTTAAAAGCTGAGATTATCAAACCTTTTGCGATCCAGACCCAGCTTATCTAAAGCCTCTACTTTATTTATTTTAATCCCAGGGACGTACTCCATTGTTAGTACCTACACAGAAGATACTAGAAAATAAGCAGCCATATGTTTCAATCAAGAGATAGAGGGTCTGAATTTGTTCGTTGGTTGTGATTACTGAAAGAAACCTGAGGTGTGGTGTATTCCCAATAAATATTTGGCACTTTTACGTAATCCATGTCCTTGAAATTACTAGCAAAGAGCTCTGAATTTTCAGCTTCCTTGGTGTAATCAATCTCCTGAAATTGTTTATGCCCATTAGCACGAGTGTTAGTAATTTCAACTACATAGCTGTTGGTATAGGCCAGCAAGCATGGAAATGAGTGCAAAAAAATCTCAGTTAAAAGAAAGTACGGCTCTTTCTTGGGCCATCAACCATTATGTTGATGTAGAAGCCAAATAAAATGGGAAGTTATTGATGATTTTAACAATGACCCAGGAAAGTCAAGTGGCAGTACCTGATACAGTACGCTTGCACACTCGTCGTAAATTGCAACCCAATCTCTCTTTGCCCCATCCGACTTTGGATCGATCTTCTGAAGATATTCTGCTATTACCTGAAAAAGAAGGCTATCAAGTTCATTGATGTCTGATAAGAACAACCAAAATGGGGTGCCACCATTGAGAATACCAACCCTCAAATTCTTGAGATCAATGTCGAAAAGATCCTTGAGACCAGGCCGTTGTACTTTAATAACTACTTCCTGTCCTTTGAGTCTTGCACGGTGAACCTGACCTGAACACCCATTTAATAAATAAGAAGAAGCAGGCGCGGGGATGGCTTGGTTTTCCTATCTTGGAGACAAAAATAATTTGAAAGGAAATATAATATTACCAAGACTTGCTGCCGCTATTGGCTCGAAATCAAACCGCTCAAAGACATCCTCCACAGGTGCTCCAAGCTCTTCTTCGACTATAGAAAGAGCAGTCTCAGATGGGAAAGGAGGAACTTGATCCTGCAGAAAGGCATCAACTCAGTAATTTTGCTACGAATGTACGACGTTAAGGAAAGATTATCATCCAATGCAATTTCCTTAAGACTTTTAAGACTCACTTAAGGCTTCCAGTTAAAAGTTTATAATGAAAAGTGTCAAGAGGGTTAGAAAACCCTCACTTACAAGTAAAATAAGTATTCAGATAAAGAACGCGAACAACAATCCACAGACCTGAAGTTCTGACAATTGGTCAACATATTCTTGAGCGAGAATGTCCACTCTTGTGGAGAACTGCTGGCCAATTTTGATGAATGTGGGACCAAGTCTGAGTATAGTATCCTTCAGCCACTTAGCCAGTGCCTTCCTCCTCACAACTTTCTTCTCCTCCGTCATCCCCCCTGCTCATCAGAAAGAAATCTCAAGTATGAGAAAATGACCAGCAGAGAGCATCAACTAGATCAAGCAAACTCGAGCCGTAACCGAAATCATAATTAACACTGGACCAAGTATGTTGCCTTCTAGTATAGCATATGCATTATTCATAGAGTTCAGGAAAATAGGCTTCGTTAGAAAATGGGTAGGAGAAGCAGACCTCTGTAAGAAAACTTCTGACTGTTCAACCAAGCCTTGAAGACGAATGTAAAGACAGATCCCCAAATTTCCACAGTTCTTTGAATGGTGGAATAGGTTTTGAACCTATTCCATCTTCCCCCGGGCGCAACAGAAACCTGCAGAGGCAATACACTGTCATCATAAACGGCTAAAACATGGTCTCCACTGGCTCCTATTTCAACATTTCCCCCCGACTACACAGGTAGCTCAATCGCCATTTCCAAGTTAGTGACAAACCAACTCAACCGAACCCGAAAATTCAATTTCGTTTACCTCAACCTCCCCCGGACCAGAGCGCTTAAACCACGCATCTTCCTTCCCAACCTCTTCAATCCGCTTCTTCCTCCCGTCCTCCGCCGTCTCCGCCGCGGAAACACCGCCATTCCCATTCACGTACTTGTTCAATCGACCGTTACTCCCACCATTCACCTCGCTCTCCACCGCAACCAAACTTCCATTACTAAGCGATCCGTTACCCCCGTACTTTCCTGCACTACCACCAGCAGCTCCGTTCCCGTTCAATTTCCTCAACAGCTCCCTCTCCTCGATCACCGCGCCGGCACTCTCTTCCTTGCCAGCTCGAACTCGAGTCCGGAGCCGGAGAGACCTGTAGCTGTAGCTGAGCTGAACACTCCGTCTAGAACACAAATTGAGACCGCAACTGCGTCCGGAAAGTGAAACGCGGCGCTTGGAGACAGTACTCGGAGATAGGAACGACGAAGAACAAGAAGCAGCGGCAGTCGTCGGAGTGGCCATCGTAAAACGTAGGAGTACTGCAATCCCTTCACAATCGATCAATTCGACAAAACCCTAATTCTCAAGGCCTGCGGAGAGCCACGCGGGATTTTTCGCGGCGGAGAAAGAACGAAAGAAGAAGACAGACGAATAAGCGAGACGGACGACAGAAGGAAGAAGAAAGGAGAAAGCACAGAGAGAGTGTAGAGTGAGGGATAGCCGGAGATTTTTATTATTATTATTATTATTAAATGATCGGTGGAGGTGGGGAGGACACGTGGCAGGAGGTAAGATGAGAGCGCGGGGGATTGCGGGGCTGTGATTGGCTGTGGGGGTATGGGAGAGAAGATAGCTTGCGCCCGTGTTGAAATCATTTGGACGCTTTTTGGCTGACGTGGCGGAAAGCCAATTGTTTAAATCTAAAAGGGAAATCAACGATCGGGTTGCGGGTCGGGCCGTGTTTGTGGCTGGAGGAGAATGACGCCCGCAAGCCAAACTAATGGGCCTGAAAGTTTGGGAATGGGCTGGTCCAAGTTGGGTCATCCTTGCAAAGCTTTTGAGCGTAGCCCACAAAATCACCCAACTCATCTTTTATTCGCGTGGTTGAATTCAGCTATTGAATTTAACCGTAAGAAAGAATTTCGGTTGAGTCTCATTAAAAAAAAATGGTTATGATTGTTGGTTAAAAAAATCAGACCTTATGTATGGTGAACATTATTATGGTCACACTGTCAGTGAATTGATCCCTTGAAGTTTAAGTCATACACCAAGTTAACTAATCAGAAGAGATCACATAAACTAGCTAGTGGCTTATCGATTCCATCGTGTTAGATTGGTAAACAAGAAAGCATGACAATCGGGTCTAGATACTGATTGAGTACTTATATCATCTCGTGTCCTTCTTTAAACTCAGAACTCACTTTAGTTATATTCTCGTATATATACAATCGAGGATTGACACTCTTTTTTCTTCTTCTCGCCACAAGCGTTTAGTAAAATTTCTTCTTCTCGAGTTTTCAACCAAATAGACCGAATTTAGTTTCTAAAGAGTATAGTCAGACCAACACTAATGCAATAAGCTACTTTCGATACTTGGGGATCAAACATTTTCAAGTGATAAAAATACTCAAATAGTTATGTTTTTTCAGAAGTTATAGCATTGCATTGTTATAGAAGCAAAGTTTCAAAAAAATTAATTACTTTTTGTTTAGAAAAAAAGTTGAAAATCGGATGACAACCTCACATATAGTTTCAACAATAACATATATACTAGCACAAATTACCATACAAACAATCGTATAAATTGACGTATCAAGACGATAATTTGGTGCTTTATGTTTCTCATAGATAGGGGAGATTTTGAGCCAATTGTCTAGCGCTAGGAGTCTCTCTCTGTTACTTTTGTATTGCACTTAGTTTCTCAAACAAAACTCTCTAAAATACTAAACCAGATTATATGGAGAGCACAGTGTAGCAGCTTATCTTATGTGTTCCAGCCTTGTCCAGTAATTAGGAGGCTTTGGTGTTTAGACTTATATTAAGGGGACAGCAAGCTACAGACAGCAAGACAGATACACTATTATTAATTAATTATAATTAAGAGACCAATTTGTAAATTAATGATTGTTTATTAACCTGGAAGGAACAGAGGCTAGTTGCCAAGAAGCCACTTGGCATTATGATGTTAGTGCAATTTTTTCCACCAAAAACTGTCGAGAGAAATAAAAAGAAAAGAAAACAGTATTACCTGGAGGTAAGGATGGCAAAAATATCCGTAATTGTGGATATCTGCCCGAATCCGACCTAATCGGATAGGGTAAACCCGAACTCGAAGACCTTTTAGTGAGTACGGGTAAAATCCGAACCCGCATATTATGGGTATTGGGTGGGCATGGTTTTTTCACTATCCAACCCGAACCCGCCCGTTTATACACATGCATATGTATTTTGTCTACAAATAATCAATATTTTTCTCTGACATATGTTATATTTAGCATATAAATATAATATTTTTATAAAATTGTGTTGTTTTAATTAATTTTCTTCATTCTAGTGAATTATTGTCGTACTTTTCGTCTTACGTAACGTGAGAATACATGTGAATATTAACATATTGGTTGGAGTTATAAAGAGAAACTATTACCCATGGATACCCAAAACCGAACGGGTATGAGCACGGTTTGGATTTTCTACCCGTTTTTCATGTGGGTATGGGTATGGGTAAAACCCGAACTACTTTGAATAAAGTAACGGATATGCACTATCCGTCCCCGACCCGACCCATTGTCATCCCTGGGCATGGAGGTGACATTTCTAACTGTGCAACTTATAACTTGATGGTTTTTCTAAAAGGTGGGTTTTTTTAAGAAGGGATACCACGTGGTTAAATAAATTGCTAATATCGGGGTTGAAATTTGTACAAATCGAACATAACATGTTATTAATTAAATCAATTATAAATAACTCGAATTGTAAGAAGACGAGGTCCGCTCACGAATCTTAATTATACCACTTCCTTACTAATTAATCAGAAAATAATTTAGCTTTTATTTTGCATATCTTGATCATAATACCTTGTCTTCAACTAACATCTTCCATTTGATATTATCGGAACTCAAAACATATGATCTATAACATCTTGCAACCGAAAACTATTCTTTTCCAACAATGGCTCCAAAACTCTCCCCGTTTCCCTCATCTCAACATTTTTCCTGAGATTTTATGTCTCCATCAAACCGCCTTCCCATCTTACATAATCTCTTCCCTCCACAACCATAAAAAGCCCTTCCAAAAACCAACAACAGAAGAAGGAGCTTATTACCAACCTAGCAAAGAGAAAGGAAAAGAAAAAAAAAAACTATCATCACAAAATGGCGGGGAAGAGAAACCAGAGCCGCGGCAGCAGCCCAACCTCCGGCAACTTCTCCGACGACGACGGGGGCTCTTCCACGGCCGCCGCCGCCAACAAGGACCAAGACAGATTCCTCCCCATAGCCAACGTGAGCCGGATCATGAAGAAGTCCCTCCCGGCCAACGCCAAGATCTCCAAGGAGTCCAAGGAGACCGTCCAGGAGTGCGTGTCGGAGTTCATCAGCTTCGTCACCGGAGAAGCCTCCGACAGGTGCCACAGGGAGAAGAGGAAGACGGTCAACGGCGACGACCTCATGTGGGCCATGACCACCCTAGGGTTCGGGAGCTACGTCGGCCCGCTCAAGGTCCACCTCGGCAAGTACCACAAGACCGAGCACGAGGATAACGTCGGTTCCACCGACGCTAGTCATCAACCACAGCAACAGCAACAACAACAACGACGACAGTTCGAGAACTCCGTCACTGTTGCTGCTACTGCTGCGAGCCCCACACAGGCCGTCTCTATTATCGGTAATAGAGACGGTCGTGATTTTGCGGCTGGTGGTAAGCACCACCGCCAACATTACCATGGTTATATGGATGTTGGTGGTGATCAAATGATGAGCGGGCCCATGTTTTCATTGGGCCGGCCTGCTCATCAGGATTTGGGTTTGCAAGGGTATGATGGGCCGCCGGCTGGTACGGCGTCGTCGTTGGTGTACACGCTTGGAGTGTATCCTCATCAAGCGGCGGCCGTGAGTGCGGCGAGGCTTCTCGGTTACGGTAACGGCGGCGGGAGAGCCGTGGCGCATCAGTTTAATTAACGGGGAAGAAATTGGAGATGAAGGGAAGTTGGTCCATTGGAGACTTGGGCAATTGACGGAGTAAAGAACTCATTAAACTAATGAGTAATGACCATGGAATTTTTCTAATGATTTATTCATGCTAGAAATTAAGCTTCATTTTTGCTTACTACAATGACTACGTTGTTGCTTTTTTTTCAATTTAATTAACGATCAAATTATTAGAGTCAAGATATATATTTTGGCTTAATAAATTATTTCGGGGTTAATGAAGTTGTTAACTTAATTAGGGTTTAATTGCTTATTTTATTGTTGTAACTCATCATGTAATGGAACATCCCCCTGTTTAATGTGATCCATTTGGTTTTAATTTTGTTCTAGTGAAATTAAATACAATTTACTCAGTGCATGCACACTCCTTGAGCTTAGAGGTGAAAACATAGATTGAATTGCGGATCGGTGGATGTAATTTGTGGACTGTAAGGATTCATGTAATCAAGTTGCTTTTAATTTCTAAACCATTTGATAATTTCAAGAGTTTGGGTACTAGAGTATTATACTAAAAAAATTGGATACAAAAGTGCAATTTTTTATAAACAATTTTGATAAAATATCACAGTTTAGGTACTGAAATGAAATATAGTTTCAATTCTGGACCGCATGTTTTCCTCTGAACCGGACAGGAGTCCAGCCCAATTGGTTTCCTTTCAATCAATTGAGGCTTTGGCACAAAATTCAGATAAATCATTAAGGCTATGATACCATGAACCTTTTGGCATCAACACCTGCAGCAATATGCATGTAAGTAAGTAACAACTGAATAACAAGACCTTGCAGGAATAGGAATCTATAAACTGAAAATTATGGCAAGTGAGAGCTGCTTTCTATGTTTCTATCCAATAGATCACATCAGAAAGTAGAAGAAAAACAATGACATTGCGACGAAAACAAACACATCTTTCCCCAAATTCGACACACTTATTCTCAGCAATCTCACCACAATCCTCAGTAACTACAGTTTTGGAAAGCTGTACCACTTATTCTCAGCAGTCCCGCCACAATCCTCGGGTAACAAACAGTTCTGGAAGTGGTGCTACCACCACTTCCGAACCCAACCTTCTCTCATCTCCTAAAGGAAACCCCGGAGAAATCCTTCAACAGATGACGAACCCCAGCATACACATGATAGGACATGGCCAAGGCAGCAAGCTCAGCGGAGACCAGGGTGAGTTTCGACGAGTAAAATAGGAACTGGTAGAAGTTCTCAAAGGTGAGGCAAAGAGGACCTGTCTTCAAGCAAAGAAGATAGAAAACCAGTACATTGCCGGTCAGGAAAGCCCCCGAGATTCTGTTGGAAATGGAAGACGTCGAGCTAAGCTGTGGCTTGTAAACGGGGAGATGAGGAGATAAGGGGCGGAGGACGTGCTTCTCGGCCGGCGACTGCGAGCCAATCGTGGTGTTTGGACCTGCAGCAGTTGCCATTGACCTGGTGAAGTCTCCACCCTGCAGGGACATGAAAGTAGGGATGATACGGTGGCTGGAAGCAGAGCCTATGTAGTGATCAAGAGGAGTCCCAGCTCTTCCAAAGCGCCCGAGATTCGCAGCCCTACCAGCTTTCACCCTACTGACAATGTCAAACAAGATCTTCGGATTCTTCGACATCTTGTTCGAGATCTACAAGAATGATCATCAAAATAACCATTTCAAATCCCAGACTCATCCATTAAGGAAAAAACATGTTAGAAAGTCAATGGCAGCAGCTAAATAGTGAACGAAGGTCTTTGCTCTGACAACAGATTGAGGCTGTTCTTGTAACTTGTTTGAGGCCTTGTTCTAAATTAAAAGAGATGTCATATGCATGGAGAATTGCTAAATTGTTATTGCAAACCTTCAATGGAAGTTGCGCCAACTTCGACACCCTTGCTCTGCAAATTGGCAATCTAGCTAGCTAGCACACAAACTCACTGCCGAAGAATCGCTTCAAAAGCACGGATGCATCCCATTTCTAGAACACACATTTAGGGTTCACAGTAGGAGAAGACTAAAGAAAGAAGAAGAGGATAGAGGTAGGAAGGAGATTGTTTGTATTCAGTTAGTTGTATGTTAACTATTAACCAATTATTCGATTATCAGTTACACTACAAACTCATCGCTAAAAGGGTCACTTCAAAAGCCGTAATCAGCCCATTTCTATAACGCTCTTTGTTTTTACATCGCTCATTCTGGTAAGAAGATCGTGCATTTCATCCTCGTGTAGTCTCACAATAGCAATTCATCCCATTATGTAAGACCCAAATCACAATTCTTGCAACAAAACAATATCATTTGACATTACACTACAATCATACCTTTAAAATCCACATGAGTCCTTTAAATCTATGCATTCGCTATTGCTCTGCAAATTGGCTATTCTCAAAGACAGTATCAATAAGTAAAAACTGATAAGGAGCTCACTTATGAGAGGAGATGGCCATTAATCGGGAAATCAAGCGAAAGATTGTTCATCAATCCATGAGTAACAAACACAAGCCTACACTCGAGCAGAAAATTCGAGGGGTTCCTAGACTGACATATAGATTAATTGATTTCGCACAAGCTTTGAGCTCACAGTTCAGCGACAGGACAAACAAGCCTTCTATCGTTTCTTTAAGGCATACAAATACAAGCACCCATAATCTTCTCGTAAGAAGATTACCAGAACACATACTTTATTAAACTCGTTCTGGTAAGAAGAGAAGATCGTGCATTTCATCCTCGTGTAGTCTCACAATAGCAATTCATCCAATTACGTGAGACCCAAATCACAATTCTTGCAACCCAACAATATCTTCAGACATTACACTACAATTCCGCCTGTAAAATACACATGAGTCCTTGAAATCTATATATTCGCTATTGCTCTGCAAATTGGCTATTCTCACAGACAGTATCAATAAGTAAAAACTGGTAAGGAGCTAACTTATGAGGGGGGGACAGCCATTAATCGGGAAATCAAGCGAAAGATTGTTCATCAATCCATGAGTAACAAACGCAACCCTACACTCGAGCAGAAAGTTCGATTTGGCTCAAGGGGATTCTAGACTGACTAATTTATATAGATTTATTGATTTTGCACAAGCTTTGAGCTCACAGTTCAGCGACAGGAGCACGGCTCGTGCAAGCCTTCTTAGATCGGTGCTTTACGGCGTACGAATACAAGCACCCATAATCCAACAGAGTCTTAAGGAACTAAGCGACGAACGGAAGAGCACACAGAGAGAGGGAAAGGAGGAGCGAAGTGTTCGATATCTTACCTTCTTAGATCGGATCCGGTTGTGAGAATGGTGATGCGATAGAAGGAACGTCAGGGAAAATGGATTTTAGGGTTTGATCTTACGACAACGACACCCAATTCGCTATCTCCAATCCTCCTAAAGAGCGAATTCGATGGAGGCAAAACGAGACCTAAAAAGGAAGGAAGGTGAACTTCTCCCCGTTGTGGTTTTTACTTCTCAATTAATTGGACACGTGTCACCCAGTGGACGTTCGGTAAAAGTCGACTAATCAGCAGTTAGTTGTATGTTAACTATTAACCAACTATTCGATTATCAGTTACACTACAAGTCATTTCAATATAACCATAACCGCTTCACTTTTTTTTTTGGACATAGATAGGATGTAATAAGTAGTCAAAGAACAACACACAACCAAACCCGACAGTCGACAAATTGTCGAACTGTCGATAAAAGGACCTTTTGTGTCACTAAATGGGCAGCCCAGCCCTGTTGTACTTGCGAGGGTAAAAATACAGTTGAAAAGTGAAAAAAAAAGAAAATGACCAACCGAATCTCCTCCATAATCGCACCACCAAATTCATGCGCATCACTTACTTTACTTATAATCAATCAACGGTACCACCGACTATGAATTGATTTAATGATTTAACGACTAACCGGCTAACGCAATATCACCCCTATCAAATGTCATGAAAAATTACCGTTGAACCATTATTGTGCTAATCTATGAACAAAATAGGAATTGGTGGTTTGTTGATTTTAATTTTATTCACTATATTCACTATTCAGCCATCGTTTCGGAAAAAATTTATTCATTAATGTGTAACTTCTCAATTCTCGCCCATTACCCAGAAGAATAAACTTTTCCTGCTCCTTGCCGTAAAGGCGTAAAGTCGTAAACACACTATCCCTCTCCGTCCCAATTTTTATGCACAATTTTCAAATCGGTTATCCGGTCACTATCCTCCGCGGCCGCCGGCCATGAGCACCCTTCTTCCGGCCGCCGATTCTTCCCCGATTATCCCAACTCCTCCGCAACAACTCGAGAACGACAATCCAATCAGAATAAAAAACAATAAGACGAGGACGAAGAAGAAGAAGAAGAATAAATTATTCTCGGTAGACGAAGCTTCATCCTCGTCCTCTGCAACTTCATCTTCCTCCTCTTTCAGCTCCGCCCAGAGAAATTCGGGGCCCGCCGGCGTACCCCGTCGCCGGAAGTTGGTGGTTGCTCCGTTACGGCGAAGTCGCGGGGATGGCAATCGTGGGGAGAGCTTGGACGCCGTTGCTCTTCCTCTCGGCATGTCGTTTGCCGCCGTCATTGTGCAGGTTCGTCACAGAAAGTGGGAAAAAAATCTCTGCTTTGTGAGGTTTTTTGTAGCTTCAAAGTCCGAATCTTTAAGAGAATCCTTTCTTTGTGAGCGGTTTGGTATTTCTCCGCAGAGAAGAACAATAAAGTTTGGATTTTTATTGCTGATTAGCTGCGAACAGTTTAATGATATGTGTTCTGCTGTAATGAGTTATGACGTTGTGGAACAGCTAGTCTGTGGTTGATTTAATCACTGAAAGCTGCATTATCGAAAGTTGGTTGTGAAAATTTGCGACTCAGAATTGAATTGATGGTATCTTTAAACTGATCTTCTTATCTCACTCTAGCTTATGTGTAAGATTGAAGGTAATTAATTTGTTGAACCTGAAATTACAGTTTGTTTTAGATGCATGCAAGAACTGTTTGCAGTGGTGTCTTCATTATGTTGTTAAGTTGTTGATATTCATTCAAATATCTCTACTTTAATGGTTAATTTAAAATGGCTCGTTATTTGGCCAACATCTGCTGATACCTCTGTCATTCCAGAGGTAACAGTTTCTCCCAGTTCTGGCTTTCTCAAACTGGAGCGAAAACTCCTTTCACAATCTTGGTTATCTCTGAACATCAAAGGTGTGGAAGGTAATGCATTGACACTGCAAGCTCCATAGATATGCTGTAGCCAGGAGACTGGTTTTATGAATATACCTAATCTTTCATATGAGTGTTTTGGATTTGTTGATGATAATGGAGTGATTGATTTGGGTGTGGTGCTCCTGCTATTGTTGTTCTCTATCTATCACCCTAGGTTTTGGAGAGGAAAGATGCTGAAGGCGAAAGAATGATGTCTGCAGAGCTCCTTTCAGCGGTAACATTCAGGCCTTCCGCCATACTCACGATACATTTTGTTACCATCTCTCACTGGTCTTTCTTCTGTGTTCCAAATGCTATCCACCTTTACTTTGTGGAAAATTCATTAGTATCATGTAAAATTCAAATGGGCTAACATTATTTTTTACTTCATGCTAAACATATGCTAATAAGTGCAACGATAGTGTGATAGCATTTGTGATCTAGGTTTCTTATGATGTCATTTTCTCAGTTACGTCAATTTGGAATGCAGTTTGAATTGAAGATCACAACTAAAGATAATTATTTCCTTACCTGCAGATATGCACCACTGCCGTCAGAGAATCTTTAGCAAATGTAAGGGCCTCTTTGTGTATGTTGAGGTGGTGGGATAGAAGACTTCTAGAAAAGGGATACAGACAAGTATGCTTGATCTAACTGCCTATGTTATGACAGGTTTTCGGCAATGAATTTGAATTATTCGCTAACAACTTCCATCGGTCATTTCGGAGCACATTGAGGACTCTTCGAGTGATCAATGAATCATCTTTCCATAAAGCTGATCATAATTTGAGCCACCTGAATAGCAATAATCTCAGTCCTGATGAGTCGCACTCGCCAGTCAGTTCAGTACACAATCAATTGCATTCAGCTGAAGAAAAAGAAGGCCAGCTGCCAACAATTTCCTTGACCGGGGAACTCACCCTGTGTGGTCATGACAACCAACTGACTTGTACTCCTGGCTCATTTAGTTCAAGGATGGAGCTGAGCACCATAGAGAGGTCTGTCATGGAGCAATCTCGTTTCAATGACCTAAAGGCATTGGAGATTGGTCTCTCGATGAGGAGACTAAAGTTGAAAGAGGAACATATAGCTCTTGGCTTGGATTCCAATCGACTCGAGAGGTCTAAACTAGCAATGGGCGTTGAGAAGGCTTCTTTCAGAGCAGAAAAGTTCAAAACCCAACTGGAAGACACAAGGCATGCTGAGCTGCTTCGCAATTGCACAGACTGCCTTGTTGCTGGTTTGTTTTTCATGTCAGGATCCCTCTCATATGGGGCATATGTTTATTCCTATAGAAGGATTGCAGAAGCTACTGAATCTTGTACCACTCCTTTTGAGGTCAGAATCCTTTTCTCTTACCCCAGTTTGAATTGTTTTTGGTTCATTGTATGTTGCAATATTAGCACCAAGAGGGTCTTCTATTGCTGTGAACGTTATAGGACAATGGAAAACTAAGTTGCCGATCTTCTTTTAGTTTTGGAGTCATCAATTTAGGGTTCTGTAGGAATTTGTTCATTGTGACTGTCAAAATGTGGATTTTACCTAAAATTGGAGGAAGTACTGGAAATTCATAAGCATAAAGATCAAATTGGTCAGTAGCAACACGGAATTGATGGTTGAGACTATGAATGAAAGTTCTTTAAACTTAAGAATCTTCTGGGTGGCTGGTCTTAATCTTTACCATTTTCATCCGTAATACCAAACATCCAATTCGTGATGGAATAATAATTCAAATGGTTTTGTGATTGCTCTGAGATGGCTATCTTCTAGAATCATTAATAAGTTGCTTTTTTTTTATCCCTTTGCAGGAAACCAAGTCATGGTGGGCCCCAAAATCATTCTCTTCCTTCAACGCCAACCTCCACACTCTCAAGTGCCAAGTCCAAGTGGTGAGCCGAATGTTGTTCGGCCTGCTAATGATCCTTTCAGTTGCTTACCTCCTCCTCCAACGGTCCACCACCTCACAACGGTCGACAATGCCAATAACCTTCATCCTACTTCTGCTCGGAGTCATGTGCGGCTTTGCTGGAAAACTCTGCGTTGACACACTAGGAGGGGACGGCCTCCATTGGCTCTTTTTTTGGGAAACTATATGCTCTCTCCACTTCCTCGCCAACATGTTCACATCCACCGTGTATCGTGTACTCTGTGGGTCACTCGACGTCTCCACAGGAGGGTCACGACCTTGTCGGAGAATAATACTATGGCCGTACTGGTTTCGACGAGTAGTTTTCTACACCATCTTGCTGCTGGTCTTGCCATTGTGCTGTGGGCTACTACCATTTGCCAGGTTTGGAGAGTGGAAGGATCATTTTGTAATTCTTGCTATGGATCTTATGCCACAAGGTGGACAAAGCCTTGCTACCACCATGATAATGTTAAATGACGAAGGTTTTTGCCCGATTCGTTGGTAATGTATAACATAAAGACTTCTGCCTTGGGGATGGATGTTGGCCGATGTGGTGAGGCTTTGGCTCAGAACATGTTGGCTGCTTTGCTGGATGAAGATATAATCTTTCGAGCTGGGATGTGAGTTAGTTTTAATTTATTGCTTTGCTGATGTTTTCCCACTAACTTGGTTTCTGCTTTTTTGATCTTCTACCAATTGTCACTCGGTGTTGTGTAGGTAGTTAGTGCATTCCCTGGTTTGATTTGCATATATATGGCTTGTTTTATGTAGGTAGTTAGTGCATTCCCTAGTGTCATTTGTCTCTTCACTAACAGTGACCAGAAATTTTGTGTTTTGGATAATTTCAGGCGCCTTGGAGACTCCTCTTATCTATCATGGAACAGAAGTCCTGGAGGACGTTGAGTGGAAGAGAGGCGAAACCTTTCGAAGAACGAACCTGATGGGGCGAACCCGAATATGCTTTGATGTATCCATTTCATGTTGTTTGAGAGAGACGTTAAAGGCCACCTTGTTCGGTGTAATCTAATCTATTTTCTTTGTTCTGTGACGACTAGGAAAACATGTATCATTTCCAGAAACAGAGATGGTAGAATTTTATTCAGAGTATCCATCCTGCAACACATACATTTCTGAAAAAAAAAGCAGAAACTGAAAGGCTTGGAAACGATACTCTAGTTCAACTTGTAAAGCAGCTAAGTAAACGTTAAATTGACCAAGTCTTCTACACTATCGATTCTCGTTCTGATAAGTTGCTCTGAGGACAGAGTAGGAAGTTGACGTCCTTAACCACGACCATGCTCATGAACTCGAGCAAAAGGACTCGATAGATCCTCTCCTCTAAATCTAGAAGAGTGCTCCCACCACAATTTGACAAAGGCAAACCCCAAACCCTTCTAAGATCCAATACAAGCAAGCGAGAAGCAATCCATCTAGGTCCAAAGAAAAACACTCGTAACTACAACTCTTCCAAAAGCATCCCTATGGAATTGGCGCCAAATTCAATTCTTCATCAGTTCAAAGATGTTGATGATCTCCCCTCTAACCCATCCTTCCGTCACCAGCATATTCGCCAAAGCTGCAGCGCTTGAAAATTCAAAAGCTTTTCTTCACGAAAGAATGCAGGCTGTGAACTCCGCCTTCATTTATCGCTGCTCCAGTCCGGACCTGCACATAGACGTCCCAATTTCGCTCTTTAATTCCGTGCATGCCATCGAAGGAAATTCAAGAAAGAAACAACTAGTAAAGAGAGGGGCGCAAGACATACCTCGAGCCTCAGAGTTTGGGACCTCAGCAATTCATGCGCCGAGGGCAGAGAAGAGGCACCCAGATCCTGAAACCCTTGCTTTACTGCTTGCATGGTGTAAGGTATGAATTCCAATACAGAGCCTTTATCCGGCATTGCTCCGACGACTCCCTGTGCAATCTTCAGCTTCGACTTGTCCCCCAAGTACCTCTGATCGCTCCCTTTGCTCATCGCCTCCAGTGAACCCATCCCTCTATACTTCTTCACCCTAGTCCCATCCTGATGCATGCCCAACAGAGTAAAGAAACAGTAAGGAAAATATACCCTCATCAAAACTACATAGACAGTTCTGAATCCCTAATTGAACACACATCCAGGAACTGCAACCTCTTCTCCAAAGAACAAGTCATTGTAAAATTACCATACCTTGTTCACATACTGGCCAGGAGCTTCAGTACTTCCAGCTAAAAATCCCCCCATCATCACTGTAGATGCTCCCAGGACCAGTGCCTTCACAATCTGCCCAGAATATTGAATCCCACCATCTGCAATTACAGGGACACCGCTCTGCGAAGCTACAGAAGCAACTTTGTAAACAGCCGTTGCCTGCAAGTCAGCAAAACACTCCATTAGCACAACAAACAGTATGTAACAGAAGATCTAGCTTAACAGTAGTGATAAAAATCCGGCCTTTAGTACTTCACCTGGCCACGCCCAACCGCGCAAACCTCCTGGGTAGTACAAATCGAACCAGACCCCATTCCAACTCTCAATCCATCGACACCCGCAGCAATCAAGTTCTGAGCTTGACTCATCGTCACCACGTTCCCGCCAATCACATCAAGCTGCGGATAAGTCCGCTTCACGTACTTGATCATCTCAATCTGGTAAATGGAGTTCCCCTGAGAGCTATCGAGGACCACAACATCAACCCCTGCCTTAACCAAAAGCTCCAGCCGTTCCTTGTCGGAGTCTCTAGTACCAATCGCCGCTCCAACCATCCACGATCCGTCGGAGCTCACCGTCCCCTTCCCCAGCTTCGGGTATCCCTTCACCTTCTCCACATCCTCCTTGGTAACCACATCCACCACTCCTCCTTCCTCCGCCAGCACCGCGAAATCCCGCTCCCGCTCCTGCTGCTTCAGGTGGGAATCCAGCTTGTCCAGGTCGTAATTGGACGGCACGACGAGCGATTCGTCGGCGGGTCTCATGTAATCGGAAAGCTTTGCTCCCTGCTTCTCGCCGGACCAATCGGACCGGGCGACGTAGCCCACGAGCTTCGAATTGGGCTTGCCGGATTCGGTGACGAGGACGCAGGGGACGGCGGGATCGTCGAATTCGTTGACGATTCGGGAGTCAGGGGAGAAGATGATTGGACTTGATTGAATCGGGACGCGACGGGATTTGACTGACCGGATGAATGCGGCCTGGGCAGAGGGAGTTGTGTTGTAGTGGACGATGCCGATTCCCCCGAGGGCGGCCATGGCGGCCGCCATGTGGGACTCGGTGACCGTGTCCATGGGAGAGGAGACGCAAGGGATGGAGAGCGGGATGTTGCGGGAGAGCTTGGTGGAGAGGGAGACGGCGTCGGTGGGGAAGTCGATGTAGTGAGGGAGGAAGATGACGTCGTCGTAGGTGTATGAGAAGCCCTGATTGAAGAGCTTCTTGGCGCCGAAACCGTCCTCTTCTTCCATGGCTATGTTGTTGCTCATTGTTGAGTGTCGGGGAGCAGCGGTGGCTTGGCTCCGGCGAGAAGCGGAGGAGATGAGCGGCGCTGCTGGGGAAGAGAAGGATTTGACGGCGGAGAAGCAGAGTAGGATTTGGGGGAAGAACAGAGAGAGGTTGGTTCGGAGACAAACGAGCCAACTAGGGTTTGGGTGGAGTGTGGCGATAGGGTTTAATTTATAAAGAGTGGATTAGGGTTGTGAGTAGTAACTCGGATCGTTTATGAAAATGAAAGTTTGAGTTCGACTCGAGTTCAGCTCGTCAAATAACATTAAAGAGTCCAAAATCGAGTTCAACATATAAAAGGTTCATTGTAGTTCAAGATTGAGTCAAAATTGAGCACACAATCACATTCAAATTTGTAGTAAAGTCTAGCAAAACGAAACACAATATTTATCTCGATTTCAATAGATAAAATCCATGAATCTCAATCCTTTATTATACCAAACCGTTAAATGAGCTTGTTCGCGAGCTTTCGAGCTGAACATGGTATGGCTCGAGTTCGCCTCGTTTAGTTAATGAGTTTGTTCGCAAGCCAACTCGATTAAAACGAATCGAGTGTCGAACGGGTTTTTTTCGAATCGGACGCCGAGTCATTCATGACCGGCTTGGTTCATTAACAAGCCTAGTAGCAAGTAGTGGAAATTGGTACGGTCGAACCGCACTAAGTCGCCTCAGGGTCAACCCAAATTGGACCAACAAATTAGCGATATGAGTTGCGGTTTGAAATTGATGGCTTTCCTTGAAACCTGCAGTTTGACGATTTTTTTTTTAGTGTTTACAAAGCTCTCTTTTACTTGGTAAGTCTAGTCTTGGATACTCACTAATTCGAGCCGGTTAAATTCTGAGTGTCTCGCTTTGTTTATCGTGTCAGTTTAATGTCGGGTCTTTTTTTATCCAGTAAGGGTTTGGTAGGATTAATGGTGCGGATTATTTTTTTGTCTTATTACACATAACAACAACTAGTGATATGTCATTTCTCATACCAATACATTAGACCTGTTTATAACGTTATAAATTTTAGGTACTAAAGGTAAAAAATTATAAAGGTACTAGATGTAATTTTACCACCAAAATTTCTTGACCTTCTTGTAAAAAAAGTTAGATACTAAAATATAATAAAAAATAAATTTGGGTACCAAAATAAAATTATGAAAAACCGTGTGTTTATTGATATGAGTCAACCGGTCGGCTCGATCCAACCCTACCTATACAGATTACAGACCAGACATGGCTATGCTAAAGAAGAATGGAATCGGGCCGGATCAAGTTGAATGCAACCCTATAAAATCGAGGTTTTTTAGAGTAATGACAAGTGAGAGTTGGATTTGGCATAATTTCACCCCCTAGTTGTCAATTTAGGGGTGAAACTGGGCCAAACCCAGCCCTGACCCTGTCACTACCCAAAAAAACCCAACCCTGTATGCTGGAATATTTGGCCCGACCCGACCCGGCCCTATTCTCATTTGGCCCTGTATGGCCCTGTTGGGTCGGGCTGGGCCGGGTCGGGCCATAGGGTCGACCCAACTTCTTTTTATACAATATTAGCCCACTTAATTATTTAATATCAAATTAAATTTTAAAAAATTGTAGGTATATACTAGAAAATTTAAATGAGTTCATAACAAAAATAATCTAAATTAAATAAAAAAATTATTTAAACTAATTCAAAAAATAAAAGTTTGATTACAAAAATTCTGTTGAGAATTATTGAAGGGCGGCTGGCTGTTCATTGAGCAGCCGTCCCCAAAAACGTGTATACAGGACTGCATAGTATCTGCATAGTAACTTTTCCTTTTCTATAAATAGCTGAGATTTCTGATTTCAGAATTCATTCAGAGAGATGTTCGTGAGAAGAGAGAATTTCTCTCTATGTATATACTCTGTTGAAAGAAATAGAAGAGAAAGTGTTTTATATCTATTTTGTATCTACTTTGTCTATTATATCTCATATTGTCTTATTTCATAGTCTATACGTCTACATACCAAAATTCACAACACGTTATCAGCACGAGCGCTCTACCTACTCAAGGTCCTGCAAGTCAAAAATTGTTTTTGAGGTAGATATTTTTCATCATCAGGTACGCATACCCTCTTTTCTATAAAAAGCTCAAACAAACAGAGCCTTAACTATTTTGCCATTATGCACAGTATTTGCACAGTTTTTTTTAACGTAATGTTGCAGGGTCGCTTTCATCAAATAGTAAAATTACTATGCATATACTATTTGTGGAGCCCATGACATTATTATTATTGTTTTTATATGATATTATATTGAATGATGGGCACCGCTATGCCACTGACTTTCTAACACACTAATCGTATTATTATTACTCTTACAATTATTGTTATATGCTATGTTAAAGTGATAGCAAATTAAAAGGAATCAGAGTAAATTCCTGAAATTGATAGGTTCCAGAATGATAAAAGCTAAAGTGAATAGCTAAGGTCAAATGACCTATGGATAAATGGGTTATCCGAATTATGAGAAATCCTCTGGACGTAATTCCATTCCCGGAAGTGAATGTGAAAAAGGACAAGGTTAAAATACCTAAACCTAAATTGGTTTGTTCTAATGATGAGAAATTCCAACAGTAATAAATTTTCACCTGCAATGAAAAATGGGATAGTAAAGAAATTTCCTATAAAGGACAAAGATGTTACCGTACAAGTAGTACGTGAAATGGATTTAAAAATGGACAAGAACAAGGATATTGGTCATATTCTGTACTTATTGTACATGATGTTCATGATGATGATTTTATATTCATTGTGGTGGAACTGTGGTCGGTACAATCCGCATATCCCATAAGTGAATTAAAGTATATGATTAGTTAACCACCTGTTACAAGGAATCAATTATGTATGGTCGACTTTTACCAAGAATCACTTGAACGAAATGTTCAAACCGGGAGATAATTTTATGACGAAAAGTGATTCGCGACATGGCCAAGTTTGAACCCATGAGATTTAATTTATATGTCCATTTGTTCCATGAATACCGAAATATCAATAGGTATATATCTGTACGGAAGAATCCAATAAAGTTATCTGGTTGGATTGGATTTGATCCCAAAATTTTCATATATATATACTATGGGAGTTCCACACGGCCATGCCAAAAATCCACACGCCCGTTTGGAAATGGCCTTTGGCCGTGTGAAGGCTCGGCAATTCCCATACGGCCAGGAGTGCAATTTCACACGGCAGTGTGAAAATCCTCGGCCAGCCAGTGTGGTTTTCTCGGCCACACACGGGCAAATGTATACTTCACACGACCGTGTGGCTTGCCCGTATACCGAGCCTGAAGCCTATAAAAAATGACCCACACGGCCGCGTTGGCCAGAAAAAATCCGAATCACATTCGGTGATTTCATCACATTGGTACTCAATAAGTACCTCATATAGTCGATACAAAAGGGAAGTATTCAAACTTGAATTTATTGATAAATTTGATTTATAAATCAAGCAGGATACATTGTATGAGATCTATCGATCTCTTCATTTTTCATACTACCATATATGGAGCAAAGACTAGAAAATATCTAGTCATGCTTATGATCCTCGCGTTTGTGTATCGAAACGTAGCGTTCATGATTGCGATAGTGTATATCTAGCAATATAAGTATTGCAATCAGAAAGAAAATCATAAAGATCCATGACACCCAAATCAATATTAGAAAGGAAGAGATTTCTTCGGCCATTGCTTCACCCGAACTCGATAAGATCCCTGAAGCGACTTATAACGAGAAGAGTTCTCAAGAAGGGAAGAAGAATGATGGAATTGAGAGATGATGTATGATTTTTCGGTTTGAGTATAATGAAATGAAAAGGAGGAAAGTTGTTGTTTTATAGCCGAAATTGGGGATAAGATAAGGATGTTGATGTGGTAGATATTGAGAGATTGTGGTTTGAAATTTTGAAAAAGAAAATAGATATTGTAGTGTATGTCGGCCGCCATAACACACAGAAAGTGCCAAAAAGCAGATCGAATTTACCAGGTAATTATAGTTGATATTATGCTGTATGTTCTATCTAACAGTTCTCTTTTGGTGAAACAAAAAGAATAGGGTTCGAAATCTGGCGTCAATGGAGCTCGAACCTACGACGTTCCAGGTGAGGGCAAAGAGCCGTACCACTTCAGCCGCGTCCCCTTTTTGTATCATTCTTAGATTATTTCATAATATATATTATTGTGATTTAGACAACGGATTAATTCTCGTGGTTAATTATTATTTAAGAAAGAAGCAATCAAGCAAATGCAACAGTAAACTTGAAGTTTACATTACGTGATAAATTGATTGTTTGGCATGACCGGTTGGGCCATCCCGGATTAATTATGATGCAAAAGAAAATTGAGAATTTATGTGGACATTTGAAGGAATTCCACAAGACAGTTTTATCTTGTGCTGCTTGTTCTCAAAGAAAGTTGATCATGAGATCATCACCAGTGAAAGTAAGAATTTGAATATTATATACGATGAGCATATGTAATACCAAGTTGGTGAACCAATACACCATGTGGACCATTTAGGTATTTTATGAGTTTAATCGATGCATCGACTAAATGGTCACATGTATTCAGCTGCAACCTGAAATTTGCAAGACTGATTGCTCAGTTGATTCAATTATGGGCACATTTTGATGAATGTCCAATCAAGAAAATATATCTTGACAAATACTGGTGGTTACTAGAATTAATACAAAATATCTTGTAGCACATGTGTGTGCACAAAATGATCTCGATGAATCACTCACTCTGACATGTCATCTTACATGCGGCAACACTGATTTTGCATCATGCCAACAAGATGTTACTAATAAACCCCTATATAATTGGTTCTGGTCAGGACCTAAAATATCCCATCAGAGAATTTATGAAAGTGCAATATACGATGTAAGTTGATCCACCACAATTTACAAAGATGGGTTTTGCAAAGGAAAATTGGAAACTGAAGTTGCATAAGAAGTCTCTATTTGTTTTAGTGAGACTAGAATTTTTATATGATATTTATTGACGTTGTTATATGAACAAGTCAATGTTTCCAATATCAGGGGGAGAAAAAGAAAGGGTGAGCAGTTGATTTGCAAATTGGTTGAAATGAATTATGATCCTCATACTTAGAATGTGAACATGAAGTTCAAAGATAATTCATTTGCCAAGATTGGTTAACCTACTGCCAGGCATCGTTACTGACCCAAAAGGAGGTGACGAAGTCACTAGCAACTGCTAATGCTCCTAAGTTAATATCCTAGAGGGATATATTATACACATATGACGTGTGATAAAAATTATCGGTTCCAGAAATACAAATCCTCAAATAAGAAGGGAGCTAAGAATAAAGATGGTTTTTATAATGAGGATATTGTAATTCTATTCTCCAAGAATTATTGGTTTGGTATAACCACAGGTACCTGTTTGGGAAAATGAAAGAGCTCCCAATAAATTATATCTTGGATGAAATTTGATGGAATCAAAAGGAAGTCAACGTTGACAATGAATTTTGTATATATTGTAGCGCGCAATATGATGAATGAAAAATGAGGATCGAAAAGAATATAAAACAAGATGATTGGCCAAATCATAACGACGCATTGGAGGCAGTTATGAACTCGCCTACAGAATAAAATGTCATGGGATTTATACTCCTTGTATACGAAGAAGTAATGTCAATAAAGCATACATGATGTCTTACAATGACATAACAAAGGGGAAGAAATTGAGAGATATTATGCTCGACCTATCAAAAGAGTATTATATAATACTTGACATTGAGTATAAGGAGACTCACTCTCATATGGTGGATATGACTTTTGATATATAATCAATTAGTCTGGCAGTATGAGGAAAAGCGTCTAGTGGATGTAATACAGTGCATTTATAAAAGCATGCTTAATAATGATGATATTTATATGGAACTCCCTGGAGGAGTTAGTTTGCACGAAGCAAACATGTTAAGGTTTTTTTTAAGAACGTTATTCAAGTAAATTGAATTTCCCCTTAAACAAAGTGAAAGAGCATCGATTAATATGAGTTAATGATCTAGATAATTTTGAGGCAGGCATCTACGTACTCAGAATATCTTCCAATGATTGTTTCATATGTTGTGACAAAGAATCATTGGTTGTGGGTGCCAAACTTCTTATAAGAAGGTGTTTGTAATATGTTTTCAAGTTGAGATGAAAGGTATAAATATGGTTGAAACTCTTGAAGAGTGTTCAAAGGCAATAAGTTATTGAAATCAATAACTTAAAACGACGAGACTTTAACTTGGATTACAAAATCAAATATTGTAAAACAAAGTCCTCTGCATCAAAAGATATATAAATATGCACAAATGATAATAATGGATGAATTATCCATTGAATAGATCAAAGAGTAAGATCTATATGAAAATAATCATATGTTTGTCTATTGGTAAAGTAATTACCAAATACATGGTCGTATAGTACATGATCTTAGTGTCATCGAAATATTAATATATTGCCACTTGATATATTAGTGGTACAATATAGAGTTAATCACGCAATGTGATATGATCACAAACAAGTTTGATGATGTTCCCATATAAGCGGGAATAAAGTTTATATGGCTACTTGACAAAGCAACATAGAGTATCTACATCATTTGATCATGCAGATACCATAGTCACAAATACGAAAATCATGAATCAGTTTGAAAAATATTCATGATAAAATTCATTGGAGAAAATTGGTATATGTTCCGGAAAATTGATCTTGATGATCAATCATAGTATATCTCTTAATTGAAATTAGAGATGATGATGGAGATATGATATATATTGTATTCCACAAGAGTTTTTTTTTTTTCACTCATAACCTTCGTACAAACACCCAACTAAATGTTTGGCTAGTTTGTTTAAACATTAATGTGACATGAGTATCACTAGAATATTTCATTCTATATTATGTGAAAAGCTAGTACATAATATATTGGATATTGATGACTTCAAAATTGATGGATCTCCCCTTGAGGGGGAGAAAATACGCACTGCACTCTTTTTTCCTTAACCATGGTTTTTCCCACTGGGTTTTCCTGGTAAGGTTTTTAACGAGGCAGTATACAAAAGCGTATTACAAGAATTGTGTACTCTTTTTCCCTTACTAGGTTTTATCCCACTGGGTTTTCCTAGCAAGGTTTTAACGAGGCATATTCTTGATCAATGAACATCCAAGGGGGAGTGTTGAGAATTATTGAAGGGCGGCTGGCTGTTCATTGAGCAGCCGTCCCCAAAAACGTGTATACAGGACTGCATAGTATCTGCATAGTAACTTTTCCTTTTCTATAAATAGCTGAGATTTCTGATTTCAGAATTCATTCAGAGAGATGTTCGTGAGAAGAGAGAATTTCTCTCTATGTATATACTCTGTTGAAAGAAATAGAAGAGAAAGTGTTTTATATCTATTTTGTATCTACTTTGTCTATTATATCTCATATTGTCTTATTTCATAGTCTATACGTCTACATACCAAAATTCACAACAAATTCCAACTAATTCCAAGAAAATTTAAGTTAGTCCAAATTCCTATACCAAAAATCCTAATTAATTCGAAAAACTCAACATTAATTCCAGAAAATTAAAATTACATCTAAAAAGTCTAAATCATCTTACGATAAATCCAAATCAAATAAAAAAAATGCCCTGCCCTTTTGCATAGTAATGTTCAACAAACTCCTTCATGGTAGTTTCCCAGGAGGCCTGCTGAGTTAGCAAGTACTCTGTGTTGGGAGCTTCTGAATTCGTCGTTGGAGATCAACCGCAACAACACATTGCCACCAAAATTGATATTCATAACCAACAATATTAGTATAAAGACTCCATTAAAGACTCCATCACATTAAGAAAGCAGCTGTCTGTTTCAGGACAACCCAGAAGCAGCAGCATTCCGACTTCCGAGCAACCTATATTGTTAAGGTAATCAAGGCTCACTGTTCAGCCCCATTGCTGCACTGCAGAAATCAATTCAAACAACTTCCTTCCCAACCCCATCACTCGGTTTCCAGTAATCAACCATTCCCAATCCCATCATTTGGTTCGAGTAATCAACCATTTATGATATGCAGGTGAAAATTTATTAAGAAGCAACCCAAAGATACACCAAAATGGGACTGAGATACAGAGGGGGAACAGCAAACAGAAATCCCCATTAACCAAATCCAACGGAAGATCACAACACCTGCAAGAATAAAGCCAAAAGGATGCCTAATGGGTAGATCTGCAATTTCAAAGCTTGGACAAGACTGGTTTGGAAATGCCCAAACCAAGGACGCCACAGGGCGTCGTCGACGAAACGGAGAGCTTCTGCTACTCCTCCAGGAACTTATCCTTCGACGACACGTCGTGCGAGTTCAGCCGCGCCGGAGAGACGACGGGGAGCGAGAACGAGGAAGGGAAGCTGCTGCGGCGGGAGGCAGGGGAGGGCGGCGGCGGAGGACGAACCCGACTACCCGAGTGTTGGGCCGGCGCAGAGGATGAAGGAGATGCGGCTGGGTCGATGAGGGAGATGATAGCGGAAAGAAGAGATGGGGTCGAAATGAGTTGGATAATTAGGGATTTAAGGTTAAAATGGGTCAAAATGGGCCTGAATGGGTTTTATGGGTAAAAGTAGGGCTGGGCATGCGGGCGGATCATCCGCGGGTTTGGGCCGACCCACCCGCATTTGACCCGAATTTCGATAAGTGGGTGGGTCTATGGGTGGGTGACGGGTTGCGCTGGGAGCCATCCGACGGGTGGTGGGTGGGTTGTGGGTGGGTGCGCGGGTGACCCGCTCAACCCAATAACAAAAGGATCAAAGTCGTCGGCGGTAGAGAGGGGAGAGTGGAGACGTTAGACATAAACTAGGACTGCTCCTGGAGTTTGAACCTCAAAGCCAACCTTCCAAATAGCGATCCCCTCTTCTTCCCTTTATTTTTTCCTCTACTTCTTGTGCCTAGATCACTGCTCTTTCCTTTGTGGAATTGTTTTTCTTAGTTCCTTGCACCTGATAATCATCTCAATATGTAGAAAACTCTTTCATAATAGAATTTCTATCCATTTTAAGAACTAATTCGTCATTTTTCGCCCTATATTCATCTTCTTGTTTCCCCAGATAACTCTCTTCGCCTATTATCATGTCAAGCTGACTCCTTTATATTATATACATTGTGATGTGGGTGAACCCACAAACCCAACCAAATCATCCACCATCCGCCCGACCCAACCCGAGACTAAATGTGGGTGGGTGGTGGGTTAAAAATTATCAATCCGTTTAAGCGCGGGTGGGTGCATTTTATGGTCAAAATCCACCCGACCCACCCAATGCCCACCCCTAGGTAAAACCCAAAAATACCCTACCCTCTAGGGTCAGAATGTGACCCGGCCCTATTTTAGCCCTAAAGACAAATTGACCCTACCCGACCCATAGGGTTGGGCCGGGCCGGGCTGGGCTGATGGGTAGTAAGGGCCACAGTTACAGCCCTAGATGAAGGAGATGCGGCTGGGTCGATGAGGGAGATGATAGCGGAAAGAAGAGATGGGGTCGAAATGAGTTGGATAATTAGGGATTTAGGGTTAAAATGGGTCAAAATGGGCCTGAATGGGTTTTATGGGTAAAACCCAAAAATACCCTACCCTCTAGGGTCAGAATGTGACCCGGCCCTATTTTAGCCCTAAAGACAAATTGACCCTACCCGACCCATAGGGTTGGGCCGGGCCGGGCTGATGGGTAGTAAGGGCCACAGTTACAGCCCTGGTTGTCATCATGCTCAACTATTATTAAAAAACGAAGAGAAAGAGCTTATGACCAAGCCATGTTTTAAGCTTCTTTCATTTTCTGAGCCATGTTTCATGCTTGCTCCATCTTTGACTTGATTGGGCCAAAATTATGGGTTTTTTCTAGGGTCAGATATTATGCTAGTATAATGGAACTGCATTAAATACATCAAAATGAGTACAGATTCCATTTTATAGATTCCTCATCTATATTCTGAGCAAGTACCAATTTGTAGAGGATAAAAATTTTGATGGGTTTAATGGCAAACCCAAGCTCCAAACATTCCATGGCTCCCAAGAGCATAATCCTCAAAAACATTGCAGAGACCTTACACAGATTCCTCCTATACGCCTTGATAACTAATCTCTTCTCTAGAAAGCTACAAGTTTTACATATTTCCTGGACTCTTTGAGGAAACCCCCCCACAAGACTCTGCAATGTGCTTACAGACATTTGTAGCGATCTTGCAGCAGAGGCAAGAAGACAGAAGAAAAACTTTTCCCCGAATGCCAGGGAGCGAGCTGCAAGCCCCTGAGTTCTCATTGCTAGCATCCGTGCGCTTTAGATTAGATGAATGCTGCATCCCAATTCGCAGAGTTGATTCGATCGAGCAGAGATAATTGCGATTACAGAACCTCGTGAGCCTTCCCATAATACCTGTTGATGAATGGTGACTGCAACCAAAACCAACAGAGTTTATATTAGAGAGCATAACTGGAGAGGCAACAATGTCATAACTCATAAGATTACTGAGCAATGATTCTTTTCAAAGTTGGTATCTATAAGAGTTTATTTGAAGTACAAATAGCTGAAACACTTGATGCACTAGCCTGCACAAGAGCTTAGATTTAACATTATCATACCTTAACCGAAGAAACATCTGGAGAATCATCAGTCTTCTTAGGGTAGAATTTGTAGAACTTCATATTCTCAAACGCAGCTCTGGCGTCTGCGCTCAATTCTTCCCTGGCCCTTTTCCGAGCTTCCCTAGCCTGGACAAAGAAAAGAAAATCGCTTTACGGAATCAGCCCTGTCAGTCACAGTTGTATAACGAATAAAAACAGGCAGTAATCGAAACAATCACCTCTCGGTTAGCCTTCTTGGATTCTCGAACTTTGCTTTTAACAAACTCCTGCGACAGCCATGGAAATTCAGCACTAATACATGAGATTATGAATTCATAGAACCCTATACAACAGTCTTTACCTTGAACTCGTCCTTCTGACCTTCAGATAGTGCCTCATCCTTTATGAGATTATCAGTGAATTCCTAAGAATAAATGTAGACATACATCAGTAGATTTCCAACGAATCATGGCTATTATTGAATACATATAAGTAGATGAAACACTGCATCAAATTATTTAGCAGCTGGACCAACAGCTAAGCTTGTGAACTTTTTAGTAGTTTGTGCTTGATACTTCTATATTCTATCTTATCGATAATATGATAAAAAAAATTGTTTTATGGAAATGTAGAACAGAAAAAGCAACTCTATAAACTGATTTTACTCTTACCTCCAACTCATCCAATTCCCAATCAAACTCACATAAAACCTGAAAGTACAAAACAATTGGATGTTAGCACTGATATATCTTTGACAATTTTCCCACATATGCAAATTGTTTTGATAAAAATAGCAGAACTATCAGTTCCAATTTATAATGCACTTCCAGAAGAACACATCAGCAATCTCCATGAAACTGATTAGCTGCAAGTAGCAAGTTATGGATTCAGTATTTGTATGTCCTTACCGGCTTGTCCTCTGCTGGAAACACTATTTGGACCTCAGTGCTTTGTTCAAATTCGTCTTCCTTCAGCGGATGATAGAAGTCTGGTCCAAACGGTAAAACAAATTCAATATTAACAATATAAATCATAAAGCAAGTTGGATCAAGATACATGAAGAACACATTTAAATTTCTAAACATAAATTGTGTTCAAACTCACATGGAAGGCAGTATTCGAATTTCTTAAGCCGGTCTATCTTCAGATGTCTCAAAGCAGCCCTACAAACCAAGTTCATGAATACCATGGCAATAGCAACATCCATCAGTATTATAAATGTGGCAAACATGCAGCAATCAAGCAACTCTTGGATCTATTGCGCCAAAGATAGAATTTCCACTACTTATCGGATACTATTAGGTATGGAGAAATACCAACAGCCCAAATAGGAAATGGAGACAGGACAACTTAAACAATGAGAGTGGAAGAGAAGACTTGAGAGGCAATACCTTCTTTGAGTACAGCTCAAGATGTAAACTTGAGATTTCAATCTGAGAACTTCTGTGTCCCTGTTTGCAGAAGAAAAGTTCAAGATTGAACAACAAATTGGACAAGAATGGTTAAAATTGTCATAGCAAAAAATATAAACATAACCAACCTGTTCTCCATAGGAATGTATGGAACCCAGTCCATCTTCATTTGTTTCATGGGAACTATTTCTTCTGTTTCCCTTTGAACCGAATTAATTCCCATCTTGTCTGATGGAGGGAAAGGTGAAACAATCTGTGCATGAACAGTGCCAACACGCAGAAGAAAGTGAGAACCACTCGACCCTTTGACATACTATCCATGTTAGCCATGCAAAAACCAAGTTCAACAGTATGAAGTATACTTACAGCCACAATTGCAGGTACATTCATTACGTGGTTTTGGCCTTGGTAAGGAACCAATTGGGCTGCAGATCAAGAGCAACAAAAGCAATTAGCTAGTAAACAGAGAAAACAGTAGAGTGAAAAGCAAATGCAGAGAACAAGACAAGAACACAGAAAAATAAGAATGCAGAGAAACGGTAAATAACCAGACTGAGAGGTTTACATACGTTCAGTACAGCCAAAGAGATACACTTTCTTCCCGTGCAGAGCTCCTCCCTCTTCAAAAGCTTCCTGAAACACCAAGAAATTAATTTAGCGTCTGCCACTGAACATATATCAGTGTTACGACTAAGAACATATATCTACAAAATAGCTACAGGAAGCAGACGAAAGAAAACTGCAAGCAACTCACTTCCAGATTGGAGAAGTCCCAATTGTACTTGTATAAGCCATCCAGTTGATCCCACTGCAGAGAACAACAAACAAGCAACAGTTAGTTTACAGTCAAAGGAAACGAGCAACCATAAATGCAGCAGCGAGAATCCTGTCTAACCTCTGTACCGACTGGGAAAACTGCCTTCCATAGATCCTCCTGCACAACAAAGTTCGAGCACCTCTATTAGACATGAGAACGGTGAAGCAAGAGAACATCAGGGACCAATTCTCTAATGAAGGTACAACTTACAATCTACGTTCCAAACTTCAAAGCATTAATAAACCTTTAGCTGAAACAATTACTCTCGAAGACTAATCCCAATCCCCATCACAGAACTAACTTTATCAAACACCGTCACAGATTAACCAGCCATCGCCTACCAAAATTTCAGTCTTTCATTCCAAAATCCGCGACCCAAATAAAACCCTAAACCAAATTCCACCCACCAATTCCTGATTCCCCATCCACATTACCCAAACCAAACAGCAGCCCTATCTGCAACCCAAACAGAAAAATCCAGAAACAAACAATCATTCAGTTCATCGCTTATCCATACCATATTCCGCTTCTCTTCGAAGTACTCCGGCTCAGGCTCAACCTTCGCGCTCTTAGCTCGAGCTCGGCGTGCTTTACCAGCAGCAGCTGCTGCAGGAGCCGCCCCTTTCTTCGCCTGCTTATGATTCCCATCCGCCGCCGCTGGCTCTGCTTCCGCAGAGGAAGAAGTAGAAGCTTTGGGCTCCTCGACGACGGCGGCGGCGACCTCCTTATCCTTCTTATCCGTCGTCGCCTTCTCCGCCCGCTTTCTCTTTGCCCCCTTCCTCATTGCTGCTATAGAAACAAAGCAAACAAGCTCCGCCGCAAAAAAGGAGATGAATCGGGGATAGGGATTCTGCGCTGTTCTCTGCTTGGTTTTTTGCGGGGGGGGTGGAAGGGGAAAAAATGAACTGGAGGATGCGCGAAGAGAAAGGTCAAATTGCAAAACGGGGGGCGGTGGATCCGGATCCGAATTCGAAATTCGAATTTTGCAGAGAGAGAAACTGCGTGGCGGCCTTTATGGCGTAGCGTGGGTTTTAGGTTTTAGGTTTATCAATTTCTTTTCTAATTGTTTTCCTTTGTTTTTCTTTTCTATTCGTTTTATTCGAATTTTTTTGGACGACCATAGGTACTAAAATCGATTTGATTTGTTGTATTCTCGATTTATTATTATTATTTAAGTTACATAAATTTATTTAAATAATTTAAGATTTATTTTTATTTCTTATTTTAACTATAATGAAGTTAAAAATAGGCGACACTCTCAATTTCTTAAATAATTTAACTATAACTAAAAAAAATAATTTTGATTTTCTTACGAAAAAATTAATATTTCTAATGCTTTCCCTTTAAAATACATATACTCATATAAATTAACTAATTTCTATTTACATCACATGATAAACTACACGACCTACTACAGAACAAGTATGAATATCGAAATACTCGTTCCGAACTAGCCAGACGATGATGCTAATTGGGAAATTTTTATTGGGCTTAAGTATTTTGTCAATAATCGGTAAATTTTACTTTGTTAAATGTAAGTATTTATCTTTCTTTGAAGTTCGGACTAGCATAAAGCCCATTTACTTGGGCTCGGAGTGGCTATGAAGGTGAAAAGGGCCATTAGTAGGCCTAGGACTCTTGTTCGGTCCAAGATGCCTTCACTTCATCGACTTCCAATGGGCTTCATACCCTTCTCAATAGCATAACTTCACCCCCAAAGTCCCAAACCAACTTGCCTACTAAAAAAAGAACAAAACAAAATAAATCATTTGTTTATGTTGAACGAATCCATACCCGGATATAATTATTGCAAAATAATAGCCAATTGAATAATACTAGATGTAACTTGGATCCATAATTTAATTTATCAACTCATTTGATTCATGATTTGGTAGATATTGTGTTAATGCCTCTTATACGGACGAAGATATTGTTTTTTTTTTAATGAAGAGTGAGTCTTCACTACAGTTATAAGGTAAATCACAATTATTGCAGTTATCGACCTAATCATGATGACGGTTGATTCGAGCCATATAGTTTAACTGATATATGTTTTCTCCACGGTACATAACAAAAATGTGCCACCCACGGTCTTATCTTCGTGACTATGAACCTCAACTACACATATTTCATTAACTTTATTAATTACATCACTATGTGAGACACATATGGAAGGATGGCATATCTTTTATTGAACTATAAGAGCATGATTCACAATATGAGGTATAAGATTGAGCTACTATTATATTTGACTAACTTTAATCGTATAATAAAAATGGACTTTGATGTTGGAAAGTTAAACATTATGTGACATGTATAGATACTAATAATCCGACTATTTTAGTGTAATAATTGCCCCCCTCAACTTGGAGCAAATGGTCAATTGTTATTGGAAAAACAAAAGGGGATATAACTTCCTACCTCAATATTGGTCATCACTAAGCAATAAGTCCAATCTCAAATCACATCGGGATTTAAAGAGGAAATTAAATACAAATATAGGAATATCTAGAACCTCTCAATATGGAAAAGTCAATAAGGGTGACACAAACACTATAGCTACCTTCCTATATTTAAAAAAATAAAAAAGACACTATAGCTATCTTTGGGCATCAACCATATGTGATTTTTCATGTGCACTTTGCCTTGTTCTTTAGGGTAAGGGTTGTATAAAGATACTCCCTTTAATGTCATGGAAACATAAATTACATTAATAATATGAAAGGAAAATTGAGTTTTCGATCGGCTCTAAACCGGCTAAGCAGCTTACAGCTACATACTTATATTGTGAATGTTGATTGAATATTTCGTCAATCTGACCAAAATATACAGCTTTTTGTTTGGAATACCATTAGTTTCATAGATACTTAACGAGAGGCTCCTCTCTTTTCTTTAATTTGTTCTCATCAGCCTTGCTGTTAGGTCATCCGACATGTTATGTCAAAGAAAGTTACACACTTGCTGATAACGACTGCGTTGGAGGAGATTCAAAGTTTCTTTACATCATTTTGTGTCATATAATGTATTTTTGTTCCTCGAAACTTTGCCATATATGTCCACTTAACGACTAAACTACTCTTTCATTGATAGTCCGGTTGCATACAAACTGCCATATATGATTATCGTTAGGGGTGGGATTCGGTCGGTAAACGGTAAATTGTTTACCGAATTTACCGGTTTCGGTATACCGAAGTTGGTCAAATTGGTTACCGATTACCGATACCGGTTTGCAACCGGTTTACCAATTACCGAATTACCGGTAAACGGTTACAAACCGGTATTACCGAAATACCGTGAGAAGCAATTTCGGGCGATTTTTCGGTCGGTTTACCGAATATTTACCAAACCGAATTTCTGGAAGTGGGGTGATGTTGTAACATTTTGATTTTTTTTGAGTTTTTTTCATCATTTTTTTAATTAATAATTTATTATTAACTCTTATTTACAATATTTTTTCGGCCTATACTTACTTACATTCATGTATGTAATATTTTATATTTGTGAATAATGATGTATATGTTATATGTTAGTGGAGTAGGGAGGGGGGATTTCGGTATCGTTATTACCGATTTACCGTCGGTATTTACCGATACCGTGTTCGGTAAACCGACTCCCCAACTTCCTGCTCGGCTACCGATACCGCCGGTTACCGGTTCGGTAAAACGGTAAACCGTTTACCGGATTACCGTTTACCACCCCTAATTATCGTGATGATATTACAATTTGATTATTTTAATATGCACTTTCTTGATATATATATATCAAACACAATTCACTCATACCCAACCCAAATTTGTTAATGCAATAGATTTTTATCTAACTTTAGAATATTTGTGAACATCCATGATGATAAACGTACACATTCTTACCCAAACAACGTACACATTCTTACCCAAGAATCGGCTCTTATTATCGGGTCTCCAATTTAAATAATGACCTGGTTCTGGTTCTGGTTCAACCCGTTTGCTAATAACCTCTGTTTCGGTCGGGTCAATAGGCCCACTCGATGGGCTCGCGCCAAAAGGCCCACCCATTGGTTCCGGCCCGCATCACCACTCCCGCCGGCGGGTCCATTATCGTTAGTCGGGGCTCCACCTCCTCGAATTTTGGCATCCTTGAAAAACACAAAAAAAGCTAAAAACCCAAAAGTAAACAAAAAAAGAAAAAAAAAACGTGGAAAGAAATTAACGCAGGAACCAGAAGAGAGAGACAGAGACACAGATCGTATTGACTCCACACTCCTTCTTCTTCTCCCTTCGTCTCTTTCTCTCTCTACATGTGCGCTGCGGATAAATATTTCTTTTTCCCTCTCTCTCTCTCTCTCTCTCTCTCTCTCTTCCCCTTTTCTGCCCGTCACTTTATCTCTCTAGAGATTTCCGAATTAACAACTTGTACACAACCTCCATTTCTCTCTACATTTGAATTCGATTCCTCCTCTGCACCAAACGGTTGCTGCATCCGGCAGAGAGAAATCCCTAGCGAGATGACGAGCTCGCCGCCGCCGCCGCCGCACCTCCGGACGGGGAGAGCGTGAGGAACACGGCGTCCCGCGTACACCTGTGCTGTGTGAGTTCTTCGTGCCTATATTATTATTTTATTTATTTCATTCGGTCTGGCGTTTCTTCTGTCCTCTCCGTTTGGCATGGATTGGAACCGTCGGGGATGGTGCTGGAGTTTTTTTGTTTGTTTGTTTGAATTGAATTCTTCGTGCTCGGGTGAATGATTGTGTGATTGCCGAGGGAGAATTATACAGAGGAAATGCGAGGGAGGGAGTGAAAAAACTTTGAACTTGGTAGAATCTGCTTTGGTGTTCCTAATTAATTGGAGTAGGAGAAGGGCGGAGTTCGTTTTCAGCTCTTTTCTTCTTCTTTCAGTAGGGAGCTGAATGAAACCATTAATTTGGAAGCTTTCCCGTATTTTGTTTGTTTGTCCTTGTTAATAAATGTTCGTATTGAGTGAAATTAAATTCTCTTAAGATGGTTGTTTGTTGAACTATTTAAGTTTTCCAGGGCCCGGAGGATGGACTTGTGGATAGGCAGAGCAGCTTCCTGAAGTGTTTTTGTTGGGAATAGATTTTGCTTCTCTTGAAGAACACACTTGGGGTTTGATTGTTTTTTGGGGGATAGTGGGGTTCCTCCCTTGTACGAAATGGCAGAAGATATTGTGCGAGGTGGTGGGCTATCTTCTGGTTTGGCAGTGATTTTGAATGGGGAGGAGGAGAAGGAGAATCCTTTGAGAAGTCGGCTTGTTTCTTGTTTTGATGATTTCGGTGATCAGACTGTGGAACGAGCTCTTGAGTATATTTTTGGCCTCCCTCACAGATCACTTGGTACGATTACTGGTCCTGTAGACGAGGAGTTAGTTTGTGCTTTGATAAAGAATGAGATGTCTACATTGAATCCAATTCCTTCTAATTTTAATAGTGAACGGGAAGGAATTTCTTTTGAAAATGGGTGTGGATCTCACGTTGTTGGGCTTGAAGAATTAAGCATCTGCGGTGACATTAGAATCATCAAGCCGCCCTTGCTTATTGAGAGCTTAGCAATGTTCAGTAGTATTAGGGCCAATGTGCGAGTTTGGAAGGGGAAGTGGATGTATGAAGTTGTTCTGGAAACTTCCGGGGTTCAGCAGCTTGGATGGGCAACTCGCTCTTGCCCTTTCACTGACCATAAAGGTGTAGGTGATGCAGATGATTCATATGCTTTTGATGGGAAAAGGGTTAGTAAGTGGAACAAGGATGCTGAGCCATATGGTCAGGCTTGGGTTGTTGGTGATGTGATTGGATGTTGCATTGACATGGACCTTGATGAGATCCTATTTTACAGAAATGGTGAGTCTCTTGGTGTGGCATTTCATGGTATCCGAAAAATGGGACCTGGATTCGGGTACCATCCAGCAATATCCCTTTCTCAGGGTGAGCGTTCTGAATTGAATTTTGGTGCAAGGCCATTTAAGTACCCTATTCAGGGGTTTCTTCCTCTCCAAGCCCCTCCATCTGCTAATATTCTGGCTACAAAATTGCTTAGCTGCTTGTCGAGGCTGTTGGAT